TTAAAATAATTAAAAGTATTTATTATTTAAAATAAAATTATTAATATAATATATTATAATATTTTAAATATTAATAATTATAATTTATAAAATAATTATTAATATTTATTTATGTTTATTTTTAATATAATAAATGAAAATAAATAAATAAAATTTTTATGTAAATATATTTTAAAAGTATTTTTTATTAATATTATTAAATATATTTTTTTTAATTTTTATATATTTTATTTCTTTATTTTAAAAATTTTTAAAAAAAAATAAAAAAAATGTTTAATTTTTAGTATTTTTTTAGTTATTAATTAATTAATTAAGCTTAGTTTTTAATTAGTTACTTTTTTAATTAAAATTAAGCTTAATTAATACTGGGCTTAATTAAAATTAATTTAATTAATTAGTTTTTTTACGTAATTTTAATTAGTTAATTAATAATTAAAAAAAACTAAAAACTAATAGTTTTTTTTTTAACTTTAATTACGATATATTTTAATTTATTCGAAAACGTTTTTTTAAAAATAATTAAATAATAATAATTATTAAATTTTTAAATGAAATTTAATTATAAAATAATTAATTAAAAATTTAATATAATAAAAAAATATAAATATTAAAATTAACGTTAAAAACTTAAATCGAAATATTTTAACTTTTATTTAATTTATATAATATAATATATATATTTTTCGCCGGCGTTTTTCCGGTTTATATAACGTAATAATTAACGTTAATTATATAACGCAAATAATATTACTTTAAAAAAATAATAAACTTTAAATTAAAAAAATAAAATAAAAAATAAAAAATATTTTCGCATTATAAATTTATTATAATAAATTAAAATATTAAATTAAATAAATAAATTAAAACTCGAATTTAATTTAATATTTAATATTAAATTTTAAAAACGTAATTTATAAATTAACGAAATTTTATTAAATAAATCTCGATTTTACGACTTTTTTAACTTAATTCGCCGATTAAAAAAAAACTTTTAAATTAAAAAATTTTCTTAAAAATTATTTAAACGATAATTTTTTAGAGCAATACTAAATCTATAGTATAGTTTGGTTATATTTGTAGTGTTAAGCCATTTTAAAAAACCGAAGTTTTCTTAAAGGTTTAAGCTTAAAAGGTATACGTTTCGTTATATAATCTTATATATAAATTTAAGTATTTTTTAAGCTTTAAACTTTAAATTCCACATTAAAACCATTATAACGTTATTATTTTTTAATTAATTATTTCTTAATAAATTTAATTTAAAAAAGTTATTAATTTATAAAATATAAATATAAAATTATTACGTATCGAATGAATTTAATTATATTATGTTTAAGAAAGGTTTAATTAAAAAAATGGTTTTTAAAAGTAACTTAATTAATATTATATTAATTTTATAACTGGCGTTTTAAATTTTACTATATTTTAAACTAAAATTTACTTTTAATATATTTTTAAAAAATTATATCTTTTTTAATTAACTTTTATATACGATGTAACTTAATTTATTTAATTACTTTTAAAATGCGTTTTTATATAATTAATTTTTTAAAAGATTTAAATTTATTTTAATAAAAATAAAATAAGTTAAAAAGTGGCCGTTTTTAGTATTTTTATATTATAGCGGTATTTTTAAAAATATTTTAATTTATATAAAGATTTATATAATAAAATAAATACCGTTCGAAAACGCGCTTTCGTTATAATATAATTAACACTATAAATATAACCAAAGTATACTACAAATTTAGTGTTGCTTATTTTTTAATACGTTTAATAAAATTAAAATAAAAATATCGAAATAAATAAAATTTATTAATAAAAATTTAAAAATTCGAATTAAATTTTTTAAAACATGAAAATTATTATAATTAAATTATAAATAATTTAATAAAAAATAATTAAATATATTTTTTAAATTAAAATTATATATAAAAAAACGATAAAAAAAATAAACTAAATTAATTTAATTTAAATTAACGTTAAATTTTATCGAAAAAAAAATTATAAAATTTTATTTATATTATTATTATAAATTTTTTTTTTAATTTAATTAATATATATAATTTTAATTAATAATTTAATTTTATTTTTTATAATATAATTAATAATAATAATGAAATTTTTTTTTAAAATTATAAAATATATATATATTTTAAATATTATATATTAAATTTTTTTTAAATTAAATAATTTAAAATTTTTTATAACGAAAATACGTTTTATAAAATTAAAAAAAAATATATTTTAATAAACGAAATTTATTAATTTTTTTTTAATTATTTATATATATATAATTATTATAAAAAATAAAATTAAATTAATATTTAATATAAAAATTAAATTATTAATTAAAATTATATATATTAATTAAATTAAAAAAAATTATAATAATAATATAAATAAAATTTTATAATTTTTATTTCGATAAAATTTAATATTAATTTAAATTAAATTAATTCGATTTATTTTTTTTTATTTTTTTTATATATATAATTTTAATTTAAAAATTATATTTAATTATTTTTTATTAAATTATTTATAATTAAGAGTAATACTGGCCGCGCAGTACGAAAGCCGGATTTTTCCCGCGCAGTACCCCGCCAGAATCGAGTGTACCTTTCCCCGCATACAAATCGCCGTACAACTACTTGTACTCGCGATGACTCAATTGACACAATACAGAAACCTTATTTCATCCGTACACATCCAACTTTAACCTGTTTTCTTTCGTTGGAATAAATCAGCAAAAATACGAAATCAGCGTCAGTCAAGAGGTCGATCAATTGCAATTCGAATGATCCCAGGTGTACTTATTTCAGCCGTATACTGGTAGAGATATAAGTGGTTAAAGTAAGAGGCATACTTCGGCAATAGGGCCAGGATTTCCCTTAGAACTAAAAGCTATCAGATCCACTACTGAAGTATACGTTTCAGTTCAACCTATTCTTTCGCAATCAGTTCGAATCGAGAATATCTGGTTGAAAGGAGGACCTAGCTGCTTGGAATTAATACAAATCGATTCAGCTATTGGAGACCTTTTATATGAAACTGGTTGCGAAGGTCTGTGATTCGAACTGATGGCGGAATAATAAGTTCAACTACAACGAATACTTCGGTGGTGGATCTGATAGCTTAGTTCTAAGCCGCATCGCTGATGTATTCCTTCCACTTTAAACACTCATATCTCCATTAGTTTAAATCCGCAATAGCTGCATCCAATATAGATCATATTGTATTCGAAAGGCCTTTCAATATACCTCAAATTTATATTTTAACTGATTTGTTTCATCGAAGGGGAATAAGTTAAAGTTGGGGGTGTACAGGTATAATAGGGTTTTTGGTTTGTGTTAATTGAATATAAGTATTATTTATACGCGATTTGTATGCAGGGAAAGGTACACTCGATGTTATCACATGATATTGCGCTAAAATCCGGTTTTCGTACTGCGCGGGCAGTATCACTCTTTTTTATAATTTTTATTATTTATATTTATATTTATATATAATATAATTAATATTATTTTTATATTTTATTTTTATAATTTTTATTGAAATTAATTAGAATCGGGGAAGAAACGACGGGTGTAAAGACCGATTTTTGGTTTGTTTCCATTTCAAGGTTTACGGTAAATTCATTCATCGTTAATCCCCTTGGATTGTTTTCTTCTTTTATGTCATGAAGAGTTTTTGTCATGTTTTCCAATAACCCCTTCACGACGCGGAGCCAAGCGTCTCCATTCTCTTCCAAACGTCGTATCCTCCCTTCGATTTGTTGCTCAATGTGTTCCCCTTGGGACTTTTCCGTCTCTCCTCCACTGGGCTCCTCGGGCTTTGTGGCATTGATCGTTTTTTCGACCAATTGGGATATTTCCTCCTCTCTTGCCAACTTTTCTCTTTGCAGTCGTTCCTTCATTGATGTTGCGCACCACCTGTCTTTGTTGCCGTTCTTTTGATTGGTCGTATCTGGCACTAAATGTTCGAACGCTATGGTGGAATCCCACACTATGGGAGACTGCGTCCATGAGAAAACCCCTGGTGAGTGGCTTCTTCTTCTAATCGTCGGGGAGCTAGGCGATGGCGGCAGTGATGGCATGCTTGTGAAGCTGTGACGATTGGCTTTGTTAGTGCTTGATATAGTCCGCTCGATATCGCCCGTTGTAGGGTTTCGATGCATCATGACTGACACGGGCCTGGGACGGGTCTGTGGTATTATCTTAAGCCTATGTTTAAGGGCTGGTCTGGAAGACGCATTCGTGGTTCCTAGAGAGTGTACCGAAGATACGGACAGTACTGGTGAGCCTGGCTGAGATTCGAGGTCTGCAACAACCATGATAGGTGACAAAGAAATTTCATCTGGTGCCTGTCGTCGCCTCAGAACCGAAGCATATTCCGGAACTATCTCCATCATCATCATAGGAGAAACCTTCCAGTCATTACTTGGACCAGATGTTGCCGATGTGGGTTGAAGTGCCTCGGGCCATCTACCTGGGGCTATCTGTCCCCCCTTTGACGAAGTCGGATCTTCTCCAAGTAGAGGGGACTCGTCACATGATCCATTCATAATGGACACTATATGCCCAGTACGCATATGGGATGGTTCTAGCTGTGATAGTTTTCGTGGATGAGCGACGTTGTCAGGAAACCATCCTAGAATGGGGGAATCATTAGACTCGAGTCCCATCGATCCTAATACAGCAGTCCTAAGAGCTAGTTTGGCTGCATCCAGGTCTCGTCTCTTGTAGGCCTGTACCTTGGCCCTCCGTGCCATTCTTCTCTCCAAGATACTCTTTCGCCCGTCCACGAAACTTGCTATTTGCATGTTTGTCATGGTCTTGGCACCTAAGTTCTTGTTATAACCCCGAAGTCCTAGGTCCGTGGAACCTAGATACTGGTTATAACAAGACTTCGCTAGACTTGGAGTTATTGTTGGAAGCGAGTGGCAAAAGCGGTGAGTCGCTCCTTTAGGGTACGAGGTGACCTCATTTCCATCGGTAGTGCACGTCTTAGAGCTGACAGCAGTGGGGGATCCCCGGTGAGAGTTAGTTGTGGTCGTGAACTCGCTCACTAGGGACTCTCGCAGAGAATTTGCGTTATCACTTGTCGTAGGAGTGACCGAATCACTTGCTGTCCCGGCCGGAGTGGAATATGTACCGGTCGAAGGCCAATATTTCAACTCGTCAACATCCAATGGCGTGTCCTCTGTCTCTCTATCCTTTGGCGCCGAGGTGCTCTCCATTCTGGCTGTTGGCCATTCCTCCGACTGAAATGCAGGATAAGACGCGTCGTCAAGGCCTGCAGGGTTGATAACCGGCCTCATATCTTGCATCAATAGCTCGTTGAGTGAAGCCGCAGGCAATGCACTGGATGTGCATGCGCGCTTACTCGATGTCCGAGGTCGCACGGTCGGGGGGTCAGCGGTGCTTGCTTGACAAGGTATTATTGAGCCGATACTTCTGTCTGATGAGGGCGGTCTTGGGGTTGTTGGCGGAGAGGGGAAGGTCATTGCTGCCAGCATCTTAGGAAAGCCAGGAGAATCGGGCAGCAGATGATCTTTAGGAGGTGCAAGAGTTTGTTGTGGAAGAAACCCTCTTTCAGCTGCTTGCTGAGAAGAGGTTGAGGTTCCCGGATAAGCTAGGTTTGATTGCTCAGGTCGTTGCCCGTGGTTTTCGATCGATATTGTTAATGAATTCTTGGATGCTCCCCTGGAAAGCGTGGGGCGTTGAAGGGGTCTGGACTGGGTCGGGACTTTTCGCGGGCTCGCTCCATTTCTGTCATCGAGCCCACTATCTGATGCAGGCGGCTTAACCTGAACCGTGGGCTGATAACCATAATATGCCCCTGTGGGTTCGGCAGCTACCCTCGTCGATGACCTAGACCGACTGATATCTTTCCTAACCGGGAACTGCATCTCTGGCGTTGTATCCTCCGAGCAAATTATCCGCGAAAGTGTCTTTGAGGAAACGCTCGTCCTCAGCGGATGCCCCCAACCCTTTCTTGACGAGCTTCTCTCTGGCCACTCTTGGTGACCCGCCACCCGACCGCCGAGGAGGACGCCAGAGGATGACCTCGACCTCAAACGCGAGATCCGGCCATTTTGATATGGTAAAGTTGCCACTGGATCTCTATACTCACCAATCGTTTTATCTACTACTCTGCCGTCTGGGAAGTGAGACAACGAACGGGTATGAGTTCTGGCTTTCCATTCCCTCTTCAGTGATTTGATTGACCATCTCCCGCTCTCACTCACCGGCGTGTTGATATGACGTTGAGATGATACATGAGAGTTTGATGGCGAGCCGCTCCTGTGGATAGTGTGAGAGCCGTTGGCAATATCGAACATGTTGGAGGTTGACCGGGAGTGAAGTAATCGCGAAAGCTTCGATGCTCGGTCCTCCAGCATAGTCGAGCCCATCTTCGTGCGGCGACGCCGGAGGACAAAAAGGGACGATGTAGGCACGGTCGGCTATTAATGCGCAAGAGGACGCAAGGCAATCTGCGGCATTAGAATCTCACAAGCCAACACACCGACTGAATATTCTCGGCCGTCTACGACTCAGCAATTGTAATATAACCGCAACTGTGCGACATTTGCCCAGCCCAAGATTATTAGACGCAACTGGTCAACGAGGAAGATTCAAACCAAGATGCCGTAGAGATCTGGCACGACATCAACTATTATGATGGGAAGAGATGAAAATGCGAAGAAAAATGAACCGTCAAGGAACTTTTCCTAGATTAATCGAGACGCGCCTCTCACCCACATCGGTCAGGATTCATTCTACTACTACGACTTACTCCTACTACTACCCGACTAGGTACTACAAATAGTACGACAGGCAAATTTCCTAGACACATAATGATTGGTCGATTCGGCTCGTCTTCCTACTCACAATACTATCGCTTTCCCTTCTCGCCTCCAAGATCTAACAGCCCTGTCCTTTCCTTGCGTCTTGGGAAGTGTCTTTTTTTAATGATGTAGCATGGATTAAGAGACGCCGTCGCTCTATCTTGTTAACTCACTGGTTGACTGGCTGGCTTCATTTTGCACTTTACCCGTCCGGGGATGGCGGGGGATGAAGATCTGCAACGCCTTCCCTATTTGCCGACGTGGTCCGTTGGTCCCTAAACAGAAGGCTCAGTTTAAAATATAGATAATAGCTCGTGCTAGTCTTCGAGGGGATTCTTGTAAGTTGTTAGATCTTGTATTATGTATATACTATGCAGCGAAGTCTTCGACGACACCGGTTTTGTTGCAATAATACGGGGGTTACCTGTGTAATACCTAACGTTAGTTATATGTTCAAAGGGTCTTGAAGCGTCGGATCTTATCTTGCCTATTATGTCGGCTCTTTCTAGGTTCTCCTCGCTAACGCATGTTATGTACATAGCTACAGTAAGTATTAGATTGAATTCCACTCATTAATTACATATTAATTGATAAACTGTGGCTCTTCTAATATTATGTAAGTACAAATCTTATTGTTATTCACATTCTAAAGTCAGTATCTAGGCAGCTAGGTAAGTATTTAGTATTTACATGTGTATAAGTATGTTAAGTGTATTATGCATGCATATATATACACCTTAGATACATATGTACTGTAGATTATGAAATTAGATTGACAAAGATGAGATTACGCAATTACCACCCTAACGGGGCTGGTATACCGAAAAAACGGGGGTTACCAGAGTTTTACAAGGATTACAGGGATGACGGTTGCTTTTTCGCTCTTTGGCTGCAACTTGTCCATAACTCCCCTCGTCACCAATTAAAAGCCAGGTACCTACTACCACTGTGTTCCAAGGTTAGGTACAATACAATACACAACAAGAATCGACATCAGAATTCATTCACTTCCACCACCCCGCCGAGCCAGTCTGTCCCCAAGCACTGAAGTTTTGAACCTGGCAAAAAAGGTACAATTCGTCGTCACCGTCAAGTTGGTAAAATCCATCTCCTAGGCATAGTTAGTTCTAGGATTTGACCTGGGTCTCCCAGACCAAACCAGAACAGACCACACCTCTAAACGACATCATAGAAACGCCCTGGGATCGGCGATTGTTGCAGCTACAACTGATCTCGACAAAAAAGGAGCTTCGCGTATTATCGCAAGCACCCCGACGATATGGATTATGAAGCTTTGAAGGAGCAATGGAGCGAGGTTGAGGATCGTGATGGTGTCCGACTGAGCTGGAACGTTTTCCCTAGCTCTCGCATGGTTGGTTTTCTTTCCGCCCTGCACACTTTCTTACCGTCTGGAAATCTCCTTGCGGCCAGCCGCATTTTGTTCCCGAGCGCAAACGTGCTAAATTCCTGTTCAGGAGGCATCTCGCCTTGTTGTTCCTATCGGCGCCCTCTACACCCCTCTAAAAGAGAAGCCAGACACTCCTCTACTACAGTTCGAGCCCGTAACGTGCAAACAACCGTGTCGTTCGGTCCTAAATCCCTTCTGGTATGTCGACCTCAATTCCCTAGCCAGCCCCTTTTGACGGTAGCACTAATGGTGCAAAAATACCTAGCCAAGTTGATGTCCGAGCACGCCTATGGATCTGCCCATTCTGCCTTTCGAGAAACCCTCTTCCACCTCACTATAAAGACATCACGCCTAACGCCATTCCTCCGGAGCTGCATCCTTCCAACACGACTATCGAATATCGACTCTCACGACCCGCTCCTAGCCCGCCCATCTTCCTCTACGTCGTCGATACGTGCCAAGAGGATGACAGCCTTTCGGCCTTGAAGGAGTCGCTCATCATGAGCCTGAGTTTACTCCCCGAGAATGCACTGGTCGGCCTGATCACTTACGGTACGATGGTATGTTGAACCCACCTCGCCCCCTTAAGCGGTCATGTTGCTGACTAGAGTTCATAGGCACAAGTTCATGAGATAGGATACACAGAGTGTGCCAAATCATACGTTTTTCGCGGTAGCAAGGACTACTCTGCCAAACAGGTCCAAGAAATGCTGGGTCTGCTCGCCCCTAGCCTGCGCCCTGGTATGCCGCAGCAGCAACCTGGTCGACCTATGCTTCCTATGGGCCCCGCCACTAGATTCCTGTTACCAGTCCAGCAGTGCGAATTCCAACTCACTAAGATTCTCGAGCAGTTGCAGAAAGATCCCTGGCCCGTCGCTAGCGACAGGAGAAACCTTCGCTGCTCTGGTGTAGCGCTTAGCGTGGCCGTGGGGCTTCTCGAATCGTCTTTTCAAAATGCTGGTGGCAGGATCATGCTCTTCGCTGGAGGTCCCGCAACTGAAGGGCCGGGAATGGTCGTTGGACCCGAGCTCAGGGAGCCTATTCGCTCGCATCATGATATCGATCGCGATAATATCAAGTATTACAAGAAGGCCTTAAAAGTAAGCACCCCCTTTTCTTCTGTCTTTTATCTCTCCGCTTATTCATCTCGAACTAATGCGCCTCTAGTTCTACGACAACCTTGCAAAGCGAACCGCGCACAATGGCCACATAATAGACATATTCGCCGGGTGCTTAGATCAAGTCGGATTGCTCGAGATGAAAGGCCTATGTAACTCTACTGGCGGCCACATGATCCTTACGGACAGCTTCACCTCGTCTATGTTCAAGCAGTCGTTTATCCGCGTCTTTGAAAAGGATGGCGACGATAACCTGCTAATGGGCTTTAATGCAGTTCTTGAAGTACTAACGACTAAGGAGTTGAAGGTAACAGGCTTGATCGGGCATGCTGTGTCATTGAACAAGAAGTCGACATCTGTGGGAGAGACGGAATGTGGCATTGGCAATACGTGTTCGTGGAAAATGTGTGGTATCGATCCCAACGCGAGTTACGGGGTCTATTTCGAGATCGCAAGCCAAGGCGGCCCTACGCAGCATCCCCAAGGCCAGCAGAAAGGCATGATGCAATTTTTGACATATTACCAACACTCTTCAGGACAGTTTCACCTACGTGTAACAACTATCGCCAGGAACCTAAGCGGCCCTGCCGGGGATCCTGCCATCGCCCAGTCCTTTGATCAAGAAGCGGCTGCGGTACTTATGTCTAGAATTGCCGTCTTTAAGGCCGAGGTCGACGATGGTCCTGATGTCCTTCGCTGGGTAGATCGCATGCTTATTCGGTTATGCTCGCGCTTCGCCGATTATAGAAAAGATGACCCTTCGTCGTTTAGACTGGAGAAGAATTTCACTCTCTACCCTCAGTTTATGTTTCATCTCCGGCGAAGTCAATTCCTCCAGGTCTTCAATAACTCTCCCGATGAGACTGCTTTTTATCGCCACGTGTTGAACCACGAAGACGTGAGCAATTCTCTGATCATGATACAGCCGACTCTGGACTCTTATACCTTCGACCAGGATGGCGGCCAGCCAGTCCTGCTGGACTCGACCTCTATACAACCTACACACATTTTATTGTTGGACACATTCTTCCATATCCTTATCTTTCACGGTGAAACCATCGCAGAGTGGAAGAAAGCCGGTTACCAGGATCAAGAAGGCTACGACAATTTTGCTACATTACTCGAACAACCAAAGGAGGATGCAAGAGTGAGTCTATCGCCCTTCTACTGGGAGCTTATGTTAATATTTTACTAGGACCTCATTGCTGACCGCTTCCCACTTCCTCGATTTATTGTATGTGATGCTGGTGGCTCTCAGGCCCGGTTTTTACTCTCGAAGCTTAACCCCTCGACCACCCACACCTCAGGGGCCTACGGAGGTGTTGGTGCCCAGACTGCTCAAACCATCTTTACAGATGACGTGTCACTGCAAACCTTTATGGACCATCTGATGAAGTTAGTACCATGTTGTTTCTAAATCTGAATATATAAGGCTGACATATTGTGGCAGGCTGGCTGTAAGCGGTACGAACTAGGTGGACTGGAGCTGCAACTTTGGTTCAGTGAGGAACTGATCATGTTTGCCCGGGTAGGCGACACTGCGACAATAGGAATAACCTGGAAGTGTTGAAGTTAAATACCAGTATAGTGAACCAGGCGAGCTTTCCAACGTAGACTTAAATTAAGGCTGCGACCCAATTATATACAGGGCCGAAGTTGGCGCAAAGTCGTCTTGGATCTTCTTGTTGCTATCCCTTTAAATGCCCGTAACGGGATAGATTTAATCGACACTTAGATCTTTCTTACTCTTTAACCTTCATCTTCTTATCCATTCTCCCAAGACGGTTAGTTTCTATCTACGAAAGGGAATAATTTCCATGGATCGACTGGCTTCTCTGGTCAGTATTGGCCTTATGCTTGGATTCTTCGGGAACTTAGCATAGTAATTTATTGTCGATCAATTACTCTGCCCCATGGTCGGCGTTTAAAGGGAAACCAAATTCTGTGTTTACTGCCCTTATCTTATCAGAATAATAGACACAAGTACCTATAATCCGAGGCTGTTGGACTTATAACTATGTATGTAAGACTGTTCAGGTTTTTGGATCCTCTTCATTTCCCTCGTTGACTTTTCTTTAATTTACTTTACATAATGCTCAATATGTACGTACATTGATGTAAACATCAATAGATAGGCACATCATGGGTGGGTATGCAGCATCTACTAGCTACGTACATAAGTCTCTTTTGAATCATTAGGTAATACATAATGGTAGCCATTGGTATGGAAATTTTGGGCTAGCGGAAACGTGGCCAATTAGCTATTAGGTACTGTTGCATGTCCCCACTGTCTTCACTCCCACATGCACGTTCCTGACTTTCCTAGGGCAGTACGAAGATACAAAACCCCACCGCCTAGGGTTTTTCGCCCACAACTGAATTTGTTCGAGAGCAGTTTCTTCAATTTGCATCCTCCTAATTGCCAGCGTTCTTCACAAGGCTCAGAACATCTTGCGCGACTGTCTCTTCACAATTACAGCAAGCAAACCCTTGAGACTATAAACCTGAGCCAAAATGCGTACGTCTTGGGAATATATACCTTATTCCACAATGCTTCATACGGCTAATAATTTTGCGAAATACAGCTCCCAAGTTTGATCCCAACGAGGTTAAGGTGATGTACGTCGAAATATTTCAACCTCATCCCACCCCATCTTTACCAAGCGAAAAATACAATTATCATCGTTGCGCACATGCAATTGACTGTGCCTTTCTATAGTCACCTCAGAGCCACGGGAGGAGAGGTCGGTGCCTCGTCCGCACTCGCGCCCAAGATTGGACCCCTAGGCCTGTCACCGAAGAAGGTTGGAGAAGATATCGCGAAGGCTACTGGTGATTGGGTATGTGTCTAACCGACCTTATATGAGATTGAGTTTTTATACTGACGCCTCCGCGATTAACAGAAAGGCCTGCGTGTTACCGTGAAGCTTACCATCCAAAATCGTCAGGCTGCTGTCTCGGTTGTTCCCACAGCCTCTTCCCTCATCATCAAGGCGTTGAAGGAGCCGCCGCGTGACCGCAAAAAGGAGAAGAACATCAAGCACTCGAAGAGTGTCCCCCTTGATGATATCATCGAGATCGCCCGAACAATGCGATTCAAGTCATTCTCTAAGGATCTGAAGGGAACTGTCAAGGAGATCTTAGGAACGGCATTTAGCGTGGGATGCCAAGTTGACGGAAGAAGCCCCAAGGATATCGGTGACGATATCGAGAGTGGCGAGATTGATAGTGAGTTATATCTTGTAAACCATTATTCACGCTTGAGGTTCGAGACTGACAAATGTTGATGTAGTCCCGGAAGAGTAAGGAAGGGGAAAAAAAAAAGGAAATGGATGGGCTGAGAATGGACTTCTTTTTTTATTCTGCTGCATCTTACAACAGGAGTTCGGGAATGGCTTGCGATAGTTCTCGCCGACACGCTCTGAATTGAGAGGAATCAACCAGCTTTCAGTACTTTGAGACTTGCACACCACCCCCATCCCCGTCCCGTTACATCCTTGCCTACACTCCGAGATAAACCTAGCTCACCGTGGTCTATTTCTATTTTGTGTCAAGGGAGATTGAAGTTCGACCAGCTACTCACCGCGGCCTTCTTGCTACTACAGCGTGGAGGCCGAGGTCCATCTTTCTAGGTCAACATACCAGCGACTGATTCTATTGAAAGGTTAGTTCTCTAGGATGTAGTTTTTGATGTGTGTTGTAAGAATGAGAATATCTATTGATTACGTGAGTGCATATGCACATCAAATACTGCCCGCCCCTAAGGGCGCTGGAATTGATAATGCTTACCAGTAAATACTTAAGAATAATGCTGGCCTCGTAGTATCACGTGAAGCATTAATGCAACTCCCCCCTAGAGTACCAAAAAAACATGTATTAGCGACGACTTAATCGACAGCTCGGTAAGCCCATATGGCTAAAGTACGGGGCTTTCTTTGAATCCTTATATTTTACTTGATTCTAGAATTATATAAGTACACTATATCATTAAGAAAAACTATCAAAGATTTGAAGTTTGTCATTAAGCCATACAATACCTACATGTATGTAGTTAATAATGCATGTATTCGTACGGCGGTTTAGGTACGGGGGAAGTACCCAAAAAAATACTAACGGGGTACTTATCTGAACGTACAGTACATAAACTAGTATTAGCGTCCCCAGCCGATGAATTGTGACAGGAGCTGATGGACTAACGTGAACTAAAAATTCAATTTAGACTCAGCCCCCCCACGTAAACCAGCGCCGGGTCTTTTCGACCCTCATTATTCTCATGTTTCCCTCCACTTACGGCATACAAAGAAAGACCATACACCTCGACGCTAGATTTAATCAAACGTCTTTTGTTAATGTCGACTTGAAACGAGAACTACCCGCCTCATTCTAACGGATTTCATTTTTCCCAGATCGTCCACAGGCCTGTAGCCTTCCGTCTTCAGTCTTCCGTTCTGTTCTACTCGCTTGTGACTTCGAAATCCGTGTCCCTCTTTTCGCATCCCTCCTCTTCCCTGCCTCGCCCACGCTCTTGCGCTTGGCTGGTCCCCGGAGCTCCTCCGTTGCGCGAGGAAGAGTAGGGGGTGAGGAATCGATCGCTGAAATCGTGAAGGAGGGGACGAGCTTAACCTGGCCTTTACACCTTGGATGACAACCTCAGGTCAGCCTCCTGGTTAAGAGAATTTGGCCTGGCTTTTTAGTATTAGGCGACTTACTTCCAGATGTATATCAGTCAGCTTCCCTCAGCCGCGCTCTAACCAGCAGGCTATAATGAGACCACCCGTCGACCTAGGCTTCGATACACCCTTTCCCGACTCCGGTCTGCTTTTGCCAGATGTTCCCTTCAGTCCAGATGCACCAGATGGTGCATCCTCCGCACCATCTTGACTCACCATCTTCCTTCCAACTAGATCGCAAGCAGGATCAGGTTTCTTTTTCACATTATCCTCGCACTGCCGCAAGAGCATCCGAATCGCTACAAGGTCTCACCTTCAACTCTACGCATCGCACCTTTCCCATTCGTTCTTCGCAGCCGATCCCATCGCAGCCGATTCATCCGAGGTCAAACACTTTCATGTTTCCGTCTCACCTATCCGATCGCGATGAGCATCAACTTAGACGCAAGACTCCAAATGGCACAATAGATGCCGGATATGATGGCAATCCTGCCCAGCTCGCATCCGGGCCTCCGCCGCTGAAGCACATGATCTTGCCCACTTCTTCTAGCCTTATATCCGCAACCAACTACTCGCAACAAGATCATGCAATGAAACGCCACATTAAGCCTGTGGTTGACGACTGGTTGTTTCAACCGCCTCCGCTTTTCAATATTCCAGATCATGGTGGTCTTGCCGCCATCGATTCGAATTCCTTGGCCTTTAGGAGCAGCTGGCGACAAGGCTTCGGGAACAACTCTCGCTCTTTCACGGCCCTTGACTGTATCCCTAATGGACCACCCACGGCCTATTACCCTTACAACAATGGCGTTGAAGTGCCCACGGCCCTGCAACCCATATATCAACATTCCCCAGGTCCCGCCATATTTGATAATGGGGGGTTGCTTCCGCCGTCAGCTTGGCCCAAGACGAATATGCCTAGTTATCACCCCACCGCGCATCCTGGAGCCCTGAACTACCAAGGTTTGAACCCTGAGTTCATGCCCCATCTTCGGCCATCCAATTCAACCATGCCATCAAGGACACCATTCAATGGTTTATCCCGTTATGAAGAAGGTCGTATTAGTCTGCAGACGCCATCCCAAGGACTAGAGTCTCTTACGCTGGAGCCTGCTCAGTATCGTAGACCTGGACTCGGGGTGAGTGAAAACCCGGCGCCTACAAGGTTTAGGGAAAGGGCACTCGCAAATGCCCATCGATCTTATGTCGAACTTCTGGCGTATCTTCACCATAGTAAGAAATCGCAGAGCCGTTCTTCCCATGAACCCAGGCCCTCGAAAATGGTCATCTTTCCGAAACTTCCTAGACCGTCAAGTCACCCCAACTGCGTCATCCCCTCAGGACGATCTCAAGACGCACATATCTACAGTGACCTAAACGGTGGTAACAACCACGTAGTTAGCTCTCGTGTCGACGCGCCGTCAGATTTATTCAAACAGCATATGGTCAAACAGCAATTCCGGAGTGGTGAGATACCCCATTCAACCTTTTACCATTTATTTAATACCGAGAACTCGGGTGGGTTTGCTGCCGACTCGGAACGGGGAAGAGGTCCTACTACGCCCTTTACGAGTGCCAAGGCTGCTGTCGAGATGTTGACACATTTATGTGAACAAAGTGGCTGGAAATGGGTTGACGGCATGCTTCTTGGCGGCTGCTTACACTACGGCCTCGAGCATTACGAGCAATCCTTGGAATGGTTTCAGAGGATCATTTCTCTAGATGAGACGTGAGTAACAATTTCTTAGTGCGCCCTTAGTATAACAACTCGTAACAAATTAACTAACTTCCACTGCTAGCCATGTCGAGGCGATTTCAAACGCAGCCGCTACTCTATACTGTCTCAACCGACAGGAAGAGGCCGAACGCCATTGGCTACGAGCTGTGCGCCTACGGCCAAGCTATTTAGAAGCTGTTGAGCATCTCGTAGGGCTTCTTTGTTCTAGCCACCGAAGCAAGGAGGCTGTTGATATAATTGACCTTATCCAGCAATCTATTCGCCTTCCCGAGCGGCGGGTCGATTGTGACACAATTCTTAACGCGATGAATGGAGCTGGGAACCTTACATATGGCGTTTCTGAGCCACACGTGCACCCTCATTGCGGGCTAACAAGTGGTCCTGGTGGCGCAGAAGAGTCGAGGCTTCCTGGTTTTGGTTCAAGTGGTTACTGTGTTGCCGGCAATGAGAACGGTCGTGTCATCGCACTAATTCACGCAAAGGGCAACATGCTATACGCATTGAAAGATATTGACCGGGCGTCCGAGGCATTTGAGGAGGCTGTGCTTATAAGTACTGGAAGGAAGCTCAAGTGCATTCACTCTCTTATCCGCAGGATACAGTCAGTTCTCTCTCCTGTAGACCATTATGGGATGGAGGGGCAGAATAGTTCGCCCACTGGGCCCTTGCTGCTGCCGCCCGAGAGAGCAAGGCGTACTGCTCAGTTGGTGTTTGCTACCCATGGTGACCTTCCAGGACTACGTTTTGTGCCAGATGGTGGGCCGAAAAGGTCGGCGATTTCTACCACTAGCAATTCGCTGTTGTCATTAGCCAAGATATTTCAAGATGCTATGTCAAACGGAGGCTCGTTTCCAAGGCTATTGCGCCAGCCTTCTGGCATCGGCGACATTCTGGCGCTCTATTACCTGTCGCTATCACTTTCTGAAAGTCCTTCGACAGCTAACAACGTAGGCATTCTGCTAGCCAGCGTTCAGCACACCAGCTGCGCCCCGCAGTTCCAAATGTCAGAGAATGCGAATATACCGCAGATACCGGGAGTTGCTCCCGGCAGTGGCCTCGCCCTAGCCCTTGCGTATTATAAATACGGTTTGACTTTGGACTCGAAGCATGTCCATCTTCATACTAACCTTGGGAGCTTACTCAAAGATATTGGTCAGCTTGACCCAGCGATAAAAATGTATGAGCAAGCTGTCGCATGCGATGGCACCTTCGACATTGCCCTTACGAACCTAGCCAATGCTGTTAAGGATCGTGGACGAATTAGCGATGCTATTATGTACTACAGGCGAGCCGTTAATTCCAACCCCGAATTTGCGGAGGCAGTCTGCGGCCTTTCCACGGCTCTCAACTCTGTATGTGATTGGAGTGGCCGAGGCGGTGTATTATTGTACGACGGGACATATGACCGCTGGCATGTTGACGATCAGGGAATGATTCGAGATGTCAAAAACGAAGGTGCTGGTAGCGGCTTGATAAAGAGGGTTGTTGACATTGTTTCCAAGCAACTGGCAGACTCGTATCACTGGGGCACTGGTATTTTACGAAACGGAACTTTGGAGGCACTGAGCTCCCAGCTTAGCATATTAGCGCCAGATGCGATCAGAGGGTTCGATGTCGAGAACGAGCTTCGCAAGTGGGCTGGCCATCCGTGGGAGGGCTCTAGAATCCTCCGGCTTGTGGAACGGTCGGCGAAAGCTACGATGCGACGCTGGTATCTGGATAAGTATGTCCACAATAGGCCATTGCAACTGGCTTACCCTCGACTCGGATTACCAGCATCTCTAGCCGTGCCGGCAGCACCGACCGTTCTACCATTTCACACCTTCACATGTCCATTGACGGCCAACGACATACGAATGATCTCTCAGCGAAACGCCGCCAGGATATCATGCTCTACCCTGAAATCTCCATGGCTTCCCGCTGCCGTGTACGTGCCACCACCTCCACCTAATCCACATCTAAATATTGGATACGTATCCTCGGATTTCAATAATCATCCGCTCGCTCATTTGTAAGTCTCGCACCCCTCTATGTCTAGAATCATGGGCATTGTCATTTAATCACCTAACAACATAGGATGCAATCGGTGTTTGGGTTTCACGACCCATCACGTGCGAAGGCCTTCTGCTACGCCACTACCGCCAGTGACAAATCTGACCATCGGCTACAAATCGAACGTGAAGCTCCCGTGTTTCGTGATGTGAGTAATTGGTCTTCAGAAAGACTTGTGGAGCAAATCGTCAGGGACGAGATCCATATCCTTGTCAATCTTAACGGATACACAAGAGGCGCCAGAAACGAGATATTCGCAGCTCGGCCCGCACCGATCCAGATGTCCTTCATGGGTTTCGCCGGTACTCTCGGGGCCGAATGGTGTGATTATATCCTAGCCGACGAGACCGCGATCCCGGCATCCACACTACGGCCTATGAGAAATAACACGAGTCTTGGAGACATTTTTCGAGACGGCGAGTTTGACGAAGGCGGTGATTGGATGTACTCCGAAAATATCGTTTTCTGTCGCGATACCTTTTTCTGCTGCGATCATGCCCAGTCATGTGACCCAGGTGAGAGGACCATAACGTGGGCGGACGAACAACGGCGAAGATGGAGGATGCGTAAAGAATTGTTTCCGAATCTTCCAGATGATACTATTGTGCTCGGCAATTTTAACCAACTATACAAGGTAAGATCCACGATTAAAGTAGCATGTAACCAGGGCAGAGATGGCTAAGAAACTAAACTATCTAGATTGACCCATCCACATTTCGTATGTGGCTACGCATTCTCTCCAATGTACCTAACGCTATACTCTGGCTGCTTAGATTTCCCGAGCTCGGCGAGAACAATTTAAAGAAAACAGCCAAAATATGGGCTGGCGAGGATGTAGCACGTCGGATCATCTTCACGGATGTGGCGCCAAAGCAACAACACATTTCACGGGCGCGTATCTGTGATCTCTTTCTAGATACGCCGGAATGCAATGCGCATACAACTGCGGCAGATGTTCTGTGGTCGAGCACCCCCCTACTGACTCTACCCAGGTATCCGTACAAGATGTGCTCCCGCATGGCCGCGTCAATCCTCAAGGGGGCATTACCGAAAACGCCCCGTGGGGACGAGGTCGCCCGGGATCTTATTGCTTCGGACGACGATGACTATGAAACCCTAGCAACCAAGCTTGCGCGAGATTTAAACTATCGAAATGTGGACGGCCGCTACTGCGAAGGATACGGACGGTTAGCAGATATGCGGAGGATTCTTTTCGAGGCGAAGTGGACTTGTGCACTTTTCGATACACATAGATGGGTTGCCGATCTGGAAAGGGCATATGGGGAGGCGTGGCGGCGTTGGGTGGCCGGAGAAGGCGGTGACATTTACCTATAGAATGGCAAGGCATACCTGGCCCAAGGCTAGATCCGATACCCCTTCGTCTCGTACAACGCTGACGGCAAATGGAGTCGGGGGTACTGGATGTGCTGCCAAACCTATTTTATGTTATTGGATATGGCACCCCTTCAGCCAATCCATTTGAAAGCAGGGAGTTTACGGATGGCTTTGGAGAGTGAGCTCGTTGCACCATTAAGGCAGATGGCGAGTCGCTTGGTTGCATTTTCGAACCTGATTTCGCGAGGTTCACATGATGTATTGAAAGTTTTCTCTACGATAGAATAAGTGGCGGACTCGGACCAAGTGCTGGCAGGGTTTCGTTACTTCGGGACAGGAATTTGAAGTCGTTTCGGTAACGGCAGGTTGTGGCGTTTTGGTAATATGGCAGCATGGCTTTTATTAAGCCGTGCTATCGATGGATTCTTGTAGATATACCCAGAGTCGACGCCTTATAGGCAGGGCTAGCGTTATCCTCTTAGGCTATGATCTTTTCCCTATTTTTTTTTTCTCCTATCACTTTATTTTTGTTCCTGGATCTTTTATTGACATTATTCTCGCTCAGTGGTATTTTGCTTGTGTTTTACTAGTTATCAGGCCACTTACCTTTCCTGCTACTTTACCTACCTAGGTGTTCATTAAAAATTACGTCGGGCGCTTTATTGACCGTTACATTATCCGTTTGGCGTCGTGGTCACGCAGAGCCAGATGTAGTACGAAATACTTGATATACTTACATACAGGTGGGCATGTCCCCACAGTATTGATGGCCGTTGCTGAATGGAAAAATGCCGACTCGCCCCAGCCTGTTGGCTAATCGGCGGTGGATGGTGGAGAAGGTGGTGTGGAGTCTATTTTCAGGTTTCAGCCGGTGAGGAAGAAATGGGGTGCGGCTGAGGTAGGCAAGTCTTTTCAACGGTCACGATGAAATGTCTCCAATACTAGCGCATGCGCATAGTAGGCAAGGGACCCCGGCCAGTTTAGGGAATGTCGGGTTCGCTTGGCTTTACCGTTTCAAGATAATTCAAGAACAGTAGAAAAAGATGAAGGGGAAGGGGAAGAAGAAGAGAAGAAAGGAAAGAAGGCCGCCTTTCAGTGTCCGCAATAACATCAAGCATTTTGCTTGCATTCCTAGGTATTTGGTGATTTTTTTTTAGTTCGAGTAGTATAGAATTGATGTGTATTGTCATAGGTACCTAGTAAATACCTACCTATCTCAAGAATATGTATTGAAATAATGCGTTAATATATTTGCGGCATAAATACTTAAGCATTAGATCGCAGTTCAGCCGGTCGGGAACCAAGACACTGGGCAGTTTAGATTTAGCTAGGCTGGATTGACCGGATAAGATCCAGACAGATGGGTCGCCAAAGAAAGCCACACGTGAGGATCACCATTCTAACGAACTTAATGTAGATGACCGGGATCTCGGTACCAAGCTACTACCTACATAGTAGTAACCTTAGAGGTTACCAACATGGGAACTTTACTCCACCACATATGTTCTTACTAATATTTATATAGGATGATACTTTTGTCATTGTCATAAGGCTATTATCAATCAAGGTATATAAAGCATAAATATCTTAGAAACTTAGATACATTTTCCGTAGCTTGATACATCAATTGCTAGAGTAAAACTCCATTAAAGAATATATGTCATCTTTGCAGAGGTCTATGTACATATGTAGCGGCAGGGGTGCGGAAAGCTAGTATCAAGTACATGGACATACATACACCCCGGAACCCTGGTCGGATCTGGGGTTTGCAGATGCGTACTTGGTATTCTACATTAAAGAAGATTGACAAAAGCTACATGCCTAGATTAACCTAGGTATGCAGTAGGCAAAGCGAATATTTTCCAAGTTGTTGCCCGAAGAAGAGTGTCTTTGCAAAGAAAAATCAACGCTCGGCTCCTAAACCTAATCCTCACTCGGCATCTGTCATCTGAAATTAGAAGCACTTAAGCCTCGTGGCTCTCCACTCCTCTTTATTAGCTTGAAGACTTAATTAACCTTGGAACTACTAAAGATACCAGCTATGTAGCTAATAATAATACAATACATACGTACATGGTAACTCACTTTGATACTAGGTACCAGGTAAGCAGTATAGTCAAGTGACACAGCAAAACTTTGAAAGTAAAATAAGAAATTCGGGAAGCAAGTAGGTACTTAGCTAGGATGAGGAAGGAATATAGAAGAATTGGGGAAGCGAATGGTAAGAGGAAGAAGAGTAAGTTACATTCAGAACAGACATCAGCATATACAGGTACGAAAGTATTGCTCAGCAACTACTTATTTGTAGAGAGTACCTAGGTATTAAACTTGAGAAATGGCCCCTTTTTGACACATACATGTATTAAAGACTTGTAACATACCTAGGTAGGTAGTTTTCCTAACTACCTGTATAGACACGGCCGTGTGGCTTTTAGGTTGCTTCCTTATCTCTACCTCTCTCTCTCTCTTTTTTTTCCCCCTTTACTGCTGCAAATTGTTATGTCTAGAAGAGTACTTTTCTCTCTCTTGTTATTAGCTGTTGCTGCTGCTGTTATTGTTGCTTTAAGTATACTTTTGCTTTTCTCCTTTATATGACACGCAAGGGTTTTGGGCTAGATTGAAGCGTAGAAAGGTGCCACGAACTTTCTAAAAGTACTGGCTAGTCTAAATCAGCTCAGCCCAGCCTACCTACCTAGGTACCCATCTGCCACTCATCTTAGTGCAAAAATCGTAAAGGTGTAAGAGCGCAAGAGCATAAGAACGCAAGAGCAGGATGGAGCTTGAAAACTTGGAATCTTGGAATCTTGGAACCTTAGAACCTTGGAACCTTAGAACTTTGGAACTTTGGAAGTTACCTGCATACCTGGGAATAATAATGTAGTGTAGAGTGGGTCTTTTTAAGACTTACAGGTCTACACCAACGCCCCAGGGAAAAACGATAAACATTGAAGGTTGCTACTTCTACTCTATCACTAGTGGTTGCTGCTGCTGCGCTACTAGGTAGGTACTGATTGATGTTAACTGCTGTTCGTTAACTTCAATAACCTCTCAACCTATCCCATCCTGTACCTCTTTCCATACTCTCTTGTGTTGTACCATATCAGCCCCATCCGTTCCTTCGTTTGTTCGATCGATCCACCCTTCCGTCTATCCATCTATCCGTCTCTCCATCCATCTTACCATCTTGCCTCACACACCCACCCCGAGCCTACCACATCTAGTGCTTAAATCTAGTACCTACATCTACCACTAGGTCGGTCCCTTTCCCGATCTCATCCCGTCACCTCTAGACCATAACTCTATATTGTGCCCGAGCCTGATCTCCACCTCCACTTAGACCCTCAACCCTTACCTTCGCCTTCGCTTCCACCTTTGCCTTCACCTTTACCTTCACCTTCACATAAACTAGCTTCAATTCCATATAACTATAATACCACAATTGTATTACCTTGACGCCTAGGGAAACTTCTTGCGTATATCAAACTTTTATTTCTATGGTCTTACTGCTAGCTAAAGACGCTATATCAAAGTTTAGCCCTCAAATTATATTATCTAGGTCTCGCGTCTTAGAGCTACATGAGTTCCGCGTGTGCTGTTCAGGCCACAGTCACGACTGGTTGACTGGACGAGAACGGAATGGGCGCCGCCCAACGCATTCGTTCCAACAGCTATTTAACTCTCACTATCGCTCGTATAATTCCCACTGTAATTTCTATCAGCCTCTGGACGAACGTCCTACCGTTAAATATAAAACATCCCCCCTCCAGCCTACCCATCTTGGTATTCCATTGCTCTCGTCAACTCAGATTAACTCATCAGCCACCTTGAATCGTAAAGTGGATCAATCACGTCCCCACCAGACACATATATACACACATATATAAGGCTTGCACATGGCGTCGCCTCCAGAACAAAAGCACCAGAGGAGGGGACCTTGGTCCCAGCGTGAGGACGAACTTCTCAAGCACTATGTCGCCCTCCAAGGCCCGTTATGCTGGGTAAGGATCGCCACCATGATAGGCACCAGGTCGTCTAAGCAGTGTCGGGAGCGGTACCATCAGAACTTGAAGCCTTCTCTGAATCACAGCCCCATCTCAGCCGAAGAAGGAGCCCAGATCGAAAGCATGGTGAAAAAGCTTGGGAAGCGATGGGCAGAGATTGCGAGATCACTCAACAACCGAAGTGATAATGCTGTTAAGAATTGGTGGAACGGCAGTATGAACCGCCGAGATCGTCTCATCCGTAGGCAAAACTCGGCTGCTCAGGAACATCCGACCCCGAACCAGATCCAGTCTCCTTACCATCCACAAGGTACTCCTCAGCTGCCATTACCGCAGCTACCACCACCACAGCAGCATCATAATCACCATCGGCGGCATAAGCATGGCCAGGAAGAGGCAGAGTCATCGCCATTGGTGGCAACCCAAGCGTCATATCCACCACCACCAGCATTGCCATATTCCCTGGCCGCTACAGCACTTCCAACCCGCCCAAAGAACCGTGGCCTAAATTTACCCTCCGGGTCCAGCTCCTATCACCCTTCTCGCCATCCATTGGATACTTCTAGCCAGCACTCTCGCCAAGTTTCCTCTCATCAGCCCCATCAAGCAACCGGCCCATGGGGTAGATTCTCGGGAGGATTGCCATCACCTTCTCTGACCTCCCCTAGCGTTGAACCTCAAGATCCACCTCCTACGCTGACGTCGAGGTTCAATTCTACAGTCGACGCTACCCGTCCTGCCAGTTCGTCCTACGAACATCTACCGACGCTGCCTCCGTTACGCGTCGGAAACGCGGGATTTACAGCGAGCGAGATACCGTCCCCAAGTCCCAGAGCACCTCAGGCTCAGCTCGACTTTAGCAATGTTCGACTACCACCGATCAGGGACTGCTTTAATAGTAGCCAATTACCAACAGCCCCTAATTCACCCCGGGGTCAGTCGCAGGGACCAGAGCCCCAACCATCTTCTCGAGCTTCTATACACGAGGGAGAACAGGGAGAACAGGGAGACAAACGACCGCTTCGCAAAATATCGATACACGATATTATTTCCTAGAATGAATAATATCATGTTTGTTGATGTGTCTTTGGCTATACCGTCTATCCATTCGGAAGACTGCGGAGGGGGGGGTTGGGAAGGGGGTCAGCCGACAACCATGGATTGACTACAAGTAGGGGCGGCAGGAAAATGGAATGTGTTTTGTTTCTGAAGATACGTGTATTGCGGTCACGCAAGGATAGGACTAGGAGTTAGGAGGCAATATGCGGACCCCTTGGGTGACTTGGAGATCTAATCTTTCTCCCTAACTGGTTTTATATCACACATAGCGAATTGTTTATTCTTATGGACTGCAATGGTCTGATTGAGATTTAGGTGGATTGGAAGGCCTAGCTCCCAGCGATTCTCAATGAATTATACAAAATCACGTTAAATAATGCTTTCTCCCGTCAACTAGTCGTGTCCTATAGACGCGTTCTTCACATGTAATTGACGAGCTAGCTACCCACGCGTCCATCGTTCTTGCAGAAATCTCGATGGTTTCATAGCGTGATCAATACTCGGGCATCCGAGATTTTAACATTGTATTTATTATGGCTGATAGTGTGCGAGAACTGGGCATGTCTGGACTTACAAGGTAGACTAAGATAAAATGCTCGGATACCTATCTGAGGGCATAAAGGTACCTATTCATCCCTTGGTGAAAAGTAGGTCTCACGGGGACTCGTCTTAAGTTAGATTAGACTACTGGGTTTGATCCAGCGTTGTGCGAGCAGGATGGATCCTAGACGGGACTTCGCAGAATCCTTATATTATCTTACCAGCGAGACTTGATGACCATTTAGAACGGCCTAACACGGGACGCAAGACTGTAGGTCCGGCTCTCATAGTCACTTGTATTAGCTAACAACGCTTGGATCGACGGATGATGGCACGAGCAAGCGACTAACCTAGGTACTAGACATGTAAAAGGACTCTGCTTACATCCATGCCCCCTCTCCCCCATCCCCCCTCCCCCCTCCACGGAGGCGAACCCCAAACGGACGTTACGGGCTATTTTCAGGGTTGACCCCTATCAGAAGAAAACACCCGTCTTGCCGTGTACCGAGAGAATTTTACGGTGCTAAGCCACGGTGCATATTGCTATGGGAGATCTCATGTCGTACCGTACGGTTATGCGACCGTTTATCAGGCGCCTCTGCCAGCCTGGTAGGCAGGCGAAGGACGATAATATAACGTTGCCGCCTAAGTCCGAGCATGTCGATACACAAGGCAGGCAACCCCCTTGTTCGTGTCAACCAACCAACTTGCTGTCCTGTCTCGCAGATCTCTGGTCATGCTGCACCTGGTTTGCGACCCAGTCTCTCTCCAGTCATCTTGTTGTGCGACCTCCCTCTCCTCGGGCATCGTCCACGACAAGAAGACGGCGGTGACGACGCCTCGCTAGGAGGGAGATAAGCAACGGTATGGTGCTACGAGGTGGCAACGCACAGGCCTGATGTGGCATACACACTTACGATGGTTATGATACTGTACCGGCCGCGTGCGAGAAGTGCGAGAAGTGCGATTCAATGTGTCTTTATATATATATATACCTAGGTACGTGTCAGCGTGTGTGATATCTTGAAAATTCGATTGATGCCATTACGGTCTACGCGCTCGGACTCGACGGAGGCTAAGATGGGAGATGGGCATCCACACCGGCTAAGCGCCCTTGCATACATAGGTACCTAAGTATGTACTCTCCGATCTCAAGCCCCCTTTCTTGGATCAATGCGGGCGGGCGCTATCGGCACATCGCCAAGTCCCAGATGATATAACGCACAGAAGCGAGAAACGGCCTTCGCCAAGATTCTAACGTCTGCTAGGTATAATTACCTAGGTTTTAACTTTTAGGTACTTAGGACCTAGGACTTAGGTAGGTAGGTATCGTACTCATCATACATCTGGGCAATGCGGCCAGCCGCCTCGCAGACCGCCCTGGTAGCTACCTACCTAAGCTGCTAAGTTGGTCAGTCACCTTTATAATTCGGAGACAGCGCTCACGGTACCGAGATGCCGGGATGGGCAGGGACGGGCCTCGACATGCCTCGACATGCCTCGATGAGGGTGTGCGGATATATGTGCTAGGTATGTGTGGATGTGCGGATGTAGGCACACCATGATCCATGTGTCACGGCTACCTCGGGTTGGCCAACAAGGACAGGAACACTGAACGTGGGGACGAGGGAATTACTTTCAGATGCAGAGAAATTCGGCTGCCTCCCGGTCGATTAGAATCCCGACCGTTTTGAAGTCAGGGAGTGTTACCGGTAGGGCGGTACTGATGACGACTTATGCAGGGATCCCTACACGTACCTCAGAGCTTGTTTTCCCTCCTCTTTCAGAACATACGAATGTATCTACACGTACCTTGTACCGAATACTTCTATGCTACACGACGAATTCGACTATGTTATGTATTAGCTACGCCCCATGTCATGCAATTCAGCTTTGCATTTAATATACGAAAGGGACCGGGGTATTGGGTTCGATCCGCGCCCCTGTCGGTACTCACAATTTCACCTCGAGGCATGCTGACATACCTAAGAGCAGGTCGCCGATGAGATGCAAGATCCGCTACCGAAGATTGTCATACGTGATATGTGCTGAAAGTGAGCTATATCCCACCATTATTCAGATGATTCTTTGGCTACCTAGTACGCATAACGTCCTAAGACATGGTGAATTCCGCTGAAGAGGCGGCTTACAGAACGGTAGACTTTATCGCATATGCTGTACAACAACATGTCTCTGCGTAGGAGAGGAAATGGTGCGAAAATAAAGACAGGAAGAGAATATTAAAGAGAGATGAACCTAAGAAGAGAGACTCTTGACACATTACCCGATCTCCACGGGCTACGTAGACCCGGAGATCTGGTTCAAGCTGTTCTCGGTTATCGAGAGGTATCTCTGTTGCATCGCAGGGAACTGGTCAGGGACACCATGAGCCTGCTGGCTGCCGTATCCACGCCCACACCCCAGTGCACACGCCTTGCGGTTGGACGCCTTGCTTGCTTGCCTTCGCGTTAGGTTATCATTCAATATGCTTGCCACACGTAATGTCCAACAGACGTCAGTCGCATATTCCACGTTCCTGGATCTACGTACGATAAATTTCGGGGAAAGCCGGCTCTCGTTAGAAGCTCTTCCTTCTTTTTAAGTCTAGGTCATCCACAGCAAGCCAAATAAGCCACCGTAATCTGCCTCTCAACTAACTGGCCAGCTAGCTTCCTCACCAATTCTCCTTGACACAGCAACTGTGACGCCTCATCTTGGTATATTGTCCGCGAGTAGATCTTCGGCCGAGTCGCCCTGTCCTGCGAAATCTCGTGCACGCGCCACTCCAAGCTCCACCTTCGTATCCCCCTTCCTTTCCCACATGGTCATCTTCTATTTGGGGGTGGAGAAATATTAGAGTTCATGTGGTCTCAGCTAAGTTTGGCCGACGAGAAGTCTAGTCGAGATGAGATTGTAAATTGCGTAAACTTACCTATGTAGGTGGGGGTTACCTAGGAAGTGCTCGTGCCGATCGTCCGAGATACATAGGTGCTTGCAATACTTCTGAATCATGCTGAGTGGCGTTTGCCTTGCAGAACCCATAGGTGCTATCCCTAGTCTACCGCCATAGCGGTAGTTTCGCAGACCCAACGTTAGAGGAATTGATATTGCTCGTGCTAGATTCCTGCCCGCCGGCACCTGTTGCGCCTGGCGACCACTGGGTTTCCCATGATTCTATTGGCCTTCCCAGATTATGCATGGGGTTTACCCTATCTTGTTCATGTGGACGCGATTCGACAATTTCCTCGTTAATGGCATATTCCTCAGCGGGTGTCGCAATTGTAGTCTCATCGCTGGCCCCACTACTAACGAGTATCGGAGAGGCATCATCCCCAGGTACAAAGGAGAATCCCGACACGCCTGACCAACCTCGCAAATGTCTAGAGTCCAGACTACGAATGCTCGGGCCGTCGAGCGCTTGGTTGACTCTAGCTATACTCGCTCTTTGATGGGTCTTTTCTCGAGAGGAGGTGTCTTTGCCACTGTTCTGGGATACCTCGCAATCCAGTAGATTTTCTAGTATATGTCGCCTGCTTCGCCTTTCTTGATGCGTAGACTCATCTGGATGTACTGGCCCTTTACGATCCAAATTTGGTACGTCGAATACATCATCTGAGAACAATGGATGCAACTCTGCAACCCTTGCTGGAGTGTTTGGATACTCTGTTTCCACCTTCGTCACCAATGCGTCGTTCCTTGGTCTGTGAGGTCCTACCGTCGCATGACGCGGAAATCTATTTCCATAATGAGCTAATGTGGTATTTGTGGTAGCATCTTGTAGCCGCATCTTCTCGCTCATGAAGAAGTCATTGGCTCTATCTAGAACCTTAGCAACGGGTCCAGGCATATACTTATCTACTATGCGAGGTATGTCGCCCATCGAATCTAGGGCACATGATATCAGCTACTGCTCTAGATTTAAATCTGTATTAATGACTGGGCTCTGTGTACTTGCCTTGAGTATTTTCCGTACCGAGACGTTTAAGCTTAGAGACAAGGTGCTTTGCCTGAGGGCTGTCTCTATCAAGAACACTATTAGCTCGAGCAAGAGTTACCGCCTCTAGCCCATCACGAGACGTTCTCGAAAGCAGGACCTCGAGCCGCTTTATTTCGGTCTTGTACTGATGCTCGCGCTCTAGCCATTCGTCGGCTACTGCCTTGAAGTACTCCAAGTGATGCTCAAGGGAGTGTTTTGCCTCGGCACGATCAATATCAACTTTACGAATTCGCTCCTGGGCATCAACGAATCCTTCAATGAGGTGTAGAATGTGAGAGTTGTACTCGACAGGAATCGGCTGTAATATGCCTTGGGTCCTATTCCATCAATCCATGCTATGTTAGTAATCTGTTATTTATTCATACAGCATATTAAATGCTGCTGCTGTGCATCTAATTATATAGATATGCAATTATGTTACTCACTGATATAAAGTCAGTCTCAATACGCATCAAGGAAACTCGAGTGTCGTTCGGAATGGCGATTGATCTGTATATGATAGTAATAATAATAACTTTTAATTTTTAGACATACCATGATAACTACTTGGAGACCGTCGACCATCTGATTTAGTGACGGGCTGTGCCATATTTTGTCCTGCTCGCGGACCAGCAAGCTAGTATCACTGCTGCCAATGTGAGGCACGTGGGAAAAGGAAGAACGGCTGGTTAGGCTTGGGTGGCTGGGAACTCGAGTCGGGCCGCGTCCAGGTGATGTTGGCGATCGGGGAGCGTTAGGTGCACAAGAGCGCTGACCAAACCGAAACCAACTGGAATCCGCCATGTCCACGATCCTCTTCCAGTGTTGGGACAGGTGTGGGTATGAATCTGGGAAGACGTATTCGCCGCAAAGTAGGTGCTAGGGTAGAGACATGCAAGTGGCGAGAACGAAATCAAGTGGCAATGATTTGGGGGAATAAGAGGAACAGGAGTGAATATGATAGATACTTGGGAGAGGTTAAGGGGGCTAATGGTCTTTCTTCATTATATGTACGGAAGCCACAACCAACCATTTTTGGGCTACCAGAATAATACTATGGTACCAGGACAGACCTTATGTACATGTATTTAGTTTGAACCTTGAAATACCTCGTACATGTAACCAAAGTTCCTTCCACCATTCAGAAGGCATTTACTTCTAACTTACATCAAATACCTACATAATATAGTAGTAGAATCCAACTTGGGAATAGACGCTTACTTGCATATGCACACGTTTATAGAGCGGAATAATGAACATGTCACAAATATCTCGATGCACGATGTCGATTCGGACAATGCCTACTGCACCTTTAAAGGTGGGTTCTCTCAAGGCGTTGTTGGATGAATTGTCTAATGGTATAAAGCAAGATCAACGCAATTGCATACCCTTCCCTAGGCACTTTTCCCACCGACACGGATATACCGGAAAGAATGGCGTGGGAAGCATCTCGCTGAACGTCTCGTCAGTCGAACAGATCCCCCGCCCTCTGCCTCTGTCTTAATCTACCCTCGAGTCTATCCGCGAATAGTTCCTTCCCCGAATTAATACCAAGTTTTTCGGGAAACAATTCTTTCGCTGACTTGCCAGCATTCCCCTTGATTGCAAATCCCTGATCTGTGCTTCTTTGACTAGCCGTACCCCGAATGCTGAAGCCCTGCCCCTTCCCGGGAAATGTAATCCTATCCTCTAGTTTTGGGGTCCCATTCGTCGGTGTGTCATTGCTCCCATCCATCAGGGGAAGTATGATTCCCTTAGATAGTAGAGTGGTTGTATCCTCCACATCATCTCCGAGACGCCCTGCTTCTGTCGTTGGTTCGTCTGGAAAAAGCTCCCTGGCCCGATTAGTGCGAGAAAGTCGGCTCTTGATCGCGCGGGCTCTTTCGCGATTTCGGTTCGCCGGTCCAACCTCCGTGGCGTTACCTACCGTTTCGTCGCCGTGCCGATCTCGAGGAGAAGCTGATCGTTGTCGTTGAGATCCACTCCTACCGCTCGAAATTAGGGGAAACAATTCTTTGCCTCGATTTTCATTCCGGTATGTATCTGCTCTCCCCCATTTGTCATCGCTTGTGTCTGACGCATATGATCGCTTGGGACGAGGTCGCGATTGCAATGCTCGATTAGTCAATGTAGCTTCGTCATCGTCATAAAGGCTGGCATCAAATTGATCCTCAAACTCTTGGTATCGAGACTCTCTTTCTCGCCTGCGACCATAAATATCGCCGCCCCGATCGCGATATCTCCGGGCCTCGCTTCGTCGCCACCGCTCTTCTGGATCGTACCCGGGATTCAGAAGGTAGAATCTGCTTCTCGAAGCAGAGCCTGCCTGCTTCCTATCGGCGACCACAGCTAATCGTACTTGTAGTGAAACTTCCGGCCTCTTCGAAAACGACTTTGCATTTATTGCTTTCCGGGTGGAAAGCTGAGTAACGTCTTGGACATCTTCGGCTATGAGAGAGTTAAGGGCGCGCGTCGCTATCAAATCTGAAGCAAACAGGAGATTGGCCGAAGAATCGTCTATCCATTCTATTTTTCTCACGGGCTCATCTGGGAAATGCTCGGCAACGTAAGATTTGACGTCGTCTGGGTTCATGACATCGAGACCTCTTATGTGGACTTTGGTAGGCACCGGGGTATCGTTGTCGGTTACGTCGTCCACTTCTCCGGGAGAGCGATTGCCCTGGTAGAGAGTAAGTTAGCATTTCATATCGCCTATATTATGTTTGATATACTAGAAACGCGATGGAAATAAATCTTACCGGGGCATCTTGTAGCTCAGGCTCCGGAATTATTGGCTCGTCAGGTACGAGGTCGACATCCACATCCATCTCGACATCAAGATCCATTGTATCCATCGTGTCTAGATCTAGCACCTTTTTCTGCTAGCGTGCTTTGTTGGTAGGTATGATGGTGTGATGCGACGTGATCATGAACGAGACTACCGCAATGGGACGAAGCTCTTGAATGAAGAGTTCGAACTACGCCAGGTGAAGTAAATATGGTTGTGTAGATAGAAGTGAATTGAGGTACAGATGATGTAAAGGGAATGATATTTGCAATACCTTCTACTGATAAAATGTGCAGTATATCCAACCTACATCCATACATCTATACCCAAGGTAGGCATGCATGTGTGGTTGCGAAGTGGAGGCTGAACAATTGAAGCTTTCAAATGTAAAAGGTAGGTACAACATCCATGTACTATTTTTGGCTACATCGTACATACCTAGTACTACTAGGTATAGGTATGTAGGTAGTAGCTGACTAACCCCTCGTGCACTTAGTAGGTTCTTAAATGTGGTCCCGTCTGCCGTTATCTACGAAGTAATTACCTAATACATATGTATGTAGGTACTTTGCATAGAATTACGTCCACCTGTACTGTACCTACCTACCTATCGTAACTGCCTACTTGAGATACTAAATGTATGAAAATCGCTGGAAATCTTATCTGTGGCTTATCCATATAAGTCGCAATGGTTAAAATCGCAATAATGATATAAAGAAATACAATGATTCTACTTCATCTTAATTAAACCCAAATTTCGGAATACTTTCAGTCAAAGGACAACTGAATACATTGGATAAACTAAAAATCACGTGGGAAATTTACACGCCATATGTATGTATAGAACTGTAGTACCTTGGTCCTGGGTATATGAAACCGGGCAAATCAGCCTGGTGTTGCGTGCGGCTGTGAATAAGTAGATCCCCCCCCTCAAATATTATTCACCACTATTGAATCATATTCCATCTTTCTATTCGACTAAATAATTGTCATGCCTGTCTTATCCTCTCATCTAGATGCTCGTATTCGGGAGTCCCGGATCCGCTCCTGAGAATATTTAAATATTCTACTAGGCCATTATATACCCTAAAACCTTTATCATCTTCCATCATTACTTCGTTTTCAGACATATGGACCCGACCGGCAGGACCAGGTCTATGCCTGATGCTGGATTGCTTACGTCTTCGCTAGCAGTCGTACCATAGAAAAGCAAGTTCAAATACATGACAACAATTGAAGTTGCTGGTCCGCCATATGCTTACGCCTGTCCTCAGAAGGTAAAAAGAAAGTAACAAGGGAGAAAAAGAGAAGAAGAAAAAAAACGCCCCTCATTCTATCCGCACTTTGTTGTGCTCTATATGGTATATCCAAGCGTCAAGTCTAAACCGTCTCGACTCCTCGTCTACGAAGTTCCATAGCTGCTTGAATACAAGTTGTTCGTGGTAATTTCTGCCGTGAATTATCATTTCCTTCGTTTGCTGAGACCGAACTCAAGCTCGGCGTCCGCGACATCTCCGATGCCGGGCGTTTCAATGATGGCAAAGGCGGTACAATCTCACCAGCGGACCGCCCATCCCCCAAATTGCCGTTGCAGTATTCAAAGTTATCGACCGGGTCAAGCAGAGGATCGTAAGCCCAACACTCTTCGAGGCCATCTAGATAGCATGGCGACCTCCTCAAGAATTGCCACGAAAATGTATCTGATAACATGGCAATGTACATGGATTCTACTTTGCCGTTTGGTAGGCACACAGCACAATATTTGCGTAGAAAGTCGAGGTCGTAATTCATGCCAATCAAAGCTGGGTCTAGGGGGCGGAGCATAGGAAGGCCCTGCAGAGTTTCGGCGTCACAGAGTCGAGCTCGTAACGGAACCCAATCTCTACCTCTAAGAAGGCTGCCGAAAGCCTTGGTGACGGCCTTCACGAAGGAGTCGCCATCTGTTCCCTCAACGGCGATCATTTGATGAAGCCCTCTAGACAGACATCTCTTGTAGGCATTCGTGTCCTTCTCGAAGGGGAATGGCTGTGACGCCGTCGGAAGGAGCGAAACGTGCACAGTCCATGACCCTCTCACCTCGATTGGCTTAATTTTAGGAACCTCGCATCGGGAGTCTGAGACCGATGTCAACGAGGAATGCGTTGCAGCACTATGGTCGCGGTGACCTTGCGGACGGCGTCGCCATGCTACAGCTCGCTTGTCATTTTTTGAGTCTTCCGAACCCGACGTAGATCTTCGCCGGCGCCGACGGAAAGGAATACCGGCGCTATCCTGATCTTCCAACGCATCCAAACGCTCTTCGAGCACCATAGATGCTTCGTCAAACTCCATTAACCTATTGCCTAGACCATGTAGGGTGTCGTCGTGGCCATCCAAGCGTTCGTCAAACGTGAGAAACCGGTCCTCATATCCGGACGTTCTATTTTCGAGCTGGGTGACGGACTGCCACATGCGATCGACATTTCTATAACAACCTTTTACTTCTAGATTTGTCTCATCCCTGTTCTTCTCAACTTGTTCCTCTAAATCTCCGAGCCGCCGAACCACAGTGCCTAGGGCGCTGCCAAGACCACCGTCGTTCTCTCGGTCCAGCTGCTCTTCCAGCAGCTTGATGCGCCGCCGAAGCGTGTCAACCTCATTCTTGTCTGGGGGAGGTTCGGCTGATTGGATGTGGTAACACGAGAGATGACCGCAGTCACAAGTTACACCAGGTAGAGACCTGTTAAAGGTGAAGCCGACACAAGCGCAACGCTGCCCCTTAATCTCCGGATTCAGTAGTATGTATCGACATTGGCCGCTAGGCAGCTTGTTCTCGTCGACATGCTGTTTAGAAGCGGCGGGCTCAGCCTGCGGGGACCGCGACGAGGGGATAGACATGACTGTTGCTTGAACTTGCAAAGAGGTGGGTCCACGAACTAAAGTACGCCTTTAGAATATGAGGTCTCGCCTTGGGGACACCCAAACGAGGGGACCAGGCGTTAGTTGAACACGGGTAGTAGAACACGGCGAGGCCAATTAATGTTATCGAATGCAGCGCGCGAAATACAGGAGTTGGTAAGAGGGGTTTACTTGGTCCATGGAACGACTTTCGAGGAACCCATACACCGGACTTTCAACGGGTAAGCTTGATTTATTTTCCCTCTCTCGCGGGCGTGGAGAAACACGGTTCTCAATTTTCCTTGGCTTGGAGTGTAATAGAATGATGAGAAAAAGAAGCAGGAGGGGGCCCCGAGGGTCATATAATAAAGGAGATAACCTTGGTGGTGTATGCTGATGGATGAGACCGGGTCCCACAATCTGTTATCAAGCTACCCACGGCGCTTGAGGCCAGAGGCCGGGCTAGTAACCAGTGGAGGCCGACGTAGGTAGGTTCCTGGGTGTAACAAAAGTTGCCGTTCTGGTGTAATGGGTACGTAGCGATGAGCGTGGGCGCACCACTGGTGACAGATAACAAGTACAGGATGTGTATTGGATCACCGGGGAAAGAGAGGCGTGCTTAATGGATAATAACGATTCGGTGCAGAGAAAGAGAAAAAAAGACAGAGGCAAGAGGGAGTACTTAGACCAGCTGTAACAGAAATGCGTGGACGGATGTGTTAAACGGGGATCCGCTGCAGATAAACCGATAGGCTAGAAAGGGTCGAGATATCAAGATACCGCGTGCGCGCGCAAGCAAGGATCTCGAGAATCTCGAGATTCGAGGGACCGGCACAGGTCGGACTGCCAGCCCCTTGTTCTTATCCTGGGTGTCAGGCCAGGTACAAGTATAACCAGGTGAAAGAATTATTATTTAGGTATTGAAAGTCGATCGCAGACTCGGGAGTCAAGCCAGCAGTAGTAGCGTGACCAAATTCCTGCTGGAGTTCTGAGGGTTCTGAGAGTTTGAGTATGTCAAGAGGCCGAGTAGGCCCGAATCGGAAGACAAAAGTATTTGCGTTAGGTAGCTTTGGTAACTGGCTAACCACTAGGTATATGTGGGAAGAGAGAGTTTCCTCGTGGAGGGAAAGAAAAGAGGGAGAGAATGAGAAAGAGCGCGGGAGGAAGGAGCACTAGCGACAGCGACAGGGGTGGCACACATGTAGTAGGTAGGTTAGGTGCTTAACAAAGAGTATGTCGTTACCCCTATATTGTATGTGTACCTAGTATGTAATAAAGATATCTGGCTATCTGGCAGTCTGGTAGAACCATGGAAGATTTGACATGTGCTGCTAAGTAGAGTCTTTGCTGCGACTTTAATCAATCATTAGAGATTCGATTATAATCCCTGCAAAGAGTCATTGGTGATTCAGCAGCATGAGGTCTGCAACTGGAAGTATGTAAAAGCCACAATGCCACAGGGATATCAGGGATTTGCCGCGGGTTCTTGATCTAGAGGTCGAACGGGGGCGGGATGAACAACTTTCTCTGTGGGGGTTATTCTTTTCTCTCTTTAGTTGACTGGTGGGAACCGATAAGCAGACACGGGTGGAAAGAGCTGAGAACAGTTAGGACGGGAACAACTGGGCATCCTTAATTGGTCCGGCTGTTCCCATCTGGACCCCCCCACACCTCTTCTGGAATAGATACTTACATGTATGTCTACATGTACATAGTATACCTAAAATGCGACCGCAACCCATACTTTACAACATCCAGATGTCGTCTTACTAGTGTATACTACCTTAGCTAACGCAGAAGAGTCTTCTGTCATTGGAAACGCAGCCATAAGGGTATAAATGAAAAGTGATGAAAATCGACCGGTGAGTATGTAATCACAACCGGTGTGAAAACTTGTGAGTCTAAATGTCTAAATGTCTGCATATCGTCCTTTTCAAATTTGATGTAAATAGATATCATCTGTAAATGTTGTTATGATACTGACTACATACTACATATGTACCTAAGTATAGATTTATATTTATACGGAATACTTCATCCGCGTCGTCTTGTGTGCATCTTACTTGCGTTACCTATGGCGTGCGCCGACCTGCGCAATACGCAACAACTTGAGATACATACTTTTACCTGGCAGCCTGGATAGAATGACGGATATCTAACCGACCCAAGCGACCGTCACCCTAATTTTTTTAATAGCGAGAGTGACAAGAGTACTGGGTAAGTACAATGTAAAATAGTGATGGATATCCGGGATGAATATCCCAGACGTGTCAGCATCCAGGCGATGTATAAGTAGACCAACATCAGCATCAACCCTCGTGCAACACCACAACTATAATACACACCTATGATTAGTAGTAAGATACCTACATATGTAGGTATCTATGTACTAGGATAGATAAATAGTAGGTACATGTAACTAGTATGGATCCTATAAAGGAATAAAGGGACCTATATGTAGGTACATAGCTATATGTACATACATGCAGGTAATACCTAGTAAGATATCTCGTTATACCTGCCTAGTACCTACATATGTGCCTACTAGGAAGTGTATAGTCATGATAGTAATGATCTTGTTATTCAAACATTATAAAATACCTACGTTAAGACTTAGGTAATACTACCTAGGTAGAAGGCATCTACATGGTAATATTGCATACCAGCCCAGTACGGATGTATGCAGGTGGATACATACATATATGTGATAAGTAAATATAGATACCTGTGTATCTAGGTAAACCCCTACCCCCACGCCGAGCACTCGAGCATTTAATGTTGTTTTTGGGTTATTCATCATCCTAGTGCTTCTTGTCACCATTTTCTTAAGTTGATAAGCTACCTATCTATGTAAGCTCCTAATCTCCTACTTGATATAGTAGCCTGCCAGTTCGGGTTGCGTTGCCGAGATTTATCAGATCAACTCGATTACCTACCTAGAGGTACTTAACGTTATAATAAATAGAAATTCTAGATAACTCGTCATCTCAGAAAAGCTCAAACTGTCCATGAAAAATGTTAGAGATAGTAAGTAATGAGAATGGATATCGCAAATACCTATAACTTACATTCTAGACATGACAAGGACAAAACATCCGAAGTCTTGTTAGTAATAGCGTTGCCTAACGTTCTACTCATTCTAGAATAAGGCTGCTAGATTTATCATCTCTACCTAGGTAGGCACTGCTCAATATGAGGCAGCCTGAGCACCTTCATTTTGAAGCATCGCTTTTAATGAACTCGAGCCCAAAACCACGCGCACAAGTGCTACCCAGTACATTAGTACTTACCTACCTAATGTAACAGAAGGTTCTCTTGGGATACATAATAACGGGTCAACTACCTGCCTACATGTAGGCAGCTACCTACCTATTTTCTCATCCCACAAAATTATCATAGTGTCCATTGTACCCTCATTAGTAAAGTTTAGTGTAATTTACTTAGGTAAGACAGATACATAGTACTTAGAGTGATGGAGCACTTGACAACCCCACCACTAAAAACGCATCAATTGATACCTACTAAGACTTCAATGTACAAATAATCACCTACCCACCAGTTGACCTACCTACTGTAGGTAGTTATCTCACATGGAATTATTCCCACTCTTCCCATATCAAGCCAGGAAAGTTGAAAAAGGTCGAACTCTACTCACACATGTTGGATACCCGATTGTAATCACTGTAGGCCTAGGCTTTTCTCTCTGTGACCATGGCGAACCCCGCTGCCGCTCTCACATCACTCCTACGCGCTTCAACCATCCAAGACCACGACGAGATACTGAAAGCTGCCAACGCGGCTATAAAATCCTCTAAACAAGACATCAATGCACAGCGCACCCGCATAGTTGCTCTTTTGAAGCTAGATCGCTTTGACGATGCTCTCCGAGCTATAGCTGAAGGTGGGGATGGCTTGGAGAAGGAATGTCGCTTCGAGAAATCGTATGCGCTTTACAAGTTGGGCCAGCTCGAGGATGCGGGAAAGTCTCTCGACATAGCCCCAAGTTCTTCTAAATCATCTCGCGCCTCGCGCCACCTCGCCGCTCAGATTGCTTACCGCGCTGAGAGATTCTCAGATGCTGCCGAAACCTATCGCCATCTCTCACAAGGATCGGGTGGTCTACCCGGAGAGGAAAATGATCTGAAAATAAACTTTCTAGCTACAAATGCTCAGCTGGAGTGGAACGGCCTTGGCCATATATTAGAAGAGCATGAACGGCAGTCATCGCGGGATCATCTCGAAGCTTTCGAAACCGCCTATAACGCTGCTTGCACTTGCATAGCAAGAGGTGACTTGACCCGCGCCTCCGTATTCCTTAAACGCGCGCAAGACCTTTGTGAGGCTAGCGAGGACTTATCTGCCGACGAGAAGAAGGCCGAGCTCCTGCCCATCCTAGTCCAACATGCCTACGTCCTCACGAGATTGGGTAAGGAGGCAGAGGCAGTAGCTCTGCATAAATCTATAGTGCCATCTGAGTGAGAAACCCCATATTTCCTACTCGGCGACCGTGTGTTAACATCATTTAGAATTCCAGAGGCACCGACAAGAGCTGTTGCGCAGAACAACCAGGTTGCCATCGGCGTCGTTGGAAGGAATCCTTTCCTTACACAGCGTCTCCTCCAATCGACCACGAAGTTGTCCGGTGGTGACAAGCTTTTTGAGTATCAAGCGTCGGTTTTAAGACGTAATGAGTATGCTTTAGATCTACAAACCCAAAAGTTCGATGGTATTGAGGCTTCTACGTCGAAGTTAATTATGGAGAGTCCATTGCCTACAGCATCTGTGGAAACCGCAGGCCTTGGTGTCATCGCTGCTGCAGCTCATATCCATATGCAGACTAGTACAGAGACCCTAAGGGAAATATTACCTCTTCTCGAGAAACGCCCAACTGACATTGGGCTTCTATTAACAATCATCCAGCTTCACATGCAGGCGAACAATCTTGGACCGGCGCTGAGCCTCCTAGACGTCTTCCTAAAGCGGCTTGATGCGGAATCGACTCCTGATCACAGAGAAGTTCGGTTCGCCCCCGGACTTGTCGCTGCGACTGTGGCGCTGTATCGACTACAAGGTCGGCAAAATTCCGCCCGTTCTGAATTGGCAAAGGCATCCGCATACTGGCGCTCCAAATCGAAAGAGTCTGCCTCATCTCTCCTGCGCGAAGCTGGTGTAGAGCTTCTCAGGTCCCCTAATCATCAAGACATTGCTTCTGCCGGCCAAACTTTTGAGACCTTAGTGGCTAGATCCGAAAAAGATCCAGTGGCAGTTGCAGGGCTTGTGGCCTCGTTTGCGAACAATGATTATGCCAAGATTGAGCCATATCTACTGAGCATCACGCCCGTAGAAAAGCTCATTGCCGGGGTCAATATCCAGGAGCTTGTGAATGCTGGGGTCGCTTCAGTCCCGACTCCCTTATCGGCGAGTAAGAAGAGGCTGGCAGAGCGCGAACCCGAAAAGGCTACAAAGCGCCGCCGAAAGACTCGCCTGCCCAAGAACTATGAAGAGGGTAAACAACCCGACCCGGAACGATGGCTTCCTCTTCGCGACCGTAGCACGTATAGGCCAAAGGGGAAGAAGGGGAAGAAGCGAGCCCAAGAAATCACACAGGGCGGTGTTGTTAGAGAAGAAGAGACGTTAGAGCTCGTGGGTGGTGCCGGTGCTGTTAAGGTAGAAAAGGCACCTGGCGTGCAGGGAGGTAAAAAGAAGAAGAAGGGTAAGAAATAGGAACCAAATTGTGCTGGGGAAATTTGGCACCGACTCGATGGTCCTATGGGGGAAAAGGCCTGATAGCTAATATAATTTGGCTGGGGGTCTTTGTAACGTAATTCAATGCAGGTCATCTGGGGTACCGAAATGGCATAAATATCCATGCCAAGGCAGGTTGGATTAATACATCTCTATAGGACGTATAAGCACGACACATGAATCTAGACATAAATGAGTGCTGTTAAAAATTCCCCACGTATATACAGCATCGCCACAACGCTTCAACCCCTTAAGGACTTACCGAAAAAGTACCTAATACCGGTGAGGTTGTTCTGAAGCATCTCTTCTCTTCGAGCATTGTCGCCCTCTTCTACCAGTACATATTATGTTAAGTTGTGTCATCTCCTTTGAATGTTTGCAATTCGAGTGCCTTCCCAGCTTGCCTGCCAACCCGATCTCTAAAAACTCCTACGCAATGGTGGCAACAAATCATTTCTCTCACAACCGAACTAATTGCTACATCAGCCTGGTCAACGACCAGCTGCAGATACTACGCGCTGACTGTTTGGATCACGGGGCTGGGCAGTCGCTCGATTTCCTGAGAAGCATCTTCGTCGTTTTCCTCTGCCACCTCTGATGCTTTCTGCTGGGTAGGGGAGCTAGGGGGTTCGGGTGTATAGAACCGGGCTTGCGTCGGTGGTTCCATGCCCGGAGTTTCGTCTTCGTCATCTAGAGGTGGTAAGGGTGATCTTCGACCATCTGAAAAGCTGACGGCTGCGTCGCTATCCTCATCGGATGGGACTGTCAAGCCTCCCGAGGCGAGGCGGTGACCTCTCGATGACGAATATTTCCGGTGCAACTCACGGAAAGACCGAGCCGTCGCCGTGCTCGCGCTAGCGCCCGACCCCCGCCGATCGGACCGCTCACGGACATCCCCGAGGAGAGAGTGGAAATCGTCAATACTAGCTGGTGACACTAGGCCATGCTCGTCGCTCTGGTATGATTGTTTGCGTTGTCTTATACGATCGTCGGTTGACATACTTTGCAGTTCGCTGCCAAAGTTGATGACAGATGCCTTCTTACCATGTACGGTAAAGCTCCCAGTGCCACGAGTTAATACCTCATTTTCCCGAACGGTTTCGTCCGACATGCCGCCACTCGATGCGGAATCCTTGCCTTTTCTGCTGCGGTGATGTGATAGGTGGCCCGCGCCATCTCTGAGTGTTCGTTGGAGGCTGCGGCGCATCTTGCTTCGATCAAGCCCATCCTTGTCTAAAGCCGGGACGCTTGCGCGTATAGGTCGATCGGGACTATCATCGTGAGCTTTGCCGGAAGAACTACGCTTATGACCAGATGAACGGACGGATTCCATCTCAAAAAGGCCTGCCTGCTCAAGGACTTGACGCTCGCCCTCGTCATCTTCACTTTGTTCGTCGATTGCATCTTTGTCTTGTCCAATGATGGGGCTTGACGCTTTTCGGGGCGGGGTAGATATTGCAGCTGGTTTTGACGACGAAGCAGCGCTCGAGACCGATGTTTTTCTAGTGCCGAGATGATCGTAACCGACGGGGGGTACATCTCGTGAAGGTTGAGCGTTGTGGAATAGCGGATCAACGGCACTGGTTGGCGGCGTTTGAAAGTCTTCCATTTCTGGCGAGTCTCCATCCATCTGGTTCACAGACGCCGATGACTGGGCTAACGAAAGCGGGGCTGGAGATCGCGGGTCCTGTTGTTGAAATTTATGAGAGCTCGCCCGGGAGTCCTTGTCTGCAGAAAATGGCCTCTCGGCGGATGGATTGATTTCGAACCCATCCTCATCCAGCTCACCATTGACCTCTTTTTCTTCCTCAAGATCCAGAGCTAGAATGTCACGGTGACATTTTAGTCTCCAAATTTCGGTTCGAGACCACTTTAGCTGGGCGATGATCTTGGCAGCACCTCCTCGAACCTGGTCCCTGGTTTTGTCTTGGATTGGGGCCAAGATTAATAGATGCCTAGCATTTCTCAACTGCGTCTCAAGGAGTTTATACGCAAGTTGAAGTTTCTCGTCAGCCTCGTCAATCTTGTTACGTATTATTTCACGACGAGCAACGAGGATGTCACGAGCCATCTGGTGATCGATTCGGCCCCGATTGATGCTAACTTCCCCGCTAGGAGTTTGAATCAACTGCGTCGCGTCGGTGCTGTCTAATCTCCTAATGGCACGCCGACTCTGGCCTTCGTAATTGCCACCTACGACCCCTCGCATTCGGACGCCGGATGTCCTGAAAGCGGCAGCGTAGTTCAGTTTGGCAAGCCAATCATTTCTATCCTCCTCGTTCTGAGCAAGCAGTACTTCTTCTAGTCCACCATGCCTGACGTATATAAAGGAGTTCTTGTGCTTTTTATAACTGTTGTCCCACAGAGCGACTGCGCCGTGGGTTGACATTAGAGCGTCAGGTTTAAACTGTTCAATTGGCGGGTTGAAGATTAGTGGGATACCATCATGCCCCGACCTGACGTGCATCTCGTACTGATGCATCAAGTTCTTGATCCATGCTGTATTGCGAAAGAAGTATAATTGAGCACCCGTCAAAATTGCTCCCCATTCCTGCCATGGTGATCGCGTCTTCTTTTTCTTAGGGTCTTTGCGCCATAACAGGCCGACTTTTGTGACCTTGATATCCACGATACCGGGATGGGCTTCTTGGGGGTTATTTGCCGTCTTCTCCGTCATGAAAGCGTCAGGGCGGGATCGTGCGGATACGATCTGAAGAACCCCAGTCTTGAAGAACGTAGTTTGCAGCTCTTTCAAGTTTAATTCGTTAGCAGTGCCTAGATAACTATAATGTTCCTCTAACGGGATCTGGTCCTTCAGCGGCGGTCGAAGGGTATCTAGTCGCCCATCTATAATCAATGTATATGGATCAATCGGATCTTTCGACCTTCGGAGCGTCTCCGTCGTAGTGTTGGGAAATATGTTTTTCTTCTTCGACCTCAAGCTACCGGCTCGTTCACCGCTCAGAGCAAGATCATCTTCAACGTGAATAAACGGAGTATAGCTAATATTGTCATAGAAGCATTCGAGTATATCATCAAAAATACCTTCACCGTGAGTATTTTTCAGATAATCAGCCTTCTGCATCTTGTACTTGTTGTTCTTGTTGAATACGTCGGTGTGTAATATAAGAAGGGAAAATGCTATAAAATACGCTTGATCTGGAGTAGAGTAGATCCCGGGATTGCATTCGTGGTAGCGATTTGCGAAGGCTTGCAAGCAACGATCGATCTGCTGTGTTTCCTTGGGGAGTTCGGCTTCCATTAGAAGTTTACGGATAGCCATATCCATAGGTTCTTCAAAAAAGCTGAAGGTACGCATGTAACTCCGCAGTACCGCTGCGGAAAATGGATCGTTCTCTTTAGATAGAGCACTAGCGATGACTCCTCGGCTGAGCACCTCCTCTATACGCGCTAGGTATTTGGCCGGGGTATCGTCTTCCCGGCGCTCAGGTAGAATAATCGGCTCCCTGTTTATCTGAAGCGAGTTGTTCTTCGAAGTATTGGAACCTGGTGTCGCCGGTGTTAAACTCCCATGCCGCAGGCTATCAGGATTTTGTCGTATCCGGCTGAGACCCAAAAGATCACCGAAACTTTTCCGGCCGGTAGACGACGAAGTTCGGGTGGTTCCCGGGGTTTGGCGATCGTCAATGAAGCTCTCGCCGAGGGAGCTCATTGTAGAAGATCTTCCCCTCAGGGTCAGATGTACCCTTGTTGGGGATGACTGCCCAGAGTTCCTAGATGTAGGTCTGAACAATGCCGTGGCTGGAGACCCTGAATGCTTCCCAGGGTATCCCGCAAAGTGAGAAGGAGAAGCTAATGGCGTTGAACCATCGTGTCCGGTAGATGGGCGGGAAAATTCGGTCGTGGCATTAGAAGGACGAGAAGAAATTGATGTGCGCGGGACAGAAGAAGCCGTCCCAGGTAGAGCGGGCGTCTTAGATCGCTGAGGGAGATGCGATAGTGGAAATAGTGGTTCGGGTTGTTTCTGTTTGCGGCGAAGACGGAAGAAGGAGGTCGGATTCAATCCAGCTTGTTGTGTAAGGATGGCGTGTTCGTTTAGGCTACTATCAGACCTAGATGATTCAGATAAACGTTCGACCGGAGGAGCCAAGGTAGTGTTCTGGTCATCGGTATTGGTATACGTTGTACTCAACGTCCCAGGTTTGGTGGGCTCTTCAAATGTCACTGTCTGCTTGCTTGACGATGACATTGCTCGCTCGTACAATGGCTTTTTCTTGTCCTTCTTAGCCGTTACGGAATTTATGAGTCTAAGTGGGAGCTCTTGGTCGCCTCTAGGGAGGTCGCTAGACCGGCGCATTCGTATAGGTATTTTCATACGAGGCTGCTTCTTGGCCTGCATATCTATATCTATGGTAGGCGCTGTCGTGATGATGGAGGGAGCTAGGTAGAATGGTAAGGTGAGCGAGCGAATCCAAGACAAGCCAAGATCTTCAAAATTCTGGACCACTAGCAAGGTGGTAGGATTGTCGACTTACGTTGTGGCATAGGAGGTAGCTTTTCAGCTTGCTGCTGCTGTTTTAACCGAGCCGATAATTGAGAATCAGAAGCATTGCGAAACCTTAGCATGCTGAACCTGCGATGTTTCGGCGATTCGTCCTGGATAGGAGGAGATTCCGGCCGACTATACGGGTCTTCGCTTTCCCTACTTGGGAACATCGAGGTCGAAGATGTGGCCAATGTGTCGACGGAGGACTTGTTACCATCTCGATGCTCGCCCGAAGCACCATCCGTCGTTTCTTCTCCGTTCTTCGCGGTAGCGTCGGGGCTCAGCAACGCTTCTGGTTGAAGCCTACGCGAAAGCGGCTTAGGAGTCACAGGTGCTGGGTCAACGAGAATCGTGTGCCTTCTCATGTCGGTGTCGCTGGCATTAACGCCGCGACGGCGTAGAAAAGGCATTGTGATAGACGATGGGTGGTCTCCGTCTAAAAATGGGACTAGCTAGGAATCCAACTTGCGATGGGGCATATACCTAGCAACAACAACCGATGGTCATCACGTCAAGAATTGCAACTGTCAAGGCCCATTGTTCCGATGAGGGTTGCGAAGGGGGTTGCGAAGGGGGTTGCGAAGAGAGGGCGGCGAGAGAAGACGAAATATTAGTAGATGGCGTTGGTTTTGTCCAAGGGGACGGGAGCGAGAGCGAAAGGTGACAGAAGAATCTTTTCTGGACGGATTCCTGTCGCCGAAGCTGTTAGATCCAGGACGTTTTAACTGGCTGACCGAGACAGCAAAGCTGAAAACGAGTACTGCAATCTCCTACAAGGCAGGTTTATTGTTGGCTATATAGACACTGAATCGAATTGGGTTGGTTTGGATATATCAATCGGCAATCGATCGATCAAAGTAAGCCCATTGAGAGGATATGCATACTTCGTGAAATGTCAAGTGTAGGTTTTGGGCTCGCGGTACAGTTGGTAGGTACTTGTTGTAGGCAGTGTATGTAATAAGTTTTGCTACATATTTCTGCAGGCAAGTAGATTGCGCAGGTCGCCAGGTGCACTAGAAACAATTAAAAGTTGGTTAGGACCCCTTGGGTCTTTCCAGGTTCACTACCTGGGTCCCTTCCACCTCCCCGCCGAGAGCCCCAAAACTGCCAAGTCTCTACCTAAAATAGTGAGTTCGGGTTAGCTATGTACACACATCCTACCTACATATGCATCTAGATTCTATGTACATATTGTACACAGGAACCTACCTCATATTGTGCCTCGTACCTCTTATTAATATTAAATGGATAGAAACTGGTCGATGCATGGAGTGGAAAATTTACTTGGCACATATATAGGTACTCATGTATACCTTGGTATATACATAGGTATCTAGGACCTGGGTACCTTGGCGTTTTCCCGGGGTTCATTTAACCGTATATATGCGGTAAATGTACAGTTCAAAATATGAGCGGTTCAATTAAGTTTATGGAACGTTGCGCGCAAAATTTTAGCTTCGGCTCCAGCCAATAATACGACTCATTAAAGTTCGAACGTTCTAAATCTGGACTAACTCGCTCAAATTAAACATCCTAAATATTAAACGCTCCAATTAAGATAAGCCGTCAAAATACCTTTTGAACGGTTCGATCTATTGAGCGGTTCAAATTTTTGAGCCGCTAAGCATTTAAGCGAAATAAAAGAAAAAAGATATTTCCAAGTACTACTCCCATACTATTTATATGGGAGTAATACTTGGATCATTCGGATTATTCAGGTTACACAGTTCAATTGCACAGTTTTTGGACATACTCACACTCGAACTATGGGTTTTACTGATTTTAATTGGATGAGCTACGGTCGCATTGCCACTTGACTACTGGGACTACAAGGTTTACATACATGCAAATACTACGCGTAAGTGAATAAGGTTCTGTTTTAGTATATGACCAACCTAAAAAGCGGGGGCTTTTAACCTAAAATGGGCCGGTGCACGTGATGATATTGCATTAGCGGTTCAAAATTAGAGCGCTCAAGGACTGAGCGGTTCAAGTCAGATTGAACTGAATATATACGATTCAATTGGCTGAGCGAGGAAACAACGATTCAATTAGGTTAGCGTTACTAGATTTATGAGCGTTTTAGGAAAGAGCCGTATGAATATGGTTCAAAGGATAAGCCAATCAAATTTCGAACGTTCGAATAAGGAGCTATTCATTGCATAAAACCGCATAAATACGGTCGATATTTAATGAACGGAAAAGTAACGGTAAAGACAACCCCCCCCAAGGCGGTAAGGTATTATATTGTATGTACATAGGTACGTATTACTATATTGATGTAGTAGGTACCTAGTCAGATAGACACCTAATTACTATCAATACGTACCTATGTAGGTAGGCAGCTATCTTAAACCTCGACATTTGAGAATTTTAGGATAGACATGGCCGTAGACTCAATTCATCTCTATGTCTTACGACGTCACATTAAACTCAAGCCCCCCCTTCCCGAGTCTCTGCCTATTATAGGGCTTCTATCACGATGGGCTTCTTCTTCCGCCGAAGCTCTATACTAGGTCTACTCTTACTGTTCCTGATATGCCTTCCCTCCAATGCAACAAGTCTTCCGCAAGCCACTCCCTCCCAACGCCATAACGGACATTCATATATGAACCGTCTACTCAACTTTCCATTTACCTGGACTTCGAAAAAGTCTAGAAAAAATCTAAATCAATGGCTCGATACCCACCCGAAGCTCCTACGAAATTTGCAACGATATGAAAACGAAGTTGTAATACGGTTCAATGTTTCAACAAGCGCACACGAGGCGGCCTTGAGAAAGGCCATTGACCAGATGCTGATCGATGTTTGGGATTTCACAGATAATTATACTGATATACGCATTGAAGCCCGTCGCATCCGCCCGTTGATGGGTATCCTCCCGCCCTCTCTACACGATAATCACTTCGTCCTGATTCCTGACCTGGCTCGTGCTGTCGCTGCCACATATCCGTCAGATGCGCCCTCTCACTCCATCGTCCAATCCTCCTCCAATGATTGGGGCATCACACCCACAAACGACATCCCTGCGCCTAAGAAGCGAGGGGTCGATGATATCTTCTTTCACGATTATCAGCCTCTCTCAGTTATTAACACCTGGATGAAGCTATTAGACTCTATGTTTAGGGGCCGTGGTCTCGTTCGCATGGTTATCATTGGAAAGTCATATGAAGGACGCGATATACCGGCATTAAGGGTAGGTATACCTACCAGTAGCGCGATGCCGGCTGGCTCGAAAAGCCCCAAAGACACTATCCTCATTACCGGTGGTATGCATGGACGGGAATGGATCTCCCCGGCCACGGTGAATTATGTCGCTTGGTCCTTCATCAGGTCTATTGACGAGGACCCGATGATAGTCAAAATTCTGGAACATTTTGACATCGTCTTCGTTCCTGTCCTAAACCCCGATGGATATGAGTATACATGGGACGTCGACCGTCTGTATGTGCCCCTTTATCGTTATAGCCTGCCACAGTTTAATTTATATATGATCCTAATACTTTCTGTTCAAGGTGGCGTAAGTCTAGACAGCGCACTAAGATGCAATATTGCCCTGGGTTTGACCTAGACCACGCCTTCGGGTATAGATGGGATGCTACGCAACACCAGACAGAGCCGTGCTCTGAAAGTTTTGGTGGCTATCAACCATTTGAAGCCGTCGAAGCAGCTCAGCTAGCAGATTGGGCCAAGAACGAGACAGATAAGGGTGTGAAATTTGTGGCTTATCTTGACCTCCATTCATACTCACAGCAAGTCCTATATCCCTATGCCTATTCTTGTGCCGTTCGCCCGCCAAACCTTGAAAATCTACAGGAGGTAGCCATGAATCTAGCAAAGCATATGAGACTCTCCAACGGGGAAGTCTACACTACTACTTCTGCTTGTGAGGGGGCTGTGGCAAGTGCAGATAACGTAGCAAATGCAGAAAGAATGCGGGTTGAGGCCGGCGGAGGTTCCGCCATTGACTATATTTTTCATGAATTGGGAGCTCGTTACAGCTATCAGATCAAATTACGAGATACTGGGAGCTACGGTTTCTTGCTTCCAAGCGAATATATCATCCCCACTGGCGAAGAGTTATATCAAGCAATGAAGTATCTGGGGGACTACCTTCTTGGCAATAACGGACACGAGTCTTGGGATGATTCTAGATCTGGGGAGAATCCATCTAAAAAAAATACTCCAGCGGCCGAGGAGAACGAGGATATTACAGAGCTTCGAAGGAGACGTCGGAGGCGATGTATTGGATGTACGTAGGAAGTAAACTTCATCGAAGCCAAGAATATAATTTGCACATATTTTAACGGGCGAGTGGCTTTGTAATCAATTTAGGTTGACGTTTATGTAGCAGCATATATGTACCTAGTAAGTATGGTATATAATGCACCGGATACTACATGCGCATACTCAGCACTTCCGGCATTACGTATCTCCCACTGTATATGGTAGGTATTCTGAAAAGCAAGGTCACACGAGATGGAAATGAAAATCCAGCGATGCCTAGTTACACCTGTGAAACTACAGGAATCCGATAACTTTATTGCTGATTTTTTTTTTGGAAAAAAACAAACGAAGATATATCCTATGATCCGCCCTTTTCATTTATATCTTCTCCCTCGATACTGCACCGCTACTTAAAAGATGTCTACGCACTCGGGAGCATCTTCACACCAGCAATGACCGCCATAATTTTCAGAGCCGTATCGGAGATCACACTCAAGGTAAACCCCTTCAGTCTACCTTGGGGACCAAACGATGTGTAACCGAGAGCGTACCAGAAACGGCCGAAAACCCAAGTTGCGCCAAGCGCGGCGCTGGCGGTCGGGTAATAGAGACCGGAGATAAGGAGGGCACCCAAAAAGGGCGTCAAGTTTTCCGTGTAGTTGGCGTGTGCTCGCTGGGCACAGTTGAATGCGTATGCTTTGGGATCCTTTTCGGCATGCTCTTTGCTCGCGTAGGGAATCGGATAGCCCAACCCGCTTGCCTTGCGCGCCTTGGCTGTTAAGACAAAGTGGAGGGTGTTGATAAAAAACGACGAGGCCGCAACAGTGAGGACGTATCTAAAGTAAGGAAAAATTAGTTTCAAGACATCTTTACCGGTGGCAGGACATGCATTGGGAGTGCCAATCAAATGAGAAAGAAATAGCATGCTGGTATTTCACCACTGATGTGTAGATATTGGGTACCGCCTCCCCGGGAAAAAGGGAAAAAGAAAAACCTAAAAACCCAAAACCCAAAACCCCCCCAAAAAACAGAAAACAGAAAACTCAAATCCTAGGTACTTACCCATACTCGCCGGGAACTTGGAAAGAGGAAGCCATGGTGGGATGATTTTAATATTGTAATGACAATTAGCGAGAAACAGATCCGTCTGTTGAAGGTCGATTTATATTTGTCTAGGTCTGTAAGGAGAAAACCTGAGGGACTTTATAGAATATGGAGTTACAGGTGAAGATGGAACGCTTTTGCCCCCTTATTTATGGATCTCAGCTACTATTGTCCCTACATATCCCTACCTATTCCCATATCTAGAGTTCATCCGATCCATAACCAAGATAGGTACACGATTCATGGCTTCATACGTACCTAGCAGCCTAGCTAGGTGCCTACGGCGGGAATGTGAGCAATATACTACTCGATATAGCCATTTCACGGTGAATTTTCTACCAAATATTTGTCAACTACTGGGTTAGCGGTAGGATCGTCTTCCCGAGCGCCGGTACATCGGGAAGACGTTTCACACCGTTGATACATGTAACGTCGAAAAGTCGCCGGGTGAGACGCGTAGAATGAAAAAGATACTAATACGGACTAACCTAATGATAATATGATAATAATATATGAATATACAGAACGTAAACTATGTATGTATGTAGTTGAATAGGTATTGTGAGATAGAGTCTATGCATTTAAGTATAGATATGCCACTAAGGCGATGGCTAGAACGAGATTCGACCGGATAAATATGTAGCTCTTATGCCGACACAAAATTACCTACTAGTAGGTACCTAGGTACATATTAATACGGAGAGACTTCAAGGCTCCAAGGTGGTACCTAGTACATACGTATAGGCAAGCGCAGGGCTGTCAAACTGGCCTTTGAGAAGGGACCTTGGAGGTATGGAGACGAGCTGGTGGACACAACATTGAACCTTGGAACCTTGAAAGATTAGATATCCTCCATTCATACAACAACTGTCGACGAATTTTTGTGAAACACATCGTTGCTAAACTCGACAATCTGCATCCCACAGCTTCCATTTTGCCCAAAACTGGCTATTCTATTTCAATAGGCCCTTTCAGGGCCCGTGAAGCTTCATCATGAGTTCTCGTAAGTTGCAACACTAAAAAGGGGGTCTTCCTTCACCGGTTCCCTCCCCCCTTCCGTCTATAGTCGATAGCAAACATTCCTAGATGTCTTAGAACTAGCAGACTGATGCTTTCTTCTGCAGTGAAGCAATTTATTCGCAATGTGCGTGCGGCGAAGACCATTGCAGACGAACGAGCCGTCATCCAGAAAGAGAGTGCTGCTATCAGGGCCAGTTTTCGCGAAGAAAGTGGAGATCATAATGTGAGGTACGCTTAAGGCAACGGCATTCCCGAGGCAATGGTCCTTTACTGACCGGCATTGACCCATAGGCGCAACAACGTAGCCAAGCTCCTGTACCTGTTTACCCTGGGAGAGAGAACGCATTTTGGTCAGATAGAATGTATCAAACTACTTGCGTCTCCACGGTTCGCCGACAAGCGACTCGGTCACTTAGCTACAAGCTTGCTATTAGATGAGAACCAGGAGGTTCTCACGCTAGTTACAAACTCATTAAAAAAGTAGGATGCAACTCTAGAGGATCTCTATATTACTCCAGGCTAATTCTAGCTTCCCCTAAATTAGTGATCTGGGCCACTCGAACCAATATGTCGTGGGTCTTGCTCTCTGTACCCTCGGTAATATTGCCTCGATCGAAATGTCCCGAGATCTATTCCCCGAAATCGAAACGTTGGTATCGACCGCAAACCCTTACATCCGGAGAAAGGCTGCCTTGTGCGCTATGCGAATATGCCGAAAAGTTCCAGACCTCCAAGAACATTTTGTCGAGAAGGCTGCTCAGCTATTGTCGGATAGAAATCATGGTGTGCTTCTGTGTGGCTTGACATTAGTCACAAGCATGTGCGAGGCGGAGGAGGAGGAGGGCAGCGACGAAGGGATCATCGACAAGTTTAAGCAGTTTGTGCCAGTATTGGTGAGGACTTTGAAGGGACTTGCTACGTCTGGTTACGCCCCCGAGCATGATGTCACTGGTATCACAGATCCCTTTTTACAGGTGAAGATTCTTCGGCTACTTCGAGTTCTCGTTCGTGGCGATGCAGAAGGGACCGAACAGATTAATGACATCCTTGCTCAAGTCGCCACCAACACCGACTCTTCCAAGAATGTAGGAAACTCTATCCTTTATGAAGCCGTTCGAACTATCCTGGATATTGAGGCCGACTCGGGGCTCAGAGTTCTCGGCGTGAACATCCTCGGCAAGTTCCTTTCTAATCGCGACAACAATATCCGATATGTTGCTCTCAACACGTTGATCAAGGTTGTTGCTATCGAGCCGAATGCTGTCCAGCGCCACCGGAATACCATACTTGAATGCCTACGGGACCCCGATATCAGTATTAGAAGACGTGCTCTTGACCTTAGCTTCACCCTTATCAATGAAAGCAACGTGCGAGTGCTCATTCGAGAACTGCTTGCATTCCTTGAGGTTGCGGACAACGAGTTTAAGCCAAGTATGACTAGTCAAATTGGTATCGCTGCTGACCGGTACTCTCCCAACAAACGATGGCACATCGATACTATGTTACGGGTGCTTACACTCGCTGGGAATTATGTCAAGGAACCTATCATGGCCTCTTTTGTCCGGCTCGTGGCTACGACGCCAGAGCTCCAGACGTACGCTGTGCAGAAGTTATACACAAATCTGAAGAAAGACATCACCCAAGAAAGCCTAACTCAAGCAGGCGCGTGGTGTATAGGCGAATACGGGGATTCCCTTCTCAGAGGCGGGCAGTATGAAGAAGAGGAACTCGTCCAAGAAGTTAAGGAACACGAAATCATTGATCTTTTTACCACCATCTTGAACAGCAGCTATGCCACACAAGTAGCTACCGAATACATTGTCACGGCTCTTGTCAAACTGAGTACGCGTCTATCTGATGCATCGCAGGTGGAACGCGTTCAACGTCTTTTACAGATTCATCAGACCAGCTTGGATGTTGAAGTCCAACAAAGAGCTGTAGAGTACGGCAACCTATTTTCGTACGATGACATACGTCGTGGCGTGCTCGAGAAGATGCCACCACCGCAAATCAAGGAAGAGTCTAGAGTGCTTGGCGAGGCTACCAAGAAACCCAAGAAAGGCGCTAATCGTAGGTCAAGGCTTATTGCCAAGCCTACGACAGATCAGGATTTACTCGATTTGATGGGGGATGCCACCACGACGCCGATAGCCTCACCTACGAACGGACCCCAGAGCAACACTGATCTGCTCGCCGATATTCTCGGTGGTAGTACAACTTTGCCGCAAGGAGCCGCATCTCCTCCACTTCAATCCAGCAACACGGCGTCAATTATGGATCTCTTCTCTCAGGGCTCAACTCCAAGTCCTGCCCCTGCTAGCTCTGGCCTAGGTGACCTCTCGTCACTTAATTCTCCTCCGCCTCAACAGCCTGTAGCAGTCCCATCACTGAGTAGTATTCCATGCTATGACGCTAATGGTCTCAATGTTACCCTCCAGCTGCAACGTAATGCTGAAGGAGCTATACAGGTTCTCGGTCGTTTCCGGAACTCTTCCGGTGCTCAGCTCTCTAGTGTGGGCTTACAAGCAGCCGTGCCAAAATCTCAGAAGCTCCAGTTAATGAGCATCTCTAACTCTGACATCGCTCCCGGAGGTGAAGCAACCCAGGTAATGAGGATCACGGGAAGTAAAGGAGTAAGTGTTCCATGTGATGTTCCTATCTCTTGCTCGTCGCATTCCGCTAACTTGCCAATTATAGCCTCTCCGCTTAATGTTGAGAATTGGTTACTCCCACCCATCAGCAGGCCAGGTCATGGATCAGGTGAAATGGACAGAGCCATCGTAGCAGATAGAAAGACCAATAAAAGGCGACATGGTTGTACTCTCACCACAAGTCTGTTCGCTTCCGAAGAGAAAGTAGGTCTCTGGGACGGTGTTCTTGTCACCTGAATGTTCACGTGACTTCCATACTACGTGCCATGGCTACTCATTGTTCAGCTTGTATTATCAATATTGTGATCCAAATGTGCGACGTACGAGTATCTACAGTCATAGTGAAAGTTTCATTTATCCAATCATGCAATAGAGTGATGATGTGATCGCCCTTCAATGGGTGTATATCGAGCGTGGGTTTTGTGTCGGGCAGCCAGAACATAAAGGCGATAAATTAGGATTAGATCCCGATATTGATGGGAATTGACGTTCAAAGTTACATATAGAGATCATATTCCCTAGGAGCCGTGACTACCACCACTTCTCACAGAGCACCCGGTGAGGTTCCATGCCAAATCCGTGCTGTGGATCGGCAAGTTTCTGAACAAAGGCATCCGCCATAGTTGGGACGCCGCATACGTAAACTACGGCGAGTCTCCTCTCGGAAGCGTCGCCGGCGGCGGCGGCTACATCTTCCACTATCATTCTACGACGACGAAACCGTACATCATACCCCCCTTCTTCCTCTCTTCCGCATGATATCACACCCTCCTCGTCCCTTTCTCCGGTTGAGCCCGTCAGGAACAACTGTAGCCGACCCCTAACTCTCCCAGACGCGAAGATCGAAGCCAGCCTCTCGACAAATAACAGGCGCCGCGCTTGTCTAGGCTGGCCCTCATCGTGCCTCAGGGAATACAGGAACTGTACCTCGAGAGGATCGTCCGAGCCAACATTCTCGGCAAGGCTGCTCAGCATGCTCATAAATGGATTGACGCCAACGCCGCCGGCGACGAAGACCACTTTTCGCAAGGTTCTGGTATTGATGCCTGGGGGCGGCCATACAAAGCTACCACCGACGCGAACCCGAAGCTCGGAGTAGGTGATTGAGTCGGGATCCTGCCACAGCCAAGCTGCGGGTGGATCGGGCGACTTTTGAACAGCGAGTTCTAGGTAAGGTTGCGAAGGGGGTGATGAAGGATCATGCGATGTGGATGAGCGTGCGCTCGACGGGGGTGAGGTGATGGTGTACCCGCCAGCCTTCGAGACACCAGGTACATAGACGTCGAGCCACTGGCCTGGCAAGAACTACGGCAAGGGAAGAAAACGTGTGAGTAGAGTAAGAGCTTACCCAGGGTGAAGTAGGGGATAGATATTTGCATACTCTAAGGGGAGCAGAAAGTTCTAGGCGGAACAGCCTGACCTGATCGTTGATCTCGATGATCTCGGCTAGTGTAACAGTATTCAGGGACTCCAAATATTTATGAGCAGCTGATCTGGCGCTTCAAAGGTCCCACCTCCTTCCGTCCCCCAACGAGGAACATACCTTGTCTCGCGGCTCCGCGGCCGTCCGGTGTAGGTGGTCGGTCTTTACCGCAGCCATATTAAGTCTCAATCTAGGTAGGTAGGTACCTAACGTCGCAAATGTACGGTGATATAACGGCTAAGATTGAAAGGTTAATTGAAATGTGTAACTTCGACTGAGTATTTGGACGTTATAGATAACTTGGAGCTCTAGCACGATGTTGAAAATATCAAGGTATTAAAAGTGATGTAGTAAGACCCCAACACGATAGCGGGGTTGGTATATAATATAGGTACAAAGGACATAGGTACCTACCTACCGTATGTACCTAGTAGTAAGTAGGTACTAAGTATACATACCTAGTAATAACCCCTTAAGCTTACCCGCCTAGTTGATAGCCCATATTTATTATCAATTGTCATTCATAGCTAGTTATCGTAGGTAGCTATACATTATTCCCAGAGAAGCTGTTTCTCTTATCATACTAGGCTACAAGATTCAATGACACCTACATTGTAATGACTAGAGTCTCTTAGGTACAAATGTAGCTAGAAAGCTAGGATAGCTCGACATCCTGTCGTCAACGCATGCGATACGACAGCCGTTCTAAATCCAGTTTCCTGCAGGAACTTCATCGGTATAGTCATCATTGCCTTCAACTTGTGCGCTCCGTGCGCCAATCTCGTCGTCGGGGCGTTCGAGATTCGTAGCTTCACATCTACAGGTAGGAAGCTCTACCATTGAAGAACGGCCAGAACGTTTCCCAGGACGTGGGCTCCATAACCGTTCTATGGCATTACCTCTACGTCGCTGGGGCGAGGGACTCTGTCTTAGCCACTCCGCCTCGGTCATCGTAAGCGTGCTAACTTCGTGGGAGTGCACGTCGCCAACCAAGCCTACCGCTCCCTCTGGTTGAGGAATTGGCCACCTGATATTGGCCGTTGGTTGCGAGTGAGAAACAGGCGAATCAAATTGATTAAGTTGGCGCTCGAGAACACTACCAGTAGTTGGAAGGTAACCTTCTGGAGGAGGAAGTTTTGGTGAATGCGATGTTTCTGTGGAGCTTGGAGAAACTGCATAATCTGAGAAAGAGTTGTCCCCTTGATCGTGGATATTCAAGTCGCCTAATTCCAATGCTTGCATTGACCCAGATGGTATAAAGACCGGCTGCGCCATACTTAATTGTACCTCTTCCTTTTCGAATTCTTCGCTCTCGGCGTATTGTTTTAGAGATGGTGTTAATGATGGGCAGCTTGATCTGATCGACTCCCTCGATACTTGCCCAGAGAGAATGTGAGGGGGTTCGGGTAGCGGTCTCTGTCCCATCTTCCCCATGATTTCCTCTCGACTCTGTCCATAACCTTCAATAGCCAAGCTAGCTAGAGGGATTGGTAAAATTTGTGTAGATCTCTTAGAAGAGTATTCTCCTACTTTGTCTGGGCTTGAAAGAGCCACGCCAACTGGTTCGATACTATCATCGAGCACTCTCCCATCTAGAGACGAATTCACACGACTAATATTTTCCTGGTAATTGGGGACTGATACGCTATTTTGATTCATGGACACTGGTCGGTTTTTGGTCTCCTGCGAGGGAATGATGTTAAGTTGTTCGAGGCACTTCGTGGGTCTATAGTGGAAACAGAAGGTCGCGTAGGGTGAATCTCGCGCGTCCTCTAGGTGGTATTCGTAGAAAGATGCGTCTTGGGGGTCGTCAACTAGGCCACCACTAGACAAGCTGAGTGCGGTTAGCTAAAGGAGTTGGGATACGGGGGAAACATGAATTTGTAGCATCTTACGTGATACCACGGCGTTCTCGGTTACGACTCGGGCAAGGATCTAGTACGACCGCAATGCGCTTCCTTCCCCGGCAGCGAAATACTTGAACCTCGATCAGGCCACCATCTTCATCTCCTGGTTTTCTTTCGGGCTGGCCCACGAAACGAAGATACCGCGTCTCTATCCCCACAACAGGATCGCCGTTTTTATCCCTGAACCTTTCGCCAGGTTCGTATAGACTCCTCGTCACGCTCCCAAGAGAACAGCTGCTGGCGTCGATGCCCCACGAGACTGTATGATGGCCATTTATTAGCATCTTGAAGAAGATGAACCTAGAGGGAAGCGGTGATTGGTTGATAAAATATCTAAGCCGAAATTGATCACCTATTGGCGGTTAGAATAAGTAAATTTTGAAAACAGCGTGTAAAAGTATGGACATACCAGGACTTGAAGGAATATAGACGGATATACGAGGATTGACTTTCTTTTGGCGAGTCGGATCTGCATCAGAGAACCTGGAAACGGTGAGAGAGTGAGGGCTGGCTCGTCCCCCATTTCGAAGGTCATTGAGGCCAGTGCCAACTCTCATGAGACGAACAGATGATCCATCTGGATGAGGATACTCAGGTAGCTTTCTAACATCCGAGCTAGTGATTATAGATATTTCGATACCACGAAAAAATGGCATTGTGGTTGGATGGGCACGTGCAAAGAGTGTGTTAGTGTTTGTATATCAGTAATAAGTGATCATGGCATTGGGTATGTCAGAGAGAAAGTAGGAGCAGTAAAGAAGGAGTAGAAGAACATTGACTATATAAATTATGAAAGTGGGTTAAATACTTGCGTAGCGCAGGTAGTTCAAATACAGGTATTTAGGAGCGTACCTGGACCATAACGACAGCTATCGGTAGTGACTTCCTTCGTAGATAATGCAGACATATGCGTAACAAACGAATACATCTACGCGGTGTGCTACCTACCATGAATCAACCTTGAAGTCATAGGAAGGTACATGGATAGATATGTAGATGACTACCCACCTAGCACCTACCTAGCATGTAGTATGTAAGCACCAGATGGATGCATAGGTACTAGGTAACTAGTCAACTCGGTAACAACTTGGAACTTGAAGCCACGAACCTACCAACTTATTATAGATATTCTTGGGATATATAAATACCGTCACCCTATATTAACATCTCATGTTCCAAAAGTACCTAGAAGTTGGCTTCGACGCAATGGAATAAAACAAAGATATTCATTTGATGCAACTGACTTCCTTCCTAATGTAGGCCTAAACGAGACCATTTTCAAGAAGGGTGCTCGAGCCTAGAGCAAGACGACGGTACCGATGCTCAGAGCCAACTTTGACCGGTCTCATAAGAATATATTTCGAGGACGAATTGGCCCTACCGTCCATACGTCAAGAGCCTAAATACATACACGGTAGCGTCGGGTTTCGAGTATAGATGCTATAATCATCCGCCAAGGACATGTTTAGTATCCTCTTCCTTGCCCAATAAGCCCAGATTTCTTATTTGTCCGGCGCTCGGTGCATTCTCTCGTGCCGAGGCTGCTTCTGCTTTTCGGTATGCAGCTTGTAATTGCTTTACTCTTATGGCCTATCCAACAAACTTCGGGTTAGTTGATCTACTCGGGACGATGATAACCATGGGTGAGTTAATTCGGATTCTAACCTCTTTCTTATGATGTAAACATTCGTAATAGTCCTCCAAAGCAGGCGCGCACTTCTTCTTCCCAGAGTCATCCTCAGCAGATGTGTTGACTACGTAGCAGGCTAGAAGCTCTTGCCAGAATCCGAAACATCGCGATGGACCTATTTTGTTAATCATGTAAGTAATATATACCTAACCATTGGGCTATACTTTTAGGGAGGAGGGGTGGGTCGTTGTTGTTTGGAAGAAAATTACAAACCTCCTTGGAGTCCATATCCAGATGCCATGACGTCCAGTAATTTATAGCCGTAGACGTCGTTCTGTAATTGAAGGATAGGATTGCGAGCACAATTGAGAGGTATGCGATTGATTCGTTTAGGTGAATGATGCAGTGTCTCGGAACGAATTAGGTAAGCTACTAGGTACACCTAGTAGGCATTGATCGCCAAGCTCCGGATATCATGTGGTCAGTGCATTGGTACATCGTACCTGTACGTCATACCTATGATGATCAACGGTAGGTAAGGCCAGAACTATGTAGGTACGTACCTTATTTCTATGGACCTTAGGTAACATGTATGTATTCATACATTGAGCCTTTCATTGTCCCTCTCCAAAAAAAGAATTCTACCAACAAAAAGAGCCTCTTCTACGCTCATAGATAATTCGATTTCATCAAAAATGCCAGAATTATAGTCCTGCGAAAATGATCCCACTTCCTTCTCCGTCGCGCATCGTACTCCTCGCCGCGCATCTCGCCGCCAAATCCGACGTTCAGAGCTTGACAGCGCTCGCGGCTCAGCATACCAAGGTCCTACGACAAGACTTATTGCTTCGGATATTGTTAACTTGTCTGCCTGAGACACTGCCACCTAGCCAATATACCCCCCTCGTTCAAAATATCGAATCTGGGAGCCTAGAAACAGAAGTCGAACTACAAGAAGTTGACTGGTCTTCGGTGCAAGACATCACCGACGATGAAGCTGCAAAGAAAGTTCGCAAGCTACGATTGCTCCCCCTCATACAAGAAAATGCGACTATAAACGAACCAACCGACCCCGTCTCTCTCTTCTTAATCCATCGTGCACGTCGCGTTGACGAAGAGGCCGGTCTACTCACCCAGTTGCCTGATCTGATAGTGCCATTTCTGGATCATGCACCGTGTATCCGGACCTGGATGGTCTCGGTTTTGCTCCCTCTTCTTCGTCGAAACCATGAATACTATCCGCACAATCCCTCTACCCAGACCTTGTCCGCCTTCGACCAGATGAGCGACCGGGCAGCGGTAGACTTGTTACTGTCGCAGACTGGCGCATGTCAGGAAGATCTAGCGCACGTGGGGAGAGACCTACGTGGATTGGTAGGCCCATGGTTATATAACGAAGCCAGGTGGGTGCGCCATGATGGGAACGGATACTCTCCGGAAGACAGCCGACCCGCACCTCATATTACCTGCCCAGGATGGGAACGTGTCCTCGAGTGGATCACAATGCAAGCCTCGAAGTCGTGGAGGGTAGCTGTACGAGCTATAGACCAATGGGATGGGCCAGGAGATGTCGATTTGGGTGGTCACGCCTCTATGTGGCTAGAGGACGAGGAACAAGAGTACCTAGAACAACGATACGCCCGTGCTGCTCTCGCTTCGGCATATCTAATACCAGAAGCTTCCGTAGAGGCTCTAAAGGGGGTCAACAGTATTATCACGAAGATCATGACATTGCTAGGTCAAGATCCTTGCCCGACATTACAGGTCTCTTCATCTTTACTTCCACCATTTACTGACTTAGCCGGAGAACAGCTTCTCCGTGCTCAGAACGCTACGTATATGCGTAATGATTTGCTTGCCGAATCAAATACGCTTACTACACCGACTGAGACTTCTACGCAGCTCTTACACATTTTAACCCTCAGTGCCTTCATTCTTTCAAAGGGCGGGGTTCCTTGTACCATTCGAAGAGCGGGGGAACTAGCTTTTCTGCAAGACGAACGGGAGCAGAAGGTAGAAGCTGAAAACTTCATACATTCGCTAAGTAATAATGGGCCTAAAAGCGATGATAAGTATTGGGTTAGGGCGAGGAATGAACTTTTATGGCTTCAAGACTGGGGTGCGGAAGAGGTACAAGGCTCTCCTTCTAACACTCGAGCCCAAGGCATATTTGGCCAACTAAAGAGGGAGTTCCTCGAGATTGAATGTCTCAAGGCATTCTTAGGCAATACACGTAAGACCCCTGGTTCTATTACTCCTAAACCCGGTGATGCTGAAGCTAGTAGGATATTCCCTGGCAAGGTCTATATATGAAGATGTCCCCGAAAAGCCTCTCAACGACGACACTTTACGGGAAACTGTCGTTTCTTCTGCGATGAATGCCTATGACAATGCCTCTAATCCACACCGCGGCCGCGGCGGTCTTTTAAAATGTGACGACATGTAGGTCTCGTTAACCTAGGCGTGGAAAGCTCTTCTAAACAACGCTAGAATTCATTCATTCCCCCGAGCTTTAGGGGAGGCTCACCCTGCGTCGAAAAGAATCGAGGCTCTTTTGAAAGCGACTCATGCACTAAGCGAATACCGTCTCATGCTGAAGAAGGGGGAGCCATTCACGCCAGTGATCTTAAGAGTCCACCCAGATCCTGTCTCGATAATTGGGAAGGTATTAGAGCAGAATCCCAAAAGTTACACCCGAATACAGGATTTCCTCGAAATCGGTTCCAATATGACTGAGGCCGGCCTGGGAGCCCATACCAAACCCGACAAGTCGCAATCCATGGCAGAGCAAGTGTGGCGGCGGTCGATCACTGAAAAACGGATCACAGCTATGTGCGTAGACGCTGCCTTAACGGAGGATGATTTTGAAACGGCATATTCTTACGTTGTCAACCGCCTGGCTGCGGATAGCAGAGCCGTCCCTGCGAAACTAGGACGCGAGCTTGTGGTGAAAGATGCTCTAACGACGGATGATTATTCGTGGAAAGCAGCACTGCAGGCTGGTAAATACCGCCGCACAGCACGAACTATTAAGCCTACGCATATCGGAACTGCTAGCGGCAACCTCGACATCCGACACCTGGGACAACGAATGGAATGCCTGGCGACAGCGCTTCGCGTTGCCCCCGCCGCCGCTCTTCAGGAGATTTTAAACGTCTTTCGAAAATGTGAAGAGGAGCTAAACGCGGCTGTGAAGGCAGAGGAAGAGCAGGAATCCGCGTGGGATGACCAGGGTGACTTGCAGGCTATGCCGGGCGCTTTTAGCAGCACCGTGCCAGCCGGCGTCGTGAGAAGTGCGAAGGCAACATCCTCACGCCAAGTTGAAGAAGCGCCCATGTCGCTCTTCGACTTATCCCGAGCTAGTATGGCTAGAGCTCAGCGCAATTTGACAGCCTTGTCGAGTCTGCAACGCAGTGAAAATACCAGATCAGACGAGACCGATGGTGAGACGGGAGACGGGCCCGGTCAGCAAAAAGTCCGGAAAAGAGATCAACTAAGGGAGGCTGCAGTTGGGACTTTGGCATCCGGTGTTGGGTGGCTAATAGGAGCCCAGCCCATCGACAGGGGTGGTGATCGAGGTTAAAGCCATTTATACATATCTGCCTGTCTACTAGGTACCTAGTAGTAGTCAAGGTGGTACTTACTAGGTCAAAATGTTCCACAATGTTCAGTTCTTGAAGGTGCATGTGTCACTACACTTGTTACGAGAGCCCTTGAATGCCCTTGCACGAGAAAATGATAGAATTAAGCAAGCTAAGCTATAATCTCTACAGCAACCGTAAATCGACCGGTGTGAGCGGAACCTCTTCTCATTCGTTGCCCGTCTTCCCATCATTGTGTAGGCGCGACTCCGAGTCATTCACATCTTCGAAATGCCAAAATGGGTTTTTAGGGTGTACCTCTCGAGGTCTATTCATAGTCTCCTTTTGCTTGGACGTTGCCGCTCGTCTGGCAGCCCGTTCTCTTCTAATCGCCTGTGGGTGGGCCTCGTGCGCTTTCTTCAAGGACTCCCTCCTCCTGCGTACGAATTCTTGTTTCCTATCATCGGTCATATTGGTGCCATAACCGTCCGGCCTGAAGTCTGGATGGGGGGGCGGCGGCAGGTCTTCCGGATGATAGGCTTCCTTCAAGCCGGCTATTCGATTCTCCACCTCCTTTCCATAGTCCACAATCGCCTGGCTACCGCGGACCTGGTGGGGTTCGTCTAGTGGTCCTGGTTTGAGAATGTCGGAGACTTGCCTACCATCATCGAGCTTGAAGGCTGAGACGGTGGGCGAGTCAACGGGGTAGTGGAATTTAGCGACTGGAGTCGGGTTCCCATGGGTCATGTTCAGGAACTTGCGCTTCCGTTCCGCGAGGTCGGACACAAATGGAGGTGTAGGCGTCCTACCAAGCTTCACCTCTCTTCCGGAGGTTGCCTTTAATGGTAGACGCGGTAGTGTTGGGAGAGGCCCGCGTCTTATTTCTTCCTCACTCAATCTATCGGGTATTTTAAGCGGAACTCGCGAATATTCGTAATATATAGCTCCCTTTTCTCGCCGTCTAAGGTTCTCTTGCCTCTCGAGCGACAACAATGTGTTTATGTCGGCCTCTAGCGGAGGACGCTCAGACAAATTGGCCTCTTCTTGGATCCTAGTGTCTGGATCCCATAATTCAGACTTGTCCTTTCTCCGCATTTCGAAAACCGAATCTAGAACTGGGAATGCCTTCTCCTGTTCCCTCCAGGTCCTTGGCCCTATCGGCGTATGGTCTGGTAGGTTTTTGAATTGTGCCATGGCTATATCATCCTTGAGCCAATCAATGTCAGTATTCAAAAAGGGTTTCCACAATATAGGATCGTAGACGTTCGGATCCTCAGCAGCTGGATGATATGCGCCATTTGAGGTCTGTGATGAAGTTGCCGACTTTTCTCCTACTAAGGATGACCCCTCTTCTATAGGTTGAGCCATCATGGCCATAACCATTTTGACCATCGCACTACCGTCGTCACCGTCATCGTCACCGTCGGAATCGGTATCGGAATCTAGTCCAGCCTTACGTCGATTCATCCAGTTCTTGACGGCTCTAGCAGCCGCCTCATCAGAGGTCAGACTAGGCGTGGGTCGCACGTCAAAAGCGCGATGCTTGCGTAGAATCCCGGGATTGATACCCTTGATGAGCCCACCTTGCTTAGTTGCTAGGTTTGTTTCGCGGTGTTGATGGCCAGCAGCAGCGGCGACGAGTAGCTGAACTGAGGTTCGCCTAATGCGACTCCGATAGGATGCTATTTTCCGATCAAGTAGATCGACTGCGGTTTTCCCGACCTCCCTCTCAGACTGTGGTTCGATACCTTCGCGGCTTCGCTTTTTCGCATCCTGTTTCCGCCATCCCCCCGTTCGTGTCTGTTTAGACACCCGCCCTCTCCGAGCCCAAGCTAGGTAGTTAATAGCGTTAGTAAGATAATAACTCATAACAACCATGCAAGACATTGAAATACATACAATCCCGGTCCCGATCTTTATCTGGCTCCTCGATGTTTTGCGTAGCCAGAGCTAGGTAAGCCCTGAGGCGGCTATAATTTTCCTGTAGTCTCTGTAGCACACCCCTCTTCTCGGAGAGGCCTTGGTTCTTCTTGTCCGCCGACATGTCTACGTTATGCTCGGAGTGAAAATAACTCGCGAGATCGAGTGATCGAATTACTTTGCGCAGGATAGAAGAATGAATATTTAATGGGACAAGGCGCAAGACAGCCAATATTCGGCCCTGAAGAGATCCGTGGATAGTATGAGGAGAGGTCTCTATTATCAAATTTAGTTGGTACATATCTTTGTGCGCATGCATCGAATTTCCTCTTTCGGCAGGTTACCATGATATTCGAACATAGACGTTTCCGTCAATACTGATATCTTTTCCTTCTCAGCTTCTCAGATTCATGACAAAGACTGGCCTTGGAAATATGTCGTCGATCCCCTGGCTTTACCTATATCTTTGAACAAAGCAGGGCTGGGAATGTAAAACGCGCTCGCTGCTGGTTTCAGTGAAATCCGTGTTTTAAGGTCCGTATCACACAAATCAATATCGACTTGAGATAACATGATAAACACTGGTTCATTATATATATATATATTGCTCTCATTAAAATTAATGCTATATAGTCTAGTTACTATTAATATCAGCATCACGAGAGCGATGAACAAAGCCATTACTTATCCTTGAGTGACAATCAAAATTGAAATCGGGTTGGCTGGGGCGGGTTCAATTTATTGCTAGGCGTGTGGCGCATTCCAGCGGATACACACTACGAGTATACGAGTAGGCTCTGTAAAATAGAACAATGGTCAGTAGATAATATCGAAACGGGGAGGGGTTACCTTGATTCTGCTTGGTGGCGCAAAATATTAACGACATAGGCCGATAGTCAAAAGCGGGTAGGACAGGATAAATTGCCGCGATAGGAGGCGCTCATAGATCAAAAGTTGACTGAAGCAAGAGTGTCGAGGCGAGAAAAAAAAAGATGCTCCCATTTACATCCGTCGGGAGCCTATTAGGTACATTAAAATCGAGTCGCGCGGCGTTAGATAAATATTGTTGGGTGCAGCGACTTAAGAATAAGAGGCCAAATTCATGGGATTTACGGAACATTAGTCGATTCGACTCAAGGTTGCACCTTTTAGGGAATTTGCGATCAATTATTTGTTGCATTCTGCGGGACCACCATTGCAGAGCTGTCTCGAATATCCGCCCGGCAAATGCTGAAAGATGTTGCACAGTCGTCAAGCTCGTCAAGCGCGAAGAGAAACCTCGGAAGTGAAAAATAATAGTACAAGCATCATGTTGAAAGGGGAAAGGATGGTGTTGTTGTCCACGTCGTAGACGTCTTTGCTGATCCAAACGGGTAAGGTTGACTAGGTGAAAGGGGAGGGAGTTGTGTCCATGCCATCATCCTCAAACGTCGTCGCAAGGCTGTCTGCAAAATGAAAAGAAATCTCTTGCCGAGGAAATTCTCCCACTAACAGGCGAAATCATAACGATAGCATCCTTCTGCCTGAATCTGTCGAACCCTGTTTTTTAAGGATCAGATACAAGGGGAAAAAACAAAATGAAAAAGAGCAAAGAAAAAGAGGAAAATATGGTGTTAGAATGCCTTTTCCTTCCCTTTTACCTGCCGTATTAAACTCCATGTGTCACATCTTTTATGGTATCCGCCGAACTCGCATGCCCGAAGAGAAATGACTGAAGACGAAAGAGAGCCCAATACTGTCGTCGAAGATCCAACCTATGTGGAGAGACTAAAATGTTGAGAGTCGATGGCCCTCAGCGCGTGTAACGATCGTTTCCTGGATGACGCATTAGCAGCGGCAGGCTGGATGTGTCGAGATGTTGTTGATCGGCAATCAAGGCGCACCTCCGTATGTCTCGCGGGCGTCGGGTCGAGCAGCAGTTTCGCCGTAACCAGACGGAGCCGGGTCGCGAGCTCGAGCAGCGTCTCTGTCAGGACGATCATAACGGTCACGCTCGTAACCTGCAGCACGTCGGTCTTCTCCTCCACCGCCACCGCTACCTCCCCCTCGAGGTCCATAGCGATCTCGCTCTTCACGACCACCAGCATATCGATCGATTCGTCCATATCCTTCGTCACGCTCACGTCGATCTTCTCGTCCGCTGTAACTACGATCGTAGTTGCGGTCATAACCTCGCTCCTCACGGCCATTGTAACCACCACCTCGACCATCACGGTAATTGCGATCATATCCGCGGTCTTCGCGGTAGCCACGCTCACCGCGGTCCTCATAGCGAGGACGGTCGTGGTTTCGGTAACGGTACGGGTCATCACGACCGCTGTAGCCACCATAACCACCACCACGGCGTCGGTCATCATAACGAGGGCGGCCCTCTAAATCATCATGTCAGACACAGAAGACAACTATAATTGATACGCACTAACCTCTCTTCGGCGGGCCGAAGTACTTGCCAGGGGTGGGAGTTCGAGGACGAGCTCGGCGAGCTTTCTCGATGCTCAGAGTTCGGCCCTCAATCTCCTCTCCCTGGAGCCCATCCTTGGCCGCGTCGGCTTGCTCAGATGTGACCATCTTAACAAAACCAAAACCACGAGACTCTTTAGTGTGCGGGTCTTTCATGATTTGGCACTTCTCAACCTCGCCGTACTTCTCGAAAAGACGGGTAACCTCAGACTCGGTCAACCTAGGATGGATTCCGGTCACAAAAAGGTTAGATCCAGGGTTAACGGAACCGTCTTCGTCCCTGCTGCCATTCTCCTCTTTGGGAGCACTATGGATTAAAAGTCAGCGGCATCTTCCTATGTGTGACCAATGAATGGACATGGATACCAAGTCGAGAATCAAGTATCGCTAGGACTTACCGATCCTGGTTGCCAGCCGGAGAAGCAGAGCGGCGGCGAGTGTCAATACCGTCATCGCGAGAAGCACGGGGAGAAGCACTTCGTTGATCGCGCTCGTAACGGGGTCCGTCGTCTGAAATGCATATATCAATTAGTACCACATTTATTCTTCAACCTGGCACAAAAAAAGGCAACATAGGGCTTACCATCAAAACGATCTCCGTTGGCAGTCTCGTAATCCATTGCAGTGGTGGCCATGGCTAACAAGGCTTGAATGCTGCAAGTATGGTAAGTAGGGACTCGCGACGCGGTAATAGACCTAGAGAGTAAGGAAGGTAAAGACGCGTGCCTTGCAGGGAGACGAAGGATTGTACGAAGGAAATTGTCGCGCCAAGCAATAGAACAACCCTGAGGTCTTAAAACGATAGATGGAAGGAATGGGAAATGTGAGTAGGAAAATGGGAGATGGATGATGGTAAATACGTGGATGTTAGTGTAGTGAGAGGCTTTTATAGTAGCATCGGATAATGGATAGGTAGAAAAAGAAAAAAAAAAAAGGGAAGAGGCGCCATGATTCCCGCTCACCTGCTACTTCAATGCACCTAAACACGCCAATCGTAACCAGAATGGCAATTGTAGCCTGGATTGATGCAGGCTCTGGCGTAGCACACGCGCAAATAAGAAGTTACGTACCCAATGTTATGTTAGAATGGTGGTAAGTTTCTCTCCCAAATGTGAGCACTCTCTTATAATAGTGCGGCTGTGATTATTAGATAGGACAGAAAGAAGGGGAACAAGTGTTTGTCGTGTTGTGAGGTAGGGAAAGGAGGGAAAGAAAAAAAGACAGAATGAGTGAAAGGTGAATGGGAAAGCATCAAAGGGTGGACGAAAAGTGGGGATGCAAAATTGTTCAGCTGCGGATGGTTACCGTACGGTAGGTACAGTGGGTACATGCTGCTTCGTACCTGCCTAGGCAACTAGGTAGGTACCTAGGTATCTACCTAGGCTCAGTGCTGCTAGAAGGTATAATAAGAACTCCGTACAGCGATATAAACGTTTAGGAAGATACCTACCTACATATGTATCTGCCTATTACATACCGGATATGTATTAATACATATTATTAATTGTTATGAGAGCACTGGTTACTATGTACCATCTACATCATTTATCTTGAAATCCTCCAAGGTTTCTATAATTACACGTATAACACATGGTAGGTGCGTCTTTATTTCCTTTTATATTTTATAGTACCTTATGTACCCAAGTACGTCCGCATTTGACGATCGAATGAAACTAGCAGTGAGCAGGCAGTTTTACTAGTATGACCACCTACATATCTATATGTAGGTACCTACCTAGGGAGCCATTACAACTCGCCTATCTCTGTTTCGTTCTCTATCATATCGGCATTCAGTGCTTGCTCGACATTGATGCTCACAGGGTCCGTTTCATCTAAAAATTTCAAACCCTCCATTGCTCTTCCACCACAAGCTCTCTCCAATGCGAGAAATGCAAAATGACCTCCTACTACCGGACGAGCCATGAAGTTAGGTCCAGGAAACCCTCCATCGCCCTCCGTTTCGTAAAGATCCGTCAGTGGCCGATCTAACGTATGTAGTTTAGTTAAACATGACAGTATTATGTCGCATGTGTAAGGATCTATACGTACCAGTCACTGTCTCGTTGACCCATGCCGCAACGTTCTGTAGGATTTCGGTTCGCACTTTCTTGCTCGTCACAGCAGCCGCGAAGAATTCCCAGTCGCTCTTCGTGTACAAGTGGCGACTATCCAGTGGCAAGCCATATCTCTGGAGAACCGCATGGTACCAGTCACTCTGCATCTGGTAAATTTTGTCTGGAATGAATGCCGATTTTGCAGCCGTCCTAACTCCGTTGGTTATGGGTTGTTGCTCTGAACTCTGCAACCTGCTCGACCCTAGAGATGACGTATCTGTGGGCAAGTGGAAGCAAAGCAATGCATCGGCGAAAATATTGTAGAGGGTTGTCCATGATCCATACCAAGTGTATGCTAGCTTCGCATGCGTTTTATCTCTAGACAATCCAAAGTCTTGCCACTTATCGATGTACTCGCCGGCTATGTCACTATACCACTTGGATTCCGTTTCTTTGCCGGCGACGTTGGCAATCTCACTCATGGCCTTGATACCAATGATACCTTTAAGAGCTAAATTCGTTTGATTAGCCAACCAACCAGCAAAATCATCGGTGCATAGTTGATTGGCGGGGATCAGCGACTCTCGAATGAGGTAGCCCGTCCACTGCTTCCACAGTTTATACGAGCGGTTTACCCATTTAGCTGCAGCATGTTCACCAGTTGTGCCCATATCTTCCCAGGTACGATCCATTCCGTAGGGGTCGACTAGAACAGAACGCTTTTCGGACTCTAAGCTTAGCGGCAAAGCCTCTCGATGCGTGGTTCGGGCGAACGCAGGTTGCGTATTATCCCTTAAGGCATTGACAAGCGCAAGACCCATAATTAACATATCACCGCACTCCTCGACGGGCATATACTCATCAAGACCATCCCCATGTCCGGTCGCATTTGGGAAATGGGTTCCAAGATCGTGCATGCTGTAATCGTTGGGATATTGGCCGCTAAGTTGATGCTCCAGAAGGGGCTCTAGTAAATACGCTAACCATTGCGGATTTGTATATAAGAAAAACGGGAATGCTGGGAAAATGACATCAACAGTTTGGAAATTCCCGTTCGATGAGATTTCCTTGAGAAAAATGATGGGGCTATCTGGGGTTCCAGAAAACTGCGTTGCTCCTAATACTTGACGAGCTGATAACGCCGCGATGTCTTGATAATCCTGAGAGCCTGAAGCATATGCATCCTTAGCAAGCTGTTCGGAGTAATCAGTAGCAAGGTATACAGCCGTGTCATAATCATCGTAGTGGTACTGTAGCATTTCTTGCGCGGTAGCGAAATAGGAAGCCCACAAGGGTCTCATCCAAGTCAAGCCTCTGGCTGAGGCGAATTGAACAACTGGGTCTTGAGTCAAGGCAAAGGTAAAGATGACACTGTCCTTAGTAATCCCAGCCGAACTTTTCGACTTCTTGCTAAGCTTGAAAGTTTTAGAAAAGGCGAAGATAGGTTCATCTTCGAAAATTCCACGATAAGAATCATCGACCTTATTCCTTAAAGATCCGTGCTCTGCAAACTGGCGCCTTATATAATTCGATTCGCCCGATTGATGCTCAACGTCGGCTGGGGCAGAGATATGGACAGTCCCCCATTCAGCATGATCAAAGAATTCGGTTAAATGCTGTTCGTGCCGTCGCGTAATGCTCCACGTCTTAATAGGTGTCCTCGCCGCATTACTCTTTTCGGTTCTAGCAAGAGTCCACTCAATCTTATTGTCACGGTTACCGCTAGCCCATTCACCATTTATATCAACGTAGAGACTGACATCCGACGATCCTTCGACGATACATGTTAAATACCCCGCCGGCAGGGACTGTCTGAGTGTCGAGGTGGGTGTAATAGGAGATAAGAACGAGAGGATGAGTCTCACGTCGGAGCCTGGGAGAGTATATGTGAGATTTGTAGTAGAGGCGTCAAAGGTAGCACCGTCATATTGAGGGAAAGAGACTGTGTAACTAATGCAACATTAGCCCAAAAATAAGCCTAGAGTATTAGAGACTACCTGCTAACCTAGAAGACTGCCTTAAAAAGTCTTGGGAGCGGCCTAACAGGGGGTAAACAGTCTTGTTGTCAGGCACAGCGGCCATTATGGCAAAACCAACAGTGCTACCAGTCCAAAACATCGGCCAATTCTCCCACGGAGCATCTCGGGAATGCGCAAACCAGAAGCTCAAATATGGATTCCGTACTATCAATGGCAACACAGGAGGTGTCAACGTTGAAGCATCGACGATGGTCAGAATTAAGGCCACGAGGGCCGGCCAGAGATACAACCTCATAGCGATGGATCAAGAGGGTATTCGTTTATTTCTAAGCTAATTGGCGGCAAGGCAGGGTAAACGGGCGAGGAAGCACAACACTGCGGTTAATAAAACATGAAGCTAATGTATAATCTTATTCGAATTCCTCGGGGATGGAAATAATGCTATCCAAAGGATTTGGAAACTGAAAATAATTGGTATCTTAACCATGTGATGGCCGCGCGCAGAGGTGATGTGTGTGAATAACTAAATGTTTAAATACTAGCTCACATGAGGAGCGTGAAGATAATAGAGAGGAAGAAGAGCTAGATAGGACGTATGAAGTACAATCTTGGAAGTATGTAATAGGGACCCACATTCCCCCAGGTTTCGAGGGATGACGCCTGGAACCTCTACCAGCCATCAATTATGTAACAGAAGTGACGATACTTTCTCCAATCGGAAAGAGCTCCGGTGTGGGGGGAACTACAATGTGTACCTAGGGAGGTAGAGGAAAGCCAAAATGTTTTCATAAGATACCTATGCAAAAGGTACACTTAATACCTAGTATCAATCACATAAGTACATAATTGGCCACTACACATAAGTAGACACAGAAACAATAGGTACGCTCAACTAAACCCCTCCTTTTATAAATATTACCCCCACAGTTTCGAAACAACCGTACTAAAATGGAAGTGTATGGAAAACCTAAGGCAACTTGGAAGGCATGCAGAATAAAATAATACCAGAAAGAAAAGAATAGCTCGGGTTTAGTCAGCTATACGCGAGCCCACCTCAATACTCAGAGTGAGGCCATTCAGAATCGTGTGACCTGTCCGCTTTCGTTCCTCTACAATATCTAATGCGTTGGCTACCCAGACTAGCTACACTTGGTAGGTACCTATTAGTAGGTAGTAGTGGAAAACTGACACCCACTGCCTACGGGGTTTTGCTTGACCGAGCCTTTATAGAGGAAGAACCGGTTGGTATTAGCTCCGAGAGCTATGTGCCGTATATATTCCCCCCCGGTATGTCGACCTAAGCAATATACAAAAGCTTCTCTCCCAAGTCCATTGTCCTTAGGCCGATAGGCAGATTGACTAATACAACTCGTCTTCACCAACATCAACTTTCGCGATTCACCAATTATAGTAATTCATACCAAATTCTCTTGTAGCCGAAGCCACCGTGTCCGGTAACGGTACCCCGCTGACCATACGCAACTGCTCTTTAATATTTGCTTCATCGTATCCGAAAGTGGTCATGGCAACCCTCGAAGGCAAAGTATTCGCAATTACTGGAGGTGCTAGTGGAATTGGCCTTGCAACTGCACAGATACTGTCTAAGCGTGGCGGAATTGTCTGCGTAGCTGATGTAGATCCAATTGCTATGGGCAAAGCAGAGGAATACTTCACCAATCAGAACGCATCTTTCACAGTCACCAAGGTCGACATTTCTATACGAGATGAGGTAGATTCTTGGGTCAACAGCATCGTTCAGAAGTACGGTAGGCTCGATGGCGCTGCTAATGTCGCTGGTATCATCGGCAAACACCACGGGGTACGAGAGGTAGCAGACCTTGACGACGATGAATGGCATAAGATAATCGCGGTCAACCTAACTGGAACGATGTACTGTCTGAGAGCCGAGCTGAGAAAGATCGCCGATGGTGGTTCTATTGTGAATGTTGCCTCTATCCACGGGCTTCAAGGTACCTAACCAGTGGCCCCAGGTTTCCTCATCTAACGAATCTCAACACTGATCTCTAATCTAGGGTTCGCTAAGCATGGGGCATATGATGCGAGTAAGCACGGAGTAATTGGCCTGACGAGAGCCGCGGCAAAGGAAAACGGGCAGCGCGAAGTTCGTGTTAACGCGGTAGCCCCCGGCGCAATATATACCCCTTTAATGGAAAAGGACTGGGAAATCCATAACCGGTCGCCCGATGCACCGTTCGACGATACGGCGGCATTTGGGAGACTAGGGACGGCGGAAGAGTGCGGTAACGTCATCGCCTTCTTACTGAGCCCCGAGAGCAAGTATGTAAGCGGGAGTGTGTATTCCGTCGATGGCGCAATGTAGCGTGCAAGCACAAACTCCCCGTCAAAAGACATCTTCAGGCTGAACCTCATGGTTTCTTCCATCTCCCCGAATGTGTTTCAACGTTTTATCTCGTGACATAGGCTTCCGCATGTCATAGGCATCTTCGCCATGAGCGGTAGGATCGCTGACATTATCGCCGTAGTAGTCCTTTACTACACGATAAACACTATATCCCATTCCTTCGTAGAAGGTGATGGCTTTCGTGTTGCTTTTCCTTACGAAAAGGTCAACAAACCAAGCATCACCTGCCTCAGCTGCAACTTGGAGGTTTTCGGTAAGGATCTTTCCGATTCCAAGACGACGCGCCTCGGGAGCCACCGTGAGAGCAGTTATATGCGCATGCCATGGCAGGTAATGTTCTGAGTATTGAAAATAATCTGGAGAGCTTTCGAGTTTACCCATGACTATACGCAAAGCATAACCACGTTAGACGCGACAGTTCTGAAGTCCTCTACATTAACCAAGCAATGTTTAACCTACTGTAACCAATGATATTTCCCTTGGGATCTTCAGCAACCTGGAATAGGGAAGGCCATTTGGCAAAATATTGAAGATAAAAACTCAGGTCGTAAGTCTCAGTCAAAGGGTCGAGGTTGCACTTAGAGAACTTGTCTAAGTCGTTTGGACGGAAACGTCGAAATGATGCCATTTTAAGTCGATGATCATCCCCCCTCTAGGTGACGATTGTATCTATTCCCGTAATAGCAATCTATTATCTGTACTTGATCTTTTGATTCAAGTTATCTTGTATGAGATAGAGAGAAAATGGCACTGCTGATGAACAATAAACTATTTGATCGTTGGGTTTATGAGATGTCTAGTAAAGTGGTATACTTACAGAAATAATGAAGGGTTTATGCTTTATTTGCAATAAATAAAAGAATTTAAAAAAAACCATTCTAACATTTTTCTACCCCTCCAAAATTGCAATACCAATTTAAATATGAGTACCCATGTAGGTACTGGGTACCTCATCACCAAATTACATAACTAAGACAGAGGGCTAATCACATGTGTTGTGGGATGGACCTGTCCTAAAACGGAAATAAATAATCGCTAACGGCAGGCTCTTATCTAGTAGGTAGGCACGCAGGTAGGTACCTAAACATCACCTACTTACACTGCGGGAACATTTTACGCATGCGGGAACTGGCAGGAACGTATAATAGCAAAGTGCATTATCGGTATGCATATGTAGGTATGTAGAAGGACGTTAGGTATCTAAGTACCTATGTAGCTCTTTCATTTTTTTATTTTATTTTTTATTTTAATTTTGACGCATTTGGGCAGTAACTTTAACGACACAACACTTTTTCCGTAACGACACAACACCTTCCTAATTTGGCTTAGTGCAGCCACACAACATTACTTCGCCACAACAACTTCAATCGCACTAAAAGTAAAAACATTAAACTACTAATTTCAGTTTAAACCACTTTATTTAATTAGCTCAATAATCAGGACCCACTTTTCCCTGATAAGTTATTGGTCTTTACGTGACTTTTAAGGTATGATTATATAAGCCGACAGCTGTCGCGGGGTTCATTATGTAATACTAGAATGCCCCGCATTAATTACATAATACTTTACTCGAATCTAAATATCAATTAAGAATTACTATTAATCGTAACAAAACTGATACTGTTTTATAGATCTCCTTTCAGCGAATCTAATGATATAGCTTTTAACTAGGTGCATCAGCTTTTGATACTTGTATCAGGGTTTAAAGTGGACAGGTGATCGTTTTAATTAAGTCACGTGATACCCATCGGGGCCAACACAGTTGCTTACTCATCCATTTACACTTTGTCGATTAACTAATCGATCACATCATCTATGAGAATAAAACCTATATCGATCGATCTGTCTCATCGCGCGCTATGTATTACTGTTTTTTTTTTACTTCATCTAATTTTTAAAAAATCAATTAATAAAGTTAAACATCAGTATCTCAGTGCGCACGCTTATTGGTTGAATTTGTTGAATTCTAATACTTTTCTAGTGTTGTGCCAAATTAGGTAATGAACTGTTGTGTGGCTGAACTAAGCTCAATTAGGAAGGTGTTGTGTCGTTACGGAAAAAGTGTTGTGTCGTTAAAGTTACTGGCATTTGGGCAGCTGCTGGGTAACTGTACCGGATCCTTGCTAACTTTCAAGGGTTAGTAACAAATATTATTGGATCAGTTGGACTTTTCATTATTAGAATGGTCTAACTATTCTGGCATCTGGCCCCTAATGTAGCTGCGTGGGTAATCCACATTCCGCATCCCGCATCATCAGCCCGATATCAAAAGTTGCTAAAAATCACAACGAAACTTCCAAAATCTATCATCGGCCGAGTCCTGCAAACACGACTACTAAACGTCTCAATCTTTGATTTTTTTTTTCTTCGCAAAGGTTTCTTCCTCGTCCTTTTTCAACCTCCTACCGATCATTTTAGTGCGATGATACGTTGTTTCATATCCATGGTTTAATTCGACGCATAGTCGAGCTTCTACTTTCCTACGATTCAACGACCTCTCTCTAGTTTAACATAACCGTCATATCACAACCATGGACAGGTTACCATCGCCCCCGAGGCACTCGAGTCGCTCCTCTAGCGTCGAAGTATCGTTCCATACTTACAGTCCCACGTCACCTAGAAGCCGACGACAGTCCAAATCCTCTTTTCAAGATCCCCTAACGCCCTTACGCAATAGTATGAACGAATCCGAGCTTAATGACCTCAGTGGTGGTGGTATGGGCCAGGACAACGGGCTTGGAAATCTAGCCGACGAATTAGCTGACGCTTTGTCTGGCTCTGGTGACGAGGAAGAGTACTACGAGGACGAAGAAGGATCACCACGTCTCGGTTTCGGTCAGAAGAGGGATGACGGTCGGGATTCGACTGATGGGATTAGAGATAGCGGAGTTGATGTAGCAAGCCAGTCAGATCAACATGGAAGGACTAAGAGCACGAGCTTGGGTATACCTTCGCCTCCTGGGCGTGGCCACCGGCGAACAGGAAGTGCATATGACGGGAGCGAATATGGCTCCGAATCCGACCTCGATTCGCCTGGCATGCCACCAAGCCTGGTTGCTAAGATTGATGCAGTTGAGTCGTTAGCCCGAAGAGGCACTGAAAGCAATGGTGGACCTACTGATGGCGTCTTTCAACGCCTGACCGACGGACTCAAAGATCTCGGGTCACAGTCCAGCGTAGAGGGAAGTACGACGAGGCAAGTACCCAATCGCATGATAATACCTAGCCAACCTTCTTGGGTCTATTATAGCCTAACCGTTGCTAAATATTAGGTTGATTACTGCTCACTCGGCCTTGGCAACACATCTGGCACATCAGACACGTCAAATTCATAATCTCACATTCCCTCTACTATCACCGCTAGTCACACCTCCGGACCCCGATACGATCGATTCTCTGCTACCATTGCTCGCTTCTGTCTCGGACGAGATGCCGCGACCTGCAACTTCAGCATTCAACTCCTTGACTGCTTTGCATTCCGTGACATCGGACCTAGTCCAAACTCTCAATTACCTCTCAGATACACTGCATATGTCACGGCAAACCACTACCACCGCCACGAGACGCCTAAGAACTGCCAAAGAGATGGTGGCGGAAATGAAACGAGAAGAGGAGCTTAAAGAGGAAGGGGAGAGATGGTTGACAAGGGGTAACTGGAGCGAAAGGTTACAAAAGCGCGAATGTGCCGGCGTGTGCAGAGAGGTTGTTGGAGGTTTCGAAGAGGTGTGTAACGGCTGGAGAGCACGTCTATTAGCCCAGGCAGAGTCGGCATAGTCAGCATCGGAACAACCTTGAACTATGCCAGGGCGCATGTTATACTGTAGAATAAGGGTCCCTATCGTCTTCGGGCAAAGAGCCGGGTCTAACGTTGTAATATGCGGTCGACGTGGCCTTATTAATTCGGATCTTCTTCTGCCATTTCAGCGTTGCGGCAGATACGTATTGATTGCGCTCAGAACCTGTACTTGGCGTCGATATTGGGTTCTTAACTGGCTCTTATATCCACAGGGATAGACATAAAGACTTTCGAAGATTTGCGGTGCTGGACGATGGTTTCGCTTAAGAAATGCAAACGATGGATACGTTCATATATCCTCCCATGTGTGGTGGTGTATACATCGTTCTCTTCTCGCGGGTCTTACAGGCTCTCCAATCATACTAGAGTTTCCCCCCCTAGCAAGTACTGCAAATCATGCAGCAAATACCTACCTACCCATGGAGAAGATGTGCCCGTCAAATAAACAAGAATGATACATTACAAGCAGCTTGGTAGATAGCTTGTACACTATACCATCGTCACCAAACGGAGGTCAGTCACATAAGCCACAATGAAGCCCAGCTACAGAAAAGAACCTAAAGGCCGAATGCGAGATATGGACCCAAGAAGAGGAAGAGGAGGAAGAAAATGAAGAAGAAAGGATTCTAACTCTTCGCACCCTCTAGACAATTAGAGGCGCAGCTATGAGAAGGTTTATAAAAAGTTATCTGTCACGCCGGTAGTTCAAGATAGTTTCGCAGCGTTCTTCCCCTTCTTGCAATTTCTCATTCTCTTTTAGCACTGATCCGGCTGGTGTATGGTCCCTGGAGAAAACGGCAATTTCGACCCAAGGCATACTCTAGCCCTTGGATTTGAGCTAAAGACTGTCTACATGGCTGAAAGTTTTCAATGCCTTCGATGCATCTAGATAATACAGCAGGAGGGGGGACAGACTTCGGCTGGGGGGTGTGAAGGAAGTCTCCAAATATCTGACGAAAAAAAAACGAGTCATCGAATATGACTTTCAGGTGATCTACCGAGAAGAGTGCTTCCGATATCTTCTCGAGCGAGTATTGAGAGACCGAGCTACTACATGGCGAGGCCAGATCGAGTGAGGACGGGTTACTTTCTTTCTCGCGCAAAGGGTTTAATCGGTCCTGCTCCATTGACCATTTGCTCTGCAGGCCATATGAGAAATTACTACTTCTAAGCGCAGGCGAAGGAGAAGAAGAGTTCCCCCTCGGATAGATAACACTATATAAACTGAGGCTAGATTGGAGTACTGTGAAAATTTCGATGGCCAATAACCGCTTGTGCCGCAGGTCAATAGTTCCTACCACTATTCCACACTCATGATTTCTATCATGGCTGAAAGCTAAACGAGTTTCGTAGATCGAGGGTCTTCCGATGCGGCCATGGTGAAGAGTTCAGCCTGACTTCGCCCAGGATTGCTCTGAATACTGTGAATGAATTGATAGGGTGGTTATTGAAAAAGTATTGTATAGTGAGAGTTATTTCATCTATCACCTATTCTGACGAGTTGATTTGGAATGTTGAATATTTAAGAGTGATAGGCTGTTTTCGCCCATATTTTTCGAAAATAAAAGGAACGTATCTCGTGCGAGTACATAGATGTACTCAGAAAATAGAAAATTCATCCTTATTGTAGGGTTGCCAACGTCGTGGCATAGGCGGAAACGCCCAGAGCGTCTTGGAATCTATTAGTACATTTCCTTCAAGATCAACAATCTAGCCATCCCTTTTCTGTAGTCTGCTTATATCGAAGTAGTGATAATATTACCATATAAGCTATATTCTCTGTATATGGCTTTTTGCTGCAATATGAAATTCAAATGATAGCCTCTAGGTAAGTCAGCTCGATGCCATGATTTACCAGCCATGCATGTGCATGTGGATGCGGATGAGAGCGAATGGGGTAATTCTGAACGCGCTGCTGGTAGAGGTATGCAAGTACTTCAAGTTGTGAAGGAGCTTAGGTAATTATTAAGAAAACTTTATTATTTACTTATATCGGGAGTCGTGGTACATCCATTAGAGTTTAGCCCCTGAGCTGCCCTATCATCGGGCAAACTCAAACTTGGGACGAGTCCAAACGCCAACCCCTGAATGGAAAAAAGTTTGGCCAATCGGAAAATTGGCCGCGCGCGTCCCTCATAAAATCACCTAGGCTGAATAAGTAACAAAAACAAACAATGCAACCGCGCTATCTACAAATACAGTAGTTTGACGAGGTAGCAAGGGCAGCGAGGGGCACGCTTTGCTTTTTATGTTGTGAGCATTTCTCCAAAAAAGGGAGAACGGCGCGTCTGGTCAATCTTGCATCGCGAATTAGGCCGCACAACGGGTCTCACTGTTTGACGTGTTGGATTACTTACAGGGTAAAAAGACCTGTCAGAAGGTCTTTGTTATTGTTCTACTCAAACCAAATGTCAAAACCCAACCTTTACAATCATATAGTGTATTGTTGATGTAGAGTTTTAGTGACCGCGAAACGGGACGAAAAAATATGAGACTTTGGGGATGCTGTTAAGCCACGCGTTTCCCGCCACCCAATGGAATCTAAACTTACCTAGTATTATAATATGCACATACATACCTAGGCACGTATTTAATACCAAGTACAAAATATGATGATCGATTATAGATGATAGAGGTATATTATTAGAAAATCCCCAACGTTTGATCTTGAACACATCTGCTATTATGTGTTAAGATAAAAGAGGCAAATGCAATAATTATTAGGTATTATGTAGCTATGCACTTAGTAAAAGACGGTATTCTACATCAATAATATACATGTATGTATAGGTTGGTTTGGTGTTTCTTTATGAAGTTACTACCTCAAGTATTCTACTCATGCGTAGGTACTGGGCAGGTATTATGGATGATACAATCATAGTGACATTGACATTAATGTTGATCATAACCCGGTACAACACATCTCGCGTGTGCTAAGACGAACTGTAGGTACCTAAAGACTCACAATATTACTTGATAGTGGAGACTTCAAATTTATGTAGTTAGCACCTGCTCTAGCTGTCTAGGTACTCCCCCTGGTGTCATTACTGCATTTAATGTTGTAAGGCGCGCGCCCGCACTCAAAGCAAAGGTATGGGGGATAGAGCCATGCCGTCCACCTTCCTTACCTTAGCATGGTCCATTCAGCCGTTGCCTTTCAACCTCAATTCTTAACCCACGAGAGTCAACCACGCACCTCTTTCCCACATACCACCTGCTAAATTTTGTAACATCGACGACGAACGAGAAAACCTTAAATCATTTTCGCTAATTGGAATATTGAACGTTTTTGGAGGTTTCCCTTTCTCTCATCTATTCATCTCCGAGGGAATTCGTCGAATCGAAATCAAGCGCTTGAATACACCACGATCATTTCTCCCCCGAAACGATTGCCCATTCATTCTTTTTTTCGACTTTCAGATCAATCTATTTGACATCGTCTTTCTTAGAAGAGCATGCGCTAGACGAATCTGCGAACCCTGAGGGGACTCTTAGGAGATTCTCACTTGATCATTTCATTATCTACTACTTCATATTCTATCGCTTAGCACGCTATTTCTGCTTCTCTTGTCCGCTTCTGACCACCACCCCCCTCCTTCAATTTAAAAACATCACGTAACAAACCTTCTTCACGGCACTCCCACCAGTTCACATTTCGGAATCTACCCACATCATTCTCTGAGAACTATCTAGTCTTTGCGATCACTACCTGAACACGAATTGAAGAGGATAAAAATGACGTTAGAGTCTGACCTAGTGTCTTCGACACTGTCATCTCTAAAACGACAAGCGCATGACACGACGAGCCCCTCTGTTCGAACACCATCAAGAATAGCCACCCCTCCTCCACCATCCGATCGAGGAACACTGCAGGTGATGAGTAATGGAGATGGTGCTAAGTTAAAAAATGCTCGTCATAGTGGCCGAGGGTCGACCATCGGTGGTGTTGATCCTGAGAATTTGACGCGAGCTCTTTCTAGAGAACTTTCTGGGGATAGACGAGATAGCACGTCAGGTGCCAGTCCAAGTAGGAAAAGGCAACGAATAAATGTTGACAGGTTAGTAAACATACCCATTTCCTGTTTTTTTTTTTTTTTATTTCTATTTTCATCCTTGCTCAAGTTTCCCACCTCCACGTTCATAATTCCTTCAGATACGAGGACAATCTAAAATTGCAGCAATGTATGCTAAGTCTGACAGATTTATTCCTTCTCGCTCGGGTCAAGACCTTCAGGCCAGCTTCAGCCTTCTGCATGAAGAAGGTTCTCCAGCAACACCCTCCAAGCAGAAGAAGCGTACACCGCATGGTGAGCTTCACTTCCAGAAGAGTATGTCATTTTAGCTATTCTCCTATAAGAACGCGATACTAATTGATCCCCCGTTTAGCGGAAGAGGCGAATCGAATATTCTCGACAGTTTTAAGAGCAGAACTCTTCGAAAACACGATACCACAGGCAGCTCCTCAGGCATTATCGCCGGACAGCAACTTGCCTGGTTCATCACATTCGACCCATGTTCATGATGGGACGAGATCCCACACGCCGCCTAGTAACCCCCCTCCCTCCCTGCCCTCTACGTTTACACCATCCACACCGCACAAGAATCTCTTCTCTTATATGTCACCTCGGCACCATTCTAATATTGCTGGCCACCCAACACCAAACCGCACTCCACAGAGCAGACATGGTCCCAATCTAGATATCCGATCAGAGATATACAGTATATCACCAGTTCGCTTTGGAAGCCAACAGATGTTATTGAGCCCGAGACGTCAACCGCGTGCAGTCAGCAAAGTACCATACAAGGTTTTGGACGCCCCCGAGCTAGCGGATGACTTCTATCTGAACTTGGTCGATTGGGGTAGTGCTAACGTTTTAGGCGTTGGTTTGGGATCAAGTGTCTACATGTGGAATGCACAAACGAGTCGGGTCAACAAGCTTTGCACACTCGAGGATGATACTGTGACAAGCGTGTCTTGGATTCAGAAAGGTACGCATATTGCCATCGGTACCGGCAAGGGTTTAGTGCAGATCTGGGATGCCGAAAAGACTAGGCGTTTAAGAACCATGACGGGGCATACCGCACGTGTAGGGTCTATGGCATGGAACACACACATCCTCACCTCAGGGTCTCGGGATCGATTGATTTACCATCGTGACGTCAGAGCTCCTGACCAATGGATGCGAAAGCTTATGGGTCATAAGCAGGAGGTGTGCGGGTTGAAGTGGAACTGCGAAGATGGCCAACTGGCAAGCGGAGGAAACGATAATAAGCTTATGGTTTGGGATAAACTCTCGGAAACTCCTCTCTGGAAATTCTCCGACCACACTGCTGCAGTCAAGGCAATTGCTTGGTCCCCCCACCAACGTGGTCTTCTTGCGTCGGGTGGTGGTACGGCTGATCGAAGAATAATATTCCACGATACAGTCCGCGGGTCGGTCATTAACGAAGTTGACACCGGTAGCCAAGTATGCAACATTTCGTGGTCCAAAAATTCGAACGAGATCGTCTCGACCCATGGCTACAGCCAGAACCAGATCGTCGTATGGAAGTATCCCGCCATGACCCAGGTGGTTAGCCTCACCGGACACACGTACCGAGTATTATATTTGGCGATGAGCCCAGATGGACGAACCATCGTGACAGGAGCCGGTGATGAGACTCTGCGATTCTGGACCGTGTTCGGACGCCGACCGGGTCAGAGAGAGGACGCCGACGGTGGCGGTGGGCGACTGAGTGACTGGGGCGTGATTCGCTGAGGGGCTCAATTTTCTCTGCAATGCATGCGTACACTACGGTACGATGGCATAGCCCATATCGCCATAGTGACCTTCGTTCTCTTAATTTTACGGCATTTTCAAGAGGAGCCACCTGTACAGTTGGGTTGCATCCACCGGCGTTATCGTTTTCACGAACTTCGCATTTATGAACCTATGCGGAGGAGGAAAGGGCTGGATTCTTAGTTGCTTAGTTACTACGGCGTCAAAAGGTTGACTAGCTAACTAATTTGCATTCGACCACCTTCATGATAATGGTGGCTGGGGTGGTGGGGACGGTGAATCCTGTTATCTATGGGCAGCAAGGCGTTGAAGGAAGTGGGAGGTTCCTCATGGATAGGAAACCACTAGTAGGGTCAATTGAGGAATACGGTGATAAAATCTGTTCGGCTCCGTAACATTATCGTAGATATTATTACGAGCGCTGTAGGCAAGAAAAAGCGCAGCAAAAAGGGTTTAAAACTGTTAGTGGCTACGCATACGACTTGATACAATATAAGTTTATTGTGATTGCTTTTACATCCACACCTACCTATCGATCAGTTTCCGACGTCCTCTTCCACGTTATATTCGTGTGAAGTGAATTTGCCTATTGCCGAGGTTGCCGCGTCTAGAAGCTATGATATCTCGGCACATGGGCAGCCATGTACATATATCAAGTAAAGGTTATGGGTGAGAATGTCTTTCTAATTTCTAGCGCGTTGATGCTCATGCATAGCTATTTCTCGTTAGATTTCACTAATCGTTGCTCTTTCTCCGCCGAATCCCAACTCCGTGTTCTGTACTAAATTGATATGAAGGGGTATCGAGATATCTGCTGAATCAATCTTTGATAATAATAATAATAATAATAACGATGATGACGGTAATGATGATACCGCAACGTGTTACTGCGGGAACTCCAAACCCCTCAAAAAAAAACAAAAAACAGAAAATAGCATGCCCAATAACCCTGAGCTCTCATCGTTGACGAAATAGCATAATCGAACTGCTACGTAACACCGATAGTCCGCATTATGGTTTTGGATGGAAAATATTTAACCAATTGTCCCTCTGGCTCAGGTCATCGATTATGCTCTTCTAAGCTCGTCCCCCAACATTTCCCAACGAAAAAAAAAAATAGTACATCTACTAAGGACGACTATTTTGTGATGTCACTGCTCCCGTGGGGTTCCTAGCTCGTACAGCATCTTCGTTTCCGTTGTCAATCCCACTAGTTGCTGCATTCTTTTCAGGAGAGCCTTTCTCTTTGTTCGGATTCTCATCGTGTAATAGTGGGATCTCGTCCACACTTAAACGCCTTCCGCTGGCAGGGTCTTGAACTCGGACAGCCTTTTCGACTCTTTCGATATCTGTAGCGTCGTTCTTCTCATCGAGTTCGGGCGCCGGTGTCGGTGCTATTGTCGGAGAACCAAGCCCATCAGGGCTATTCTGCCACTTAGCAACTTCGGCCTTCAACTCTTCGAGTTCCTTTTGGAATCGTTTGCCGAACACATCGATATAATACGTCGAACCATTGTAGACACTCCACGTGAAGACAATCATGAGGAAAGTGGATGACGCCCATCGGCTATAGAACCATAAGGGACAGGGTAACATTGTCAGTACGGCGTATATGTACTGAATCATCATGAACGCGAACTCCTGCAAGCTATCTGGTAGCGAGAGCACAATTTTGCCGATCCAGGTCTTCGAGTATGATCGACGGAGCCAGGTAAAGGATGTAGGCCGTCCAGCCGCGATCTTTTCGCGCCTTCGAACCGTGATAAAGAAATAATAGCTAAACTGCCAAATGGCGTACGGAATGGTAGACCAGGCAAGCATCGATATAAGGTTACCATACGCAGTCGGGGAGCCTGGGGGAGAAGTTTTGACGGTCCAGAGCGCAGGAAATCGTTCACGTTGCGCATCGGGAGGGAACAGATGGGTAATGCAATGCAATGTGGCAACGGGCATGATATGGATGAACAGAGAGGTGACTTTGTCGAAGTCGTGGAACACGAGCGAATTACGCCACATAATGATCGCCACGGCGTTGTTCCCGAATGCTAAGCAGTAAGCAGCGATAAACAACCTCTTGGAGGATGGGAATATCCAGATACTGAGAGAGAGCAAGAGGTTGACGAAGTAGCAGAGGTCGGCTAAAAAGTAATGATAGCCACGCCGGCGGTAGGTATAGAAACGGATAGGCATGAAATAGATGAGCTGAGCCCCGTACCAGAGATGAAAGAATTCGGGATAGGCGCCTATCAAGTAGCCACTGATGAAAATGTTCATGACGCCGCCGATGAAGGAGACCTTCTCGCGCAAGGTGACAACTTTGGTATCGTTCCATCTACGGCCCAACCTTTCGACGCTCTGCTTCATACGCTTTCTGTACCTCTCCAATTGCTCATCGGCTGAAGGTACTCGTCGTCGCCATTCTTCGACCATACGCTCCCTCGCCTCCTGGCTTTTGCTTTTGAGGGCGGCTCGCGATTTGCGAACCTTTTCGGTCTGAGCCGAAATCCCCTTTTGCAACTTTTCCAATTGTTGTGGTAAAGCGAAATTGTCGAGCAAGTCTAGAACGGTCAACCGGTCAAGGGGAGGGTAAGAATCCCAGTCTTCATGGTAGGAGCTGCTCCCAGAGAAGGAGGGATTCCTCGACATCCGAGGGCTTTTATGTCCATCGTCTAGCTTAGGGGGATCAACCACAGCTTGCTGGAAAGGCGAAGAGCTTAGGGACGGGGTTGTGGTATCGTCGGGTGTTAGGGCAGTCTCGTCGTCAGTCTGAGCGCCCTCGGACTTAGCAAGCTGCGCGTGTACGGAATTGCTTGCAGAATCGGCCATCTCTGTTAGGGTGCGGATCGGGAATCTTTGGATGTCGTTACGAAAAGACACTCTACGAAGAGCTTCGGCTCCCCTGAGAACTAAGATATCAGCCATAGCCGAACAACGGGGGGGAATGGGAGAAGGGAGAAGGGGTTACCCGAGACTTGGGACTAAAGTCTGGACGAGGGGTAGTGATATATGTCGACTTACGAAAGGAGTAGGGGTCCGATCTAGTTATTATTGTCGTCTCGACCAGAAGGTGGCTTCACGTTGTGCGTACGTGTGGATGCGATGCTAGAAGCCGGTCCAATTAAATAAAGAGTCCACAGAGGTCACCACGGGCAGAACGGGTCGAGGTAAGAGATAAAGGATCGAGGTGGGAAAACAAAGCGGGTGCATGTGACTTTTCGTAGGTAGGTACCTAGTAGGTTAGTAGCTAGAATATAGTAAGACACGAGGCGAGTTTGCGTGACCCCAGAGGCCTGTATTAGGAAATAGAGAATAGGACCCCTAAGGAATAAGAGATTTAGAGCAAGGGATGATGGGGTATAAAAGATGTAGGCGGGCGGGAATATTTGATCCTGTAGGTGGCTTTCGCTGAAGGACGTGTCTCGAGCGTGAATTGTGGTTGGACGAGAAGAAGGAGGCTCTTGTGTATGTAGGTATTGTTGCGAGATCTTCAATCCGTCAACGGCAGAGTCGATACGACTTTAACTTAGATATGTATTTGATTTTTGAAACCCCCCTGGTATACAGTTTCACAATTTGGTCCGATTTTCTTCTTAAGTACGTAGTTCAAACAGATTTCCTTGCCGAGGGAACAAAAAATTAGGATGTATGTGTTTGTGGGATGTAGAATTGGTAAATGTCAAGATTGGTTAATCTTGAAGGGCATTTGTAAGTATAATGACGACATTAGGCATAACAATACCTAGTACCCTTCAGTCTTGGAATATTCACATGTACCCTTGATATATATACATACATACATAGTGCCTAGGTAGGTATGTATGTAAGTTGAACATAATGTTGAAACCATTTAAGGTTGCTTAGACCTATATATGAGCTTTAACCTCGTATAGGCTCCGTAAGTGACGTCTGGTTGCGGGATGGGAAAGTTGAAGACCTATTAGTTTTGATCTTCAAGCCGTTCCAACTTTAAATTTCAGGGTTCAACATCAACTATAATATCTGTCTAAAAACTGGAGGAATGTGTACCTAAGCAGGTACCTAGCAGGTACGTGCATAATGAGAAGAGGTAGGTACCTAGGTAGATTTTAATTGGTTAGGACGCCTAGCCAGCCTTAGGTAATTCCTAATTGAGATAGAAGGGTCCCCGCGTCTAAATCTAAAGTCGCGTCTTGTACATACATTTTTACATCGCAGAGCATTGAAAAAGAGTACTAGGTATGAATTAATTATTAGGTACCTACCTACCTAGTAGTCAGTCAGCATACACGCTATTGTACTCTTACCAACACACTGGAATATACGAAATACGATAATTTTCGCAACCTTCACCAATTGACGGGACACTCATCCATGTGTCCCATATGTGAAGGCGCTCTAGTTTATTAATTTATTCGGCCGGTTCATTGAAATGCCATAAATTAAATACGATTGGATCCAAAGGTCGTCTAGCGACAACTGGTTCCTCTTTCGCATATTTCTCGCGTCGCGTCTTTATCTACCCTTCAACCATCAACCACCTACTACCTACTGCCCACTGCCTACCGCCTACCGCCTACTTCCTACTTCCTACTTCCTGCTTGATACATAGGATTATAGGATAATAGGGCTTAGAGTCCTAAGACGCCTAAGGCAAGATGGGGAAGCTCATTCGCCTCGAGCTATTCAGTACGTATCGCTTTTTCTATAAGAACATCTCATGCGCATGACAAAACTAACCATCCTTAGACTTTAAGTCCTATAAGGGACATCATATTCTCCTCTTCGGCGACTCATACTTCACTTCTATTATTGGCCCAAATGGATCTGGTAAATCTAATTCGTACGTCGTCTACCGGCTCTACTTCTAGCTGCCTATGCGCATGTTGTACTGATTTAATCTAGTATGGATGCCATTTCTTTTGTCTTAGGTATCAAATCATCGCATCTCCGATCCGCCCACCTCAAGGATCTCGTTTACCGGGGCCGAGTTCTCAAGACTTCCAAAATAAATGACGACGGCTCAGCTGCCGAGCCAACTACGAATGGGCACACCAACGGCTTTGTTAATGGCGACGACAATGACAAACCGAATCGTAGCGATCCCAAGACCGCTTGGGTCATGGCCGTATACGAAGATGATGCCGGCGATGAGCAGAGGTGGAAGCGCAGTATTACGAACCAAGGCTCGAGCGAGTATCGTATCAACGACCGCGTCGTCACTGCTCAGCAATATAACGAGGCTCTCGAAGCCGAAAACATTCTTATTAAAGCCCGCAACTTCCTTGTCTTTCAAGGAGATGTCGAGGCGATCGCTGCTCAGTCTCCCCAGGATCTCACCCGCCTAATTGAACAAATTTCGGGCAGTTTGGAATACAAGGCTGAATATGAAAAACTGCAGAGCGATGCGGACCAGGCTGCTGAGAATACCAATTTTATGCTTCAGAGACGACGTGGTATCAATTCCGAAATCAAGCAGTACCAAGAGCAGAAGCGCGAGGCGGAAAATTTTCAGAAAAAGACCGAGGAACGTGATGCAGCTATTGTGACTCATATCCTCTGGAAGCTGTACCATTTTCAGCAGGTCATGGATGACTCGAGTGCCAAAATTCAAGATCACCAAGAAAACCTAAAAGAATTTCGTCGCAATGTTGAAACCTTCGAGCGAAAACTTGAGGCTGCCCGCAAAGAACAGGCTGACGCTGCGAAGGACGTCCACAGAGTAGAGCGCCAGATAAAAAAACAAGAGAAGGAGATAGAGGAGAAAGAGAATAGTCTCGTCCCTATCGAGGAAAAAGTACAACAGACGAGCAGCCAGGCTGATACAATCCGGAATAAGATTGATTCTGTTCAGAAAGAACGTGACGAGCAGCGTAAACAGATCTCCAAGATCGAGAAAGAATTATCGACCGTTCAGAAAGCCCAGAAACAGTTCGAAGATCAATGGAAGGAGACCATGAAAAAACAAGGTAAAGAACTAAGCGACGCTGACCGGAAGGAATACAATTCCCTCCGAGCGCAAGCGTTAAGCAAGTCTTCGGAAAACCAGGTCAAGCTGGAGAACCTCAATCGCCAACTAAAAACCGACGAGGTTACCGTCAACAGCTTAAGGGGCAAGGTTGAGACTTATCAAGCCGCCGCGGAGAAGCTTGAGACTGAGCTAGCAGTTATTCATGAGAGGAAAAGCGTCACCGAAATTACCGTCAAACAGCTTTCGAGAGAGATGGATGCTAAGAAGAAAGAATTCAACCAGGTTCAGTCGGAAAGAGTTAGAACTAACCAAAGGCGGACAGAGCTCGATGAGAAGCTTCAAGATGTTCTAAGGAAGCTGTTAGAGGCGGATGATGGAAGACGCCAGAATGACAAGGAGGCACGGATGAAGGAGATGGTCACCTCTCTGAAGCGCATCTATCCGGGCGTTAAGGGTAGGGTAGGAGAGCTATGCAAACCGAAACAGAAGAAGTTCGATGAAGCGGTCATCACCGCCCTCGGACGAGACTTTGACTCCGTCGTTGTTGACAGCGAGAAGACTGGTGTGGAGTGCGTGCAATATCTGAAGGACCAGCGCTTCCCGCCAATGACCTTCATCCCATTAGACAACATCAAGGTCAACGCAGCGAACACTGCCGTTAAGGGCATCAACGGGGCGCGACTAACTATTGATGCCATCGATTTTGACACTTCGCTCGAGCGCGCAATGTCCTACGCATGTGGTGGCTCGATCGTGTGTGATAGCTTAGAGATTGCGAAGCATGTTTGTTACGAGCGTAGAATTCAGGTCAAAGCAGTGACGTTGGAAGGGTTTGTCATTCACAAGGCAGGTTTGATGACTGGTGGACGAGGTCCAGATACCAAAGGGAAACGCCGCTTCGAGGAGCATGACGTCCAGAACCTACAGAAGATGGCGGACAAATTTCGGGACGAGATCGAGAAGCTACCCAGAGCGGATAGGCGTGGCGTGGCGGAGGAGACGCTGCAAAACGAACTCGCGGGGCTCGATCAGCGCCTAGCATTTGCCAACAGCGAACTAACCGCATTCACCCAAAACATGGCCAGTAAGAAGAAGGAACTGGAACATGTCAAACGCCAAGTAAAGGAGTGGCAGCCCAAGTTCAAGGAAGAAGACATCAAGTTCCAGAAAACGCGCACAGCAGTAGAGAAGTTTAGGGCCGCCATCGCCGAAGTAGAAGATAAAATCTTCGCCGATTTCTGCAAACGACTCGGATATTCTGACATTCGGGCTTACGAAGCGCAACAAGGAAGTTTGGAGCAAGAAGCTCATGAGAAGCGTACGCAATTCGATCTCCAAAAGTCGAGACTAGAGAGCACCAAGAGCTGGGAAACGTCCCGACATAATGAAACTGAGAGCAGGCTCCGTAGCATCGAAGATCGCTTTAAGCGACTCTCTCAAGATATCAAATCTTACCAGGCAGAGAAGGAGAAGATTGAGATGACAATGAGCGAGGATCAGGATAGCCTTAACGTCCTTCAGCAGGAGCTGGACGAGTACAAAGCTGAGCTTGCGAAACGGTCAGAGAAGGTCAACGCGGCCAAGACAGAAGTTCAGAAGAGAAGCAAGGATATCGAGGGCAGGCAGAAGGCGATCAGCGCACTGGAAACCGAAGTCCAGAGGAATAGCGCTGGAAAATTCGCGCTGTTGAGACGGTGCAGATTAGAGCAGATCAACGTACCTCTCACCTCAGGATCTCTCGATAATCTCCCAAACCAGGACAACCTCTTACAACAGGATCCGGACGCCATGGATGTAGACGATGGAGACGACGCTGATATTATGGGTGATGCTATGGATGATTATGGTATTGAGGTCGACTTCAACGAGTTAGATGATGAGCTGAAAGATGTAAGTTTTCATGCGGAGTTTGGTAGATCTAAATGCTAACTTAAGCAGCCCGAGGACGAGAGCGTCGAGGATAAGTTACAAGAGAAGATCTCGTCGCTTACTGCGGAGCTGGAGAAGCTAAACCCCAACATGCGAGCGATAGAGCGCTTAGAGGTTGTCGAGGCACGACTCACAGCTACTCAAAAGGATTACGATAACTCCAAAGCGGTCTACGAGGCTGCGAAGGACGCCTTTGACGATGTCAAGACCAAACGCTTCGAGCTATTCGACAAGGCGTTTGTCCACATCCGAGAGCAGATCTCGCACGTCTACAAGGACTTGACGAGATCGGACCAGTACCCACTCGGCGGTCAAGCCTACCTCGATATTGAAGAGGACACAGACAAGCCGTATCTCTCGGGGATCAAGTACCACGCCATGCCGCCTCTCAAACGCTTCCGCGACATGGAACATCTGTCAGGAGGCGAGAAGACGATGGCTGCACTTGCTCTGCTCTTCGCCATCCACAGCTACCAGCCTAGTCCCTTCTTCGTGCTCGACGAGGTAGACGCTGCGCTTGACAATGCGAACGTCGACAAGATCAAGAATTACATCCGCGAGCACGCAGGGCCTGGTATGCAGTTCATCGTCATCAGTCTGAAGACGGGCCTGTTCCAGGACAGCGAGAGCCTCGTCGGCGTGTACAGAGATCAGGAAGTAAACAGCTCACGATCGCTGACCCTTGATGTAAGTCGTGCTACAACCTTACCAATAACCCCCTCATCTCTCTGCGTAATTTCTTATCAATTTCCATGAAGATCATGCATGCTGACTCGTCTTTCCTAGCTACGCAAATATGTGTAATACACAAGTTTATTCTACTGGAAAGCAGGTGGTTCTACAGGGAGGGGATGGCGTGTCACGAGGGACGGCTTCATGATATGGGTAATGAATGATAGGCGGGTGCCGGTGGATATTGGCACACCCCCAAGTTGTGGGCAAACCCCACCAGGCTCGCCCGTATGCTTGTGTTGAAGATACCTTTGACGGTTTCGCTTGGAGTAAAGTAGACTCCAGATATTTGTTTGTATTACATCTTTTTACTTCAGGGCAGTGTAGATACCACTCACGCGCGGGTGCTTAGGCTTTCACGTTTGCTAGAAATCTAGACTCTGATTTGCAATGCGACTGTTGCCAACCCTTTTTGGACGCCCACCCGTCTAGGTCTACCTGAGAAAGACCATGCAATGCTATGCTAAGCCCTCCTGTACATAGGTTATCGCAATCACGAAAGACCGCACTCCCTTTAATCCCTAGGTTCCTTAGTCCCATAGTCTCTCACCCACATAACCTCGTGCGCATGAATCTAGAGGTATCACCGCCGCCCATGGCCATCGTAAATATTTAGACATCCTCAAACTGCAGATCATCGTCATCTTCGCTATCGCCACCGTTGGCTGGTTCTTCAATTCTCGCCTTCTTGGACGGCCTATCCGAAGCTGGAGTGTCCGCGGCACTAGTGGGACCGCTTGACGCGGCTCGCTTCTCGCCAATAGAGCTGGCATTCGCGGAAATATCCACGAATTCTTCACCTCCACTCTCGGCATCCTCATCATCTTCGTACTCTTCTTCCGCCGCGCGTCGAGCAGCCTCCTCCTGAGACCTCTGCAAGGACTTGTAGAGCTCATCCATTTCTTGCTCGTGAGCAACGTCGTCGGTAGAGGCGTCAGGCTTCTTAGTATCAACTTCGTCAGCCTTGACTGCCGTGGCAGAGTTGGAACTTCCAGAATACGATATACCGCTGACGGTACTAGTGGTATGCCACGAAGGAAGGGCATTCTGCAGAGCAAGCTTTTCCTTCTGGGTGCGCGCGGCCTCCTTCTCGGCCTCAGTAGGACCATCCATATCTGTGATGTCTACTTCAATCTTTTGAGGGCCGGTGTTCGCCATGCCTTTTACGGAAGTAGGCTTGGCATCCGGAAGGGCCACAGATTCGGCAGCCTCGTTACCTTTTGGACGCACCACAGGGAGAGACGCCGCAAGGGCAGTATCGAAATCGAACTCGGGAATAACGACTTGGTCAAGCTTCGGTAGGACATCTAAGATGAACTTGAGCTGATTGTTTAGTCGAGTGGACAACTCGTGGCCGCCCGCTTGTCGTTCGGGGTCGAATTCTAGGATACTACCGCATTTATGGCACATAAAGCCTCGCATCGGATCCATGTTATCCAGGACTTCCATTTGAGTCCACTCCGATGTACAACGCTTGCAGAAGTAGACCTTCTTTTCTGCTTGGGGTACAGCGTCACCTTGAACTTTTTTATCGAGTAGGAACGTCCTGTACTTGATGGCGTCGATGGCGTGTCGGTAGTCGATATAAAAATATGTGCGGGCAACTGGTTTCTCTTTGCCCGTTACTAGCTCCTGACGGGAGTGACTAGAAAAATAGCTATCAGCTCCGATGGATAAACAGTAAGCTTGTCTGATGGACATACGATCGCAAAAGGTGATCATCCTTGAGTCTGCCATAAGACTTGTTGAGGTCCTTTGGATTCAACGCCATAAGGTAAGATAAGTCACTATCCTTTACGGTAGTATGAAGGACTAAGGCGTCAACAATAAGTATCAACCTTCTCTCATCGGGACCGGTGTAGAAGGCGCGCGCGACGGTGCGCACCAAATTCTGAGCCAAATCCATAATTATGATAGAGGAAGATGTAAAGATCCAGGACAGGAAAACGGGCAGGATGATGGGCGCGAACGAAGTCGATGTTAGAATTCCCAATGTTGATGCGAGGGATGTCGAGATAACAAGAAGTAGCGGACGGGTAGTGGACGGGTTATAATGGCAAAACAATGTTACCTTTTCAAAAAAGGATGTTGAAGATAGTTTCCATTGTTTTGTCAGGCTGTCGACTTGCACAAGTGAATCAGATTTTGATTGACAAAGCGAAAGGCTATGTCACGTTCCATCAAGGAAGACGACCGCTACAAATCGGCATGCTGGGTTAGAATTGCATTGACCGAAACGAGAACTTCAAGAAGACCGGCTTTGATATTATCGATCTGTGCTGATATAGTTCGGTAGTTCGGAAATATAAATTGTCGACCCTAGCGGCTTTTTTATATTTTCTGGGCGAATGATGATGAGGTTTAAAGTTCCAAGGTTGAATACAAAAGTTTTGGTTTGACAATTGGAACAATCATTGGAATTCCACTTGCTCGGTTGCTCCCAGGCGACAACGACCCACATAATACATTCAGAAAGACTCGGTATTTTATTTGTCCGGCTCCGATGTTCTTTTTTTAATAATACATTAGGTACCTCCCTAGTAGATACTTAGTGCCCACCTACCTAGCAGTAGTACCTCGATCTATAATAGGTAATGTACATAAATATGTACATGTAAGCTCTAGATTAACTTTAGCCACCAGAGTCTAGCGGCGTACCTACTAGATATATACTAACACTGACGTCATGTATCCAAATCTAACACATGCATTCTGTACCATCACACCTACACCTCGCGACTAACAAACACTACAAGGCGCAAACGATGCCTCTTCAATTCCCCATCATTTACTTATTGCCTACCCACATCGACCCTGACATGTTGCCGGAGTGGGAAAGTAAAATACCTACCTTGACTTACGATATCAACGAGGCAGATGTCATACTCGGGAAGATATCTAATAGAGAGAGGGCTGAATTTGAATTAAGGCGTAGAAAGATTATAACAGAATATATTCCCTCAGCATCGCCTGGTTCAAAAAGCCTAGCAGAAAATCGTTGTCCGTCACTAAAACGTAGGAAACTATCGAATTCATCATATCCGAAATTCGCAGATAGTCCAGAACAAACGAGTATTTCCGACAGACATGAGGTCCTCGGTAACGGCTCGGGAATTCGTGACCCGGCTGGCCAGAAAAGCCACGGGCTGAGTAGCATAGGCACGGAAGATAATAAATCCATTATCAAAGTTGTCAGATTGGCCTGGTTCGTCGACTGTCTGGCTCAAGAGTCTATCCTTCCAATGGATGAGTATCTGATATATCAGGGCCGTAAGACGCGAGATATAGCAAAGTCTCCCCAAAATCCCAATGATATCTTCCAACGCGCAACGTATGAAGGCGGGAACGGCCGACCATCTTCAAAAGGGGAGTCGTCACAACATTCACCGACCATATGTAGTGTGAAACACCCTGCCCTAATTCAGGGGTCGACGTCCGAACATAAACACCGATCGCCAACACCCCCAATTCCCGACTACCTACACACACCTTACTCTTGCCAACGTCCAACTCCCTTCAACCCACCCAACAAGTCCTTCATTGGAGAGCTGTATAAGGTTCGAACGCTCAGACAACTCAAGAATGACGAAATAGGCATCAGAGCCTACTCCACAAGTATTGCCTCTCTATCAGCTTACCCCTATCTCATTTCTAAGCCCAGTGGTAGGTCCCCTAGTCGAATATCCCGATCACGTCTGCCTAACTTGAAATGATAGAAGTCGCCAGGCTTCCTGGATGCAGTGATAAGATTGCCGAGCTATATCGGCAATGGAAATCAAACGGCTGTCTGGAAGAGGCTGAAGACGCCAAGGCAGACCCGAAGATGTCCGTGCTACAAGAATTCTACGGAATATGGGGCGTTGCAGCGACGACCTCACAGGAATTTTATAAGAAAGGGTGGCGGGATCGTGACGACATCGTTGAAAACGGCTGGGATGGCCTTACACGGGTCCAACAGATTGGTCTCAAGTATTACGATGAGTTACAGGAGAAGATCTCATGCCCCGAAGCCGAGGAAATCGGACGGGCCATTCTAATCCACACGAATAAGCTTCGCAAAGGCTTTCAAATGGTTATCGGCGGCGGCTACCGGAGAGGCAAGACAGAAAGTGGCGATGTTGATGTGATTCTCAGTCACCCAGAAGGGTCCGCCACATCGAATTTCATAGTAAAGCTTGTTAATAGTTTGGAGTCGGGAAGATATATCACTCATACGCTAATCGTGAGCACGAAGAATAGCGAGCGAGGGCAAACTCCGGTGCCATGGAAGGGACAGGGCCGCAAAGCAGGCACCGGTTTCGATACGCTTGATAAGGCGCTTGTGGTATGGCAGAATCCTGACTGGGATAAGAAAGTGTCGTCAAATAACCCAAACCCGCACCGGAGAGTCGACATCATCATCAGTCCCTGGGTCACGGTGGGTTGTGCGGTTATTGGTTGGACTGGTGGTATTACATTTGAAAGGGACCTGAGGAGATATTGCAAGCGTGAGAAGAGCCTAAAGTTCGATAGTAGTGGTGTTCGTAGTCGGATAGACGGCAGTTGGGTAGATCTCGAGAGTGATGCCAACGGTCCGGCCCCAGATATGCTAACAGCAGAAAGGAGAGTCTTTAAGCGGTTAGGCTTAGAATGGCGCCCGCCGGAAGAGAGGTGTACGGGATGAATCATCCCAAGCAATATTCTATATTATGAGAAATGAGATTATAAGATGAACCATGTATTTCCAATTCTATTGCTACCTAAACAATTAATGTGTCTTGATGACTACCTAGTAGGTACCTAGTAGGTATATTAGTTATCTACCTCTCGCAACTATTTTCTCTCGCATGTATAATCTTAATATCAACATTATCACCTATATAGTATATAAATTAAGATAAAATAGTAAACGCATATGATTATCTAGTAGGTATTATAGATTTTCTTAAAAAAAAATCAATCTAAATTATACCCCCATTCGCATTTATAACTTCGCTTCCGGTGCCCTTCGTACCTCCTCGCTCCTGTCACTCCGCGCCAATATCCAATCTGCAACGTCCTGATAATACTCCTCCTTTCCTGGATCGGCATGTAGCTGGTGCGCCCAGCCATCGTATGCCTTGAATGTACCGTCTTCCAGTCTCTGCCTCTCCCACCATTCCTTCACTTTGTCGAAACTGGTTACCATGTCCGCCGTGCCATGCGCTAGAAGAATTGACTTCACACGCGGCCGTAGCGTTAACTTCCCGGCGGACAGGAATTCAGCGCGGTCGATCATTCCAGCCAACCCCTCGAGGGTGCCCGTGTTGTGCATTAGCGGGTCGTTCGCGATGCTCTTCTGAACTTCTGGGTCCCTAGACAGGTGCTCTGGGGGCACCGGGCGGAATAGGTGAAGATTTGGCACGACATGCGCAGCGAGGCGGCCGCTCTGCGAGAAATTTAATTAGCCGAAATATCCTTTCTCTTTTTTTTTTTTTTTTTTTTTTGGAACGTATGTTGTTGAATATTTAACTCTATAGGTTTTGGTGTTTTATTTAGGGGGGTTTTTCACATTTTTCACATCTTCCCAAAGAGAAATTTCAAGAAAGTTAAAAACAAATATAAAAGCAACTTACGGTGATAGTTAGCCAAGAGGGCTGGACTGAAGGCGCAAAGCCTAGAAACGGCGCCTCGAGGATGAAGCCCCTGATCTTAGCAATGATGTCGTCGTACTCGGATGTACTGGCGAATGTAAGGACTTCACCGCCGCCCATGGAGTGGCCGAGCATAAATATTGGGACGTCCTCGCCACTGCTACCTAGGACCTTAGCCCGTATAAAGGCAGCGATATCCGCCAGCACCGTAAAGGTAGGACCCGAGCGACCTTTATCGGCGGGGCGGCGCACGCTTCGGCCCCAGCCGCGCTGGTCGAAGCCGTAGACTGCGATGCCGCGGCGCGCAAGGGTCGGAAAGAAGTCGTAGTACCGATCTACGTGGTCGCTGAACCCGTGAATTAGGACCAACTTGGCCTTTGGTGGACCGGATGGCTAGGTTGGTTGTTAATAGGCTGATGGAAGCATATCTTATAACTATATAGATATTAGAGGTATGACTTACGAACCAGGACTTAGTATGTAGGGTTACGTCATCGACTTGAAGAGTGCCCTCGACGATATTCACGTCTCCCATTTTTTAAAGGTAGATATATAGATAGGTAGATAGGTAGATAGGCAGGTAGCTGTTCGGTCTGGCAAGATGTGCTTATGTAATTTGGAAGCGGTAGTAAAAGAGATGCACTCGCGTGTCTTATATACCGTTGAATTGAGTTATGATGTTATGGGATATAGTATGTTAAGTCTGACTTGAGGTTGTGTTTCTTTAATTGAAAGCCAATCGTCAAAGATCCTACTACCTGGCCGTTTCATACACTCACCGAGGTACTATTGTAAGGTGACTCGGGAATATGTAAATATGTTACATAAGAAGCTAGGTGGGTAAGCTGGAGTTTAGGGCTGCCTATTAGTGAAAAAAAGGCCTACAACTCCGAGGCATCTTGGGGCGCTAACATTTTAGCTTCGTGTCCATAGATACTACATAGTACATACATAGGTACATACTAGGTACCTAGGTATGTAGTTCCACTAATTAAATCACATTCTTGATTCGACATTGAGTTAAAAACAAGTTGGACGTCACAGCTCATATTTCTTGTTAAAAGGAAATGAGACTCGACTGCTGTTTCCAGAAAATGTATTTGGATAGAACAAAATCCTAGTACAATTCAAAAACTTGTATTGGATGTGCCGTTAGATTCTACATGTCACTACCGTGCTAAGCCTTCCCCTTTTCTATCCAAGATATCCGTGGACTTTTCCCCTGAGTCCAACTTTATATCATGTCGTAGGTACCGAGTGGAGTTCTGGACTCAATTATTCTACATATACAGTGTCCATTCATCATCCCGAATATCTAGCCTCCTTTCGCCTCGCCCGCTCCGATTTCCTATCGTGAATAGTGTAGGTACTTTATAAGAACCTGTTCTAGGTTTGCCAATAACCTTTTGCAAGTCCCTCCTCCTCAAAATCTAGTCCTTCCTTTTTTTTCGTAGAAAATATGGTGTATCGGAAGTGTCGTTATTACTTCTTCGACTTTTGTCTCACAGCCTCCTCCTCTTCATCCTCACCAAGCTCCTCTTCATCCGCTTGCTCGAGCTCTCCTTCGATGATCTCGGACTCCGTGAGTTCTTTTGCCTTGGAGGGAACCTCAACGCCGCTCATCTGCCACTCCATCAGCCTTGTGAATTCGCTGCTGGGATTAGAGCTAAGCTCCTCGTACGATCCAACTTCTGCAACTGTGCCTTTGCTGGACAGCACGATAAGCTTGTCTGATCTTTTGATAGTTGAAAGCCGATGAGCAATAGAGATAGTGGTCCGTCGGCGGCCTTTCAGCAACGCCGACAGCGCTAGATTGACCGCCGTCTCTGATTCTGCGTCCAGAGCCGAGGTGGCTTCGTCTAGGATAAGGATATCCGGGTCCTTGATAAGAGCTCGCGCGATGGCAATACGTTGCTTTTGACCACCGGAGAGTTGTGCACCTCTAGGGCCAACCTGAGTCTCGAGCCCTTGCGGGAAGTCACCGATGAATCCACAATTGGCTTTTTGGGCAGCTGTCACTATTTCCGATCTAGTAGCATCCGGTTTCCCGTAGGCAATGTTCTCAGCTACAGTACCCGAGAATAGTACCGGCTCTTGAGATACCATGCCGATACGGCGTCGCAGAGACTTGGCGTTCATCTTAGAAATGTCCACGCCATTGATGCTGATGGAACCCTCAGTGGGATCGTAAAATCTTAAGAGGAGGGATGATACGGTCGACTTCCCGCCACCGGAAGGACCGACAATACATACGTTGGTTCCCGAGGGGATCTCGAAGTTTAGGCAGTTGAATATTGTGACAGCAGGACGAGTAGGATATGCGAATGTAACGTTTTCGAACTTGATAGGACCCTGTGCTGATGTGACCTTGACGCCCTTAGTTGAAGAAATGCCCATGTCGCGATCTTGAAGTTCAAAGATACGCGTAGCTGCACCGACGCCTTTCATCAATTCCGAGTAAAAGTTGGCGACACCGAATAATCCGCCGCCCGCCCAGAATGCGTACATGACGAATGTAGTCAGGTCGCCGGTAGTCATGATACCATCTCTCACGAGGTTTCCGCCGAACCAGAGTAAACCGATTATCGTCATATTGCCCATCCACGATGTTCCGGAGAAGTAGGACGCATCGTAAATGGATTGTTTCTTTCCGAGCTCGAAGACCTTCCTCACTTGAGTGTTGTACCGACGAACTTCTTGAGCCTCGCCGGCAAAAGCCTGACTTGTCTTCACGTTCCCTAGACGTTCTTCCGCAATCTTGGTCAATGTTCCTAGATTCTGCTGCAGTTTGCGACTCAGTCTTCGGATAACGCGAGAGTAGACGAAAGAAGCGCTACCGATAAAGGGGGCTGCAACTAATATGATGGCAGTTAAACTAGGGCTGATCCAGGCCATCAAGGCGAGCCCAGAAACGCTATTCACGAGAGCCCTCAATCCATCCGAAACGTTCTGCGTAATGCTCTTGCCTACGATGATCGTGTCGGTTCCGAGTCGAGAGATGAGATCACCGACCCTGTTCGCGTCGAAGAATTCGGCATCTTGACTGTACGTCTTTCTAAAAAGCTGTGACCGAAGGCGTGTAACGACTCTTTCGCCGATGATACGAAGCAGCACGATACGCCCGAAGTTAGCGCACGCGCCGACGGTGAGAGCCAGAGCGAAGGCACCAAAGAATTGGTAAAGCGACAGGCCGAAGATTTCTGTCTCCTCTAGGGACTTTGACGTAGCTAGATTCATAACCTTACCAACGACGAGGGGGAGAGATATGAAGAGGGAGGAAGACGTGAGAAGCAAGACGACGGCAATGGCAAGATTCCTAGACTCTGGCTTTGCGATTTTGATGAGGCGCCAGATCTCGCTGAAGGACCATGACTTCTTGTAATCTTTCCCTTCGTGGGAAAGTCGAGCTCTTAGGTTGATCTGGGCAGCTTTGGTAGCCTTGTCGCTCTTCTCGAAGCCCTCATGGGATTGCGCACCATCCTTCACGGCCTTGGCCGCCTCTGACGCAATAGACCCAACGTCTTCCTTCTGATCACTCGGCTTTATCGCATTCTGATTATCTCGACTAGACGTACTACCTGTAGACATATGTCTTAATATGCCAATTGGTGACCGCCATTGCGAGGTCGTCGCGGACAACGGTGACGTAGAAGTAACGCCGAGAAGGCTCGGAGAAAAGTCTGGTAAAAAGCCTGGTGGGGTTTGCGATCGAGTTCGGTGGGGGGAGGTCGAAGAATGATGGAAGGAAGATCGGAAGGTGGTTTCTAGAGTGACTTGTCGTCTGCTAGCGGCGGATAGCTCGTTACAAGACAAGACGACAAGCTGATGAGGGAATTGGTGAGGTAAGTTTGCGATGGCGGCGCCGCGCTGTGGGAAGCTTCCCGTTATAGCGCGGCCTAACGTTCGCGAAGCCATCTTGCGCGCTTTATTCTCCTTGCCTCCTCATCGATCGATGTAAAAATCTTACCCTTACGCACGATCGCACCATCGAAGCGAAGCTAACTTGAGCTTCACCCTGATTGCGCCGTGCAGCTTTCGTTGGAGATTTTCCTCTCGTGGAAAAAGAAAAAAAAAGAATATGTACCTAGGTAGGAATGCCGTCATCTACTAAACGCGAGCAACGCCGAACCGAGTAACCTACATATTAAACCTTATATGTACATAAGTTCACTATTCGGTCTTAACTTACCTAGTAGGCCAATTTATGACAGTAATAAGTACCTACTTGGGTACATAGCTAGCGTATAATATGTATTTAAGTGCTTAAAGTACTTGGGAAAGTACCTGATTACCTACCTACCTAGGTATCTACATATGTATGTACCTACCTATCAAACTAGGTACATACCTAGTAAAACATATATAAGTAAAAGTTTGCTAACCAGGTCGATATGATTTTCTGTGCGAATGCTACCATAACTTCCATGTAGACAAATGCATTGATAAATTAGGTGGCATTAATAACACTGCGATTACTCAGTATCCTAATGATATACATAAGACAATACCAATCTTATAACTTGGAAATCAAGAAATCGATACTGCCCTTAGCAAATGAAATAGGATAAATCTGCTCGGCCGATACGTCTGATATCTGCCAATACACTGCATGTATACAATGGGAAGATGGCCATGATTCTTTCGCATTGATTAGAGCTACTACCGCAAGTAGAGATGGGCAGTATATCCTTAGAGGATGAAGAAAGCCAACCACCTTAGCTGTGATAGTCTCAATATGAGATCATAGAATCATGACCTGACCCTGAACGCCAAGATTGCTGCTATTGTACAGTAGCTAGCCTTTGTCCACCCGTCCACATACGTCTTTAAAGATATGGACGCTCGTAGACTTTACCGAGGCTAGCTCCGGTAAACTTGAATGCTATATTCAGGAACCGCCACTATCTCTACGAAGCATCTCAGCCACGTCTGAATCGATGTCATCGTCTTCGCCAAGGTCCGGGAAGCCATCGGCATCGTCGATCTTACGTTTCTTAGATCCATTGGTCGTAGTAGATACCGACTTGAACTGGAGACCCAGGATAGAGTGAGTTCCTGTGATTTTTTTATCTGGTTGAATGGCAGTCGCTCGACTTTCTGTCTCGTCTTTTGAATCAGACTGTTCCGGATGGTCGGAATCCATCGAGGGCGGCGTGAGAGCTTCAACCTCGGGTCTCTCAAGCTCTGGATCCGGTTGATCACTCAGGCCGTTGCCTGACAGGAAAGGCTCGTCATCTGGAAGCCCTGCCATGATAGCCCTCTCGACCTCCGTTTTTTTGTCTTCGACCTCCATTCTTCGAGTCACGAAAGTCTCTAGCTGATTCTCCTCGAACACTAGCGCATTCCTGTTGGTATCCAAGACCTTTTGCAGTGCTAGGACAAGTTCGCGACGGGCCTTGACGCATTGCTCCACAGCTCCTTCAGCCTGAGCTAGCGTCTTAAGCAATCCGCTCAAACGTGCGGCATACACAGGAGCAGAGGGGGCGGTGCTATTCGGACCCAATAATTTGTCATACTCCTGGTTAGCAGAGTTGGCTGTAGTTCTCATACCTAGAAGCAGCTTCGTGACATTCTGTTGAGGAGTGGTCAAAGGCGCTAGCTCTGCTGGAATGGTTGCGGCAGATCCAAAGATGGAACCGCCAAGCCCAGCTTTCACAGTTCCACGGGCCTGATTGATTTCTATACGGCTATCTTAGTACAGCTGACTTTATGAATAGGGAGGGAACCGTAAAAAACCTACCCTGAATGCGGGTGTCTATAGCCTCTATAATAGGCTTCTCGAAGATTTCACGATCTTTCCAGACATCAACAACCCGTTGGATTCTATTTTGTATGTCCGCCGAAGCACCCTTGTAAGCAGTTGCAACAGCTTCTGCGATGACAGGCGAAAAAGCGACGACAAAGTCCTCTTTATGACGGGCTTTAGTCTGTTGAGCAACCTCTACAAAATGTGTTAGTCTTGTGGAGGATATATGCAGCACCTACATAAGCAATGCTCAGGAGGGCATGAAGGGCAGGAAGGGCAAAGTGATAGGGAAGTATACCATTAGCAAGGTAAATGAGGTTTAATCGCTTGTGACTTGTTGAGTCCTTCAGTCGCTGCAGCCACAACTGGACAGTTCGGTCTGCATGACGCCTAGCATCCGCCAAACATGTCAGTAAAGATCTACAGGGCCATGTGAAATGCGAAATGCGAAATGCGCATGCGCTCAGGTTTGCCTACCTATGGAACATAATCCATTGGGCTTGCGTCACAATGCTGTCTGCCGCTTCGGATAGAGCAGACAGCTTAGCTAGAACAGCATCGTCGGTGTAGGCCATCGTTGCGGTTGCAAATGCGAATGATGCTTGAGTGGTGAGGAATGTGTTGAGTCGATCTGAGTTGAATTGAGTTGGATTGAACTGGATTGAACTGGGCTTGTTGGAGAATTGGCGTGTTTTTACTTGAATCTTGTCGTCAAATCAATCTACAATTGGCAGAGTTGGCTACCAGGTATTCATCTTAACTTGTGGTGAAAGTTTAAGATGTTGTCAAGAATCAAGATGGATGTTGGCTGTTAATCTACTAGGTAGGCAGTCTACCAAGACCCAGGGGAAGTGACTCGAGCTGGCCCTGCAGGTGCAAGGCAAGTGATATGGATGTGCTTGCTTCCACTACTTGTGACCTTGGAATATCTAGTGGCTACCAATATTTATGTAGGTAGGTAGGTGATCGCGGTAAAGTGCATAGAGGTAAGTAAGTTTGAGAGTTAACTGGAAGGAAGCACTGAGCGTTAAAGTGTAGGTATTGAGTCGTCTTAATGTTTTTGAGGCACGTGATAAATGGTACCTAGGTATGTACCTACTACCTAGTAGTCTGGTAGAGAGGCACAGTGCATATAATGTTCATAGACATGATGTACATACTGTGTAATCCACTTGTGCGAGCTTGGAAGCAACTGTAATCTGTACTTCGCGTACCTGAGAGGCTACGCACTTGTAGCTTAAGCCTTGTAATTGAATCTAATAACCTTGCTTCTAAGGTTGCGACAGTACCTCAAACAAAAAAACAGCTTCTAAATAAAAACGTGTGCAAACGTATATCTCAGCGATTTAGAGTTTCTTACATACCGTTTCCCCTTCAGCACTTCTGCCATCAAATCTAAATACATCTTCATCTCGACAATATGGCAGACAGATTCCCATCCTTAGACGACTTTGATTCCGGTGGTAAGTAAATTTAGAAAACCCCTAATTCTACCGAGTGATGATTTCTATTCGTCCCTTGCTATAGATGCGCTAACTATCGAATATTTTACCCTTCTCAGCCCAAACCGAGATTCAAGATGTTGGTGAACCGTCGGCCGACGATTTCCTCGCTCGTGAGCGTGCCCTTCTAGGTGACGACGCGACACAATTCACAACCGGCAATGAATCCGCCGCTCTAGCGGATCCCTCATCTGATGACCTTTTGGGTGGAGGCGGCGAGACCGCTCAGTTTGAAAACGCATTCCCGGATATCAACACTTCTAACGAGGTTAGTGATTCCTTGGCTTCCGAGTTTACCATGAAAATGTCCATAGTCTAACATCCAGTAATAGCAAGTCGCGCCAGGAGGCACCATTACCGGCCCGTCCGTCAGCTACAACTCAGGCTACGGTGCTTTTGTTGCAGAAGAGGAGGAACCTGAAGTTATCAAGCAATGGCGCGAGAAACGGGATGCCTCCAATGCCAAACGAGCCGAGCAGCTTGCTACCCAGAAGGCTGAGACGATCAAAGATGCGCAACAAAACATCGACGACTTCTACGAGAACTACAACACTAAGAAGGAGAAGACGATTGCGCAGACTCGCAAGGATGCAGAGCAATTCTTAGCAAGCCGAGACGACACCACCTCCGGCGGCACCAGCTGGGAGCGCATTTCTAAGTTGGTTGACGTGAGCGGCAAGGGTCAGAAGGGCGGTGCTAATGGTTCGGGCAAGGAACGATTCCGCGAGTTGTTGATGAGTTTGCGCAAAGATGAGAAGGCTCCTGGAGCTGAAGGATACTAAACCTATTCTCGTCAACTACCGACCTCTCACCTACTAGGTAGTGCACATTGGCGGCCCAGGGATCTGATTAATGGAGATGTCTAGCTGGTCGGTTCCTATCGACGGCAGCTGACAGCGAACCATTGCTCATGTTGGCTGTACTTAGATAATACTTTCACACTCAGGTAAATAAGCAGGTATTGCAGGGCCCTTTCTGTGCCTAGGGGCGTAATTGGACTGATTTTCAACGAACCTCGCAATTCCTCCCTAAACTGACACTGTATTCATGAAGCCGGTGGGACTAACTAAGGATCCGTAAGATTTTTCTTAACGAATGTTTATTTCTTGGCCTGATAGGACACTTATGGCCCGCACCTGGTCTTTGGTCTTTTTAAAGGATATCCGTCGGCCTACCTCCTCTCGTCTAGTTCTTGCCAAACCACGTGTTGTAGCCCAAGGCCTTGCGTCCCACCATATATAAGGAAGCTGTCGTCGTCGTTAGATTACACCATAATCTACGTTGATTTCAAGAACGAACCTCCGACTGTTCCCCAAAGGAGAGTGTAGTAGGGTATTAGTAGCATGTTGCTTCGAGGAGCCTGCGTCATATTCGGTTAATTGAGGACGTATCGGAGAAGGCCTAATTCAGATCGGATACGTACAATCTTCCAAACACGAGTGTGTTGAGCGTAGGCTTGCTGGTAGAACCTCTGCTGCTGAGGCACCTTGTTGGGGGCGTCGACTATTCTGTATGCCTTGTTAGCGCACGTAAAGGATGGATGTTAACCAGTTCGCTCATAGAGGCATTTGAGCCCGCGGTCAGTCGAGAAACAGCCATTGATATTTACATGGATCGCCTCACTGCTATCCAAATCTGAAATTCATACGTACCCCATTTTTGCTGTAGGCTGAGAGGAGTTCGGAAGCTGGTTTTGGACGAGTTCGAAAAAAATGGAGAGCTGTTGTCGATGGCTTGAATAAATGTGAAGCGATTTGAGAATCGAATGATTGGATGTTCGGGTAAGACCATGTTCTAATATGACTAAGCGTGAAAACATCGGTTAAATTTTGGATGCGATAGCCGGACTAGCGGCTGAGGTTTTAAACCTTAAAGATCCTTACCTACCTAGGTAAGCTCAGGTAAAAATCTATATCAATTGATGTTCAAGACTCAACTTTTAATCTCGCTCGCCAGTCTCATTCCAATCTACACACCTTCCACAGCCGGGTCAAACTATCTAGAATGTCGATTGCGCCTAAGTAATGCGATTAGCGGGAATTGTACTCCGAGATGTGAAATCAAAACATTTCGCCCTTCAGCCTCGATTTCCACTTCCGTTTCAACATGCTCGGCGAAATAGGCGAGATACTTGGCTATCTGCTGGGAAGGTAGGAGAAGATGTCCAGCGTTACTTTTCGACGACGCTCTTGAATGATTCGGAAAATCCTGTCGACGTGCTTCTATCAGAACTATCCGACAGCCACCGGCTCAGGCAGAGAGTACAGAGGGCACTTGCGCAACCGAACTTTGACCAGTTGGTTCAAAAAACTGGACTGTTCAGAAAATGGGCAGCGTTATTGACGGACCCCGTCCGCCTCGCTATCGAGTCTGACTTCCTCCGGCATGGTCCAGCAAAAACATGGCCAAAGCGGCTACTGGTCGACACATTCAAGCACCGTGGCGACCTCGCTTTATGGAGCTGTCTTTTGAATTACCAGAAGAGAGTCAACGGCGATTCCGGTGTTAGACATATTTGGAAAGCCCTTTGGGGTCGAAAGACACTGTATGATGTCCAGAGCCCGCTCGCGCCTATATTCTGGCAAACAATCCTGGATGCTGCAGTGAGGTCGGATGATGTAAAATTCCTAGAGTACGTATGGATCTATAGCGAATGGATGTACGATTTGCATGGCGTCAGGTGGCCTCAACTCTACTCGACCGTGCTATCGCATTTTCTACGAACACGTCAACACCAGCAGGCCCTGCAATGGCAATTAAGACTTACCCCGAATTTTTATCCCGGTGTAGACGAGTTCGCACGCATAGTGAAGCGATTCGCGGACGATCAGGAACTTTACCATCCTCCTACACTCGAATCACTTTACATCGTAAATTCTGACCATCAGCTGTACGATACTCTCATACCGTATCTGTATAACTTGGGTGCTTCCCAATTGGCGGCGAAGTGGCGGCGAATTTGTATTCGACACGACGATATACCATCGGCTCATGTACCTGTTCGACCTTTCCTAAGATTCCTGCAGGGGTATTTCCCACACGAATCGCTCCACCCTAGTGAATCTGTTATCTTCAACCGCAATATCGAAACCACAGAAGACGCCGAGCACGTAGAACTCTCCCGAGAATTTATCAATCGTGTCCACGGTGGTACCTTTGGCATTAGTGTCAAGAACTACAACGACAATCTAGGAGCCAAGTGGCTAGCTAGCTCCTGGATCAGTTTAAATATAGCCATATCGACAATCGCAGCTCTAGGTATTGAACATATTGGCCCGTTGTCGTTGCAATCTATTGCCCTAAGAGAAGGAACGTCAAAGGGCGTGTTGAGCCGCATTGAACAGCTAAAGGAGCAGGGTATCACAGTTGTCGATTCAAGCTATCTTAGACTTGTGCTCTATTTAGCTAGGATGAGAGACGATCAGCTTTTACTCGATCTCTTAAACTGCGATCTTCACCCAGATGTGTTCGATGATCATGAACTCCAAGCACAGCTCATTGCCTCCACAGCCACTTCAGGAGATTGGCAGACTCATCGGCTTGTACTAGTTTCGAGGCTAGTTGCAATGAAAGAATTCAGTCGAGAGGCAGCCAATGCACTCGCCCGCGTATATGTATTACGAAGAGATCGGCTAGGACTCTCTACGCTACTTACCAACATGAAGAGCATGGAAATTGTGGTCAATCAAGATGTGACTAGTCTCATATTCGACAATCTCGTTACCGAAGCCAAGTCTACCTACCTATCTGAGGATTCCCTCTACTTCTATCTCCCTATTTGTCGGCAGCTTGCATCCATGGAAATCCCCGCGCCTGTTCGCTGTTGGAGGAAGATCTTGTTTTGTCTCACTCGACAATCAAGATTAGATGACTTGGAAAAGGTCTGCGTCGAATTAGTGAATCTATTCACCTCTCCACAAACATCCCGTCCTGGTTTTACCCCTGTTCACCTAGAAAATATACCGGAGCCCATGAAAAAACCACTATCCGGTGTCAAGAACCTCCTAGGCGTTTACGTTCCCGTAGACCTACCCACACAGGCACCGCTTCATCCATTACACCAGATATTCGAAAGAAAATTACTCAGGACTATTGTGCGTTACTCGTTCTACACTTTCTCGGATCAACAGGGCGAATCAGTCCCAGACTGGCAAATACGTCGCTGCCAGCCCGGAGGATTCAACGGTGGCCGGGTTATTAGGTTACTACGGATCCTTTGTGATCAAGGCTTATTCATTCAAAAGAAGCGTCTGGTCACTGCGGTTAAGTTACGTCTCATCACTTTATACGGTCCTGGTTACCCGGCGAAGAAAAGCCACCAGCTTGCCAGAGCCAGAAATACTCTAACTCTATCGCAAATGAAGTCCCTCTTGGACGAAGCATGGGGGGAAGAGTTTCTCCCGCCGATCGAAATCCTACAAGCGGAGATTGAGACCCGCGGCCGCAAGGAGATGTTAAAGAATATGAAATACATACGTAGTATCGGAAAGACGATACCGCGGCTTGATATCGTTTTATGATTTTAGTAAACTAAGCATACTGCGTATATCTAGGTACCTAGTATATATCCACTGGTTCACATGAAGTATAGATTTTGGTGCATGTGCTTGTAAAAGATATAATTAAAATTTAAATAGGCCCGTTTGATACATAGATATTTCTCATTAACGCCTCTGATGCTAGCGATAAGTCGCCCGACATCTAATTCGACCGGCCCAAACACACGAGTTGAGCCAAAAATTTTATGATACCGTACTTCCTACACTGTTTTTTTAATGTATAACAAAAAGAAAACACATTCGCGTCAGCCCCCTTCGCCATTATCGCCGCCACCCCGGCCACGATTCTTAGGCTTCAAGACAAGAAGTATAATGGCGCCGACGATGAGCAATACAAGGAGCAATATGAGCTTGCGTTTTGTGGTCTTCTTTTGGTAACCGGCGGCGACGACGAGCTCGCGGTCGGCGCCTTTGACATCGGCGGCCATGCGCTCGACATTGTAATCGATACGATCGAGCATAGTACCTTGGTCGATGACCATGGTCTGTAGGTCCCTAAACAAATCGGATAGCTCGATGATGCCCTGCGCGATATCCTCGATCTCGCGCTCGCGCTGCAGTATCACGGCGTCGTTGCTGTGAAGCAACCTCTGCTGCGTCGTCTGCTGCAGAGCTGATTGCGAGTACGAGCGGTCGGCGTCGGACTCGAGGAGCGATGGGTCGGCCGCGTAGCTGCTACTGGTAGTGCCACCGAGAGGCGTGGAAGATCGGTCGCCTCCTGGCGATACGGCGCCTAGGCTGGACATGCCGCGAAGCTCTAGCGTTCGGGTTAGCATCGGACGTCTGGTTTACGTCATCGGTATTTACAGATAGATATTTACTCTTTAGATACGCGCTCTGCTTTTTCCTGAAGCCGGCGCTTGCCTCTTGTACTCTTGCCGCGAGGCTTATTTGTATATTCTTAGCCATCGTCTCCTCGGCCCTTGTCATGGAGCCGCTCTGCTTGCCCTCGCGCACCATCTGCTCAACGCGCTGTATGCACCGATGGCACTCGTGGAAGCTCTTAGTGATGTTCTGGGTCAGGCGTTCGATCTCACCCTCCTCGGCCTTCTTAGCCTCCTCATCGTTGAAGCCGGGTAGCACGTGTTTCTGATGTAGGCGCTCGAGGGTCTGCGACTTCCGAGCCACGTCGGCAAGAAGATCCGAGACTTCGTCGTTAATGTCGGCCCAGCGTGGAGGTAACAGGTCCATCTCGATCACGGCATCACCATCGTCGTGGTAGTCGCCGCCTGATAGTAGGCCTTGTTGGTCTTCGGATGCGGCGCTGCCGCTACCGCGACTAAATTCCGAGAAGCCATTTCCAACGCCGCCGCTGGGACCGGGACCGTACCGAGTCTTCTTGGCCGGGTGATGAGCGTAGGATTGGCGGTAGGATATGTAGCTACATGATTTAATTTTCGGTCAGGGAGTCGGTAGATATTACGAGTAGCTTGAGGTAAGAAATTGTTACGAGAGCGACGGCTGTTGGCTTACAGGTTGGTGCGATCTCGCCACATGGCGAGACGCGGATAGAAGGGATGAAAACCCTCACCTTGGCTGTTCCGGGACTAATTAAAGAGGTCTAGGAAAGGAATTGGATATCTGGTGTTGGTAGTTAAGCACACGGCCTTAAAACTGACGCAGGAAAGAATATATCTCGTTACTAGTCTGTCGATAAGTGAGTGATGGGATAAGTAATAGTTGCTATCGAACTATCAGTACCTGGGTATGTAGGTAGGCAGATTGTCCCTAGTGCATACCTACAATGTACATGCGGTTGTGTACTATTATGTAGTAGAAAGTAATTGCCAGCTCTCTAATAGCTGACGTAGCTCCGTCCAATCTACTAGTAGGTACGAAGTACTGGGTAGGTACTGATGTATGGATGCGACAGCTTAGAAAAGTAACCCAAGTCCTTTCCAGGTTACGTGATTACACAGCTTACTATTTGATATATACCTACTTTAACCTTATATGTTATTACATATATTAACTATGTTAGATTATCAGTTAAACGGAAACATGCTCTTAGAGATACAACAGGTACAAATCAGCCTAGCATGAGGCAACATGAACGGGGACAACGTGAGAAAAGCTTGGCGTAATAAGTACAAGCCAGGCATTATTAGATAGATGCATATCTGGTATTGGTACTTAAGGCAATGAAATTGGTGTCCTATGAAAGGTACGTAGGTACATATGTATGTAGTTCATAAAAACCCGCAAATTATAGGTAGCGTTCACTGTTCTTCAGGCGAAAAGAGGCGATGAATGACCGTTCTGTGACAGCCCAAGGCAAACAGGCCGGCTGCCTCGAAACCCCCGGTACCCTCCCCTAAAACACTTGACCTTCCCCCCTTTAAAAAGCGCCAGAGGATACCTTTAAGCTAGCAAGCCCCTCCACTCGTCCTTTTCTCCCCACTATTTTGAAATCCAGCCCTGCCTTGTTCTGTTTTGGTCTTCGTTAGTTATAATTCTAAACTATTTTCAAAACCAAAGAAGGTCCTCTTCTTCCTCCTTGGCAACTTACATCTCTTGTGGTAACTGCGACAATCGACATCGAGTCACATTCGTTATTTTGCTGCGTCAAATAATCTCAACTACCCAATTCCTTGCATCATAGAAAGGAAAACCAGTTCAATCATGGTGCGTATTGCCTAATACTTTAGTCACCGCCAATCCAAAGACAGCCCCGCCGATGAGGGGCTCGAAAGGAGTTTGAAAATAGGACTCGCGCTGACCACAACGCTCTATCGCAGGCCGACTCACTTACCGAGGAACAGGTCTCCGAGTTCAAGGAGGCATTCTCTCTCTTTGTAAGTCAATCCTGAGAACATAATACGTTCTATCGCCCGATATCAGTTGTTTGGCTACATTGTCTCTGGTGACGTACCCGCTAACAGCTATGTAGGACAAAGATGGAGATGGTAAGTCGACTTCTTTGCTGAACCTCAACCTGAGCCTCTTGACACTATCTTCCTTTCCTCGGACGATATATGCGAATAGCTGCATTGCAGCTCAATATATTAGACATTGCCTCGTATCTCCACGTTAATCGACGAAATCGGCTAATCCCTGCCCCCAGGACAAATCACCACCAAAGAATTAGGCACAGTCATGCGATCGCTAGGCCAAAATCCCTCCGAATCTGAGCTACAGGACATGATCAATGAAGTCGATGCTGACAACAATGGAACCATCGATTTCCCTGGTGAGTTTGTGGTTGCCTGGCGCAAAGTCGCATCGTCTCCCGAAGCAAGGCTGACATTCTCGTCGCACAGAATTCTTGACCATGATGGCACGCAAGATGAAGGATACCGACTCCGAGGAAGAGATCCGAGAAGCCTTCAAGGTTCGAGTCCTTTACTAGACCCAAAGAAGATGTAATCGCTCACACCGAAGCAGGTTTTCGATCGCGATAATAACGGTTTCATCTCCGCTGCTGAGCTCCGTCACGTCATGACCTCCATCGGAGAGAAACTCACCGATGACGAGGTCGATGAGATGATCCGTGAAGCTGACCAGGATGGTGATGGCCGTATTGACTGTAAGGATGCCCGCTGCCCTTTGGCGCAAGATGACGCGAAGCCCATTAAGATTTTGATGCTAATTTTTATACAGACAACGAGTTTGTTCAGCTGATGATGCAGAAGTAGAATGGGAAAGGAAGTTGTCGTGAGACTTTCGCTAAACTTGTTGATCGTCATACCCACCTCTTATGTTGCGACGAAGTTTCTTTTTCTTTCTCGGGATTGTGCCCAATAGGACACTGTTGATTGGGTTGATATTATCAATTCAAATGAGGTATACACAAGAATGGTGTTAGGCTGGAAGACGGGTAGGATCTCCTCCACCAACGGCTAACTTGACAATACATATCCCGATTAAAATATTAATGCGGCAATTTGAGCGTGACTCGATCTTACCAAGCTTTCACATATAGTGTCGCGTGAACTCGTTAGCCACACGATATTTCAAAGAATAGAGCCTCTTGCATCGCCACCTTATTCTTCTACCAATAAGTAAGTACTTACCAGGTCGTTAACGTAGTTTTTTTTTCTAGAGCTATTTTTAAAACGGATGCCTTTCGAGGCACCTATATCAGCACTCGGGCTATTTCTGGTTAAGGCAGACATACGCAATATAGTAAATAAGCCCATTTCTATAACATGTGTATATGCCAACATTAGACTATTATAGTTGTTTAGATGATATCTAGGACTTCTAAGAATAACGTAACAAAACCGCACCAGTACGTCACGCACATCATTAAGATTATATATATATCAATAAATCATCTATAAATTATAGGCATCTACAATATACCTCGGTATATACGATTTATGTAGTGATTGATAATAGTAAATAAATACCGTGGGCAGGCCTTGGTAGGTCCCTACCGAAGCAGCGTATGTATATACCTGGGCAAACCTGGGCAAGATTGCTGGTATAATATTGAACTTGTCCGATGGAGCTTGGGCCACATAACTTAATTAATCCCCGAGCTATGTCAGCGAAGTGGAGCACGGCGCGGGGATGATTTGTTTGGCAGGTCCCTAGAAGGTTGGAAGCTTGGAATGTGATGCCCCTTTTCTTCCTACTCTGTCATCTACTAGGTACTTTAATACTTCGAATTCAACAACGCGGACAGCCCATTCTACGGACGACAATATCGACTCGGCCTGCTACCCGAATTATTGGCCATAATTAACACGTCTGATGTTGAACTACGAAACTAAAGTTTCTTATTTGCTTGCCTCTAGGAAAGCCGACCTTTTTGTCAGTGCTCCAGGCTAATAGAGTCAGTAATTTCTATCAAGTCCCACCTCGAGCGATGTGAGTGCACTTGTTGCTCAACTCCTTGTCCACAGCTAGCTTTGAAGCCCTGCCGCATATACCTAGTAATTACAAAAACTCTACTATATTGCCCCGACTGCAAAAATGGCTATTCGCCGCGTTCGAGTAATACTCGCCGTCGTTGCCATATGGGTACTTGGGTCTTGGTACTATAGTTGGCATCCCCCCGATTCAGGCTTCTTCAATCCTACCCATGGCCATGACCCAGGTGGTCGACCTGCTCCATTCCCAGACTCTGCTGGATCTAGAGTTCTGAAATGGGAGAAACGCCCGCCTCGTTATCCCGTAGAAAAGTTCGCTACACTCCCGACCAACAAACCTACCAAACGAGTCCCACGCGTGCAAGCCACGAAACCGCAGGAAACTACTGCGGAGAAGGAATTGCGGTTGCGACGGCTTTCTGCAGTCGAAGCGAGTTTTAAACATAGTTGGAAAGGTTATAAAAAATACGCATGGGGTCATGATGAGATCAAGCCCGTTTCGGGGCTATATAAGAACCCGTTTGGCGGCTGGGCGGCGACACTGGTCGATGCTTTAGATAGCCTGTGGCTTCTCGGCATGAAAGAGGATTTCGAAGTCGCGGTGAGGGCTTGTGATAACATCGATTTTACAACCACCGAAGCACGCGATATTAACATTTTCGAGACGACAATTCGTTATCTTGGGGGGTTCTTAGCCGCGTACGAGTTAAGCAACAAGCAATACCCAAGCCTCCTCAAAAAGGCGACCGAGGTTGCTGACTTAGTCATGTCATCCTTTGATACTCCGAATCATATGCCTATTACACGGTTTCCCTGGCAAAATTATGCCAGAGGTGAATCGCAGACCGCGCGAGGATATGTTTTACTCGCCGAGATTGGATCGTTGAGCCTCGAGCTTACCAAATTGTCTCAATTGACCGGTGACATGCAATATTACGATGCTGTACAGAGGGTATCAGATGAGTTGGAAAAGGATCAGAAGAAAACTTCACTGCCGGGGATGTGGTCGGTCATCGTTGATGCTTCAAAGACGCCAATTAAGTCTACGGGAGATTCGTACACGCTCGGCGGGATGAGCGACAGTACTTACGAGTACCTTGGGAAGCAGTACCTATTGCTTGGAGGCGCGCTCAATCAACCACGAAAGATGTACGAGGGATTCATAGAAGTCGCGAAGAAACACCTTCTCCGCCGTGCCTTGAACCCCGACAATATTCCTCTGCTCTTTTTCGCCGACGCTCGAATCGTCACTTCGCCCAGCGGCGACAAGCAGGTTGTGACTACACCGATAGCTCAACATTTGACGTGCTTTACAGGCGGCATGGTAGGCATGGCAGCTAAGATATTCGAGCGTCCGTCAGACTTAGATGTCGCCGCACAGCTGACCGAGGGCTGTGTGTGGTCTTACAACCAGACCGTATCGGGTATTGGACCCGAGATATTTCACTTCATCCCCTGTGACCCGGATGTCGCGAAGGATGACTGTCAGTGGAGCGAAGAGCGCTGGACGAAATCGTTACGGAAATATTGGGGTCATGATACCAAGGGTGATGTCCTTTCCGATCAGCAACTTAAGAAAATCGTAGAAACTCGGCGACTTCCCCGCGGGATGGTTGAGGTCGACGATCGCCGATACATACTACGCCCCGAGGCAATCGAATCCGTCTTTATGATGTATCGCCTAACCGGAGACCCGAAATTCATGGACAAGGCCTGGGCCATGTTCGAAGCCATCGAAAAGTGGACGCGAGCGAAGTATGCTTCGGCGGCACTAGACGATGTGACGATAAGTCATCCGACCCAGGTGGATAGTATGGAGAGCTTCTGGCTGGCAGAGACGCTGAAATACTTTTACTTGATCTTCGGCGAGTGGGAACTGGCGAATCTAGACGAATGGGTATTGAACACTGAGGCACATCCTCTTCGACGTGCGGATGCACAATAAACGAATAGACGACATATGGGGAATGGTGGCAATGCAATTGTTAAACAGCAAGGGTTGGGTTTTACGGACTTGGTTGAGATCATCTGCAATATCTTATCGATTTAGGTATCTATATAGAGCACCTAGCGGGAACTGGATTTTACGTTGATATCTATGGATAAGCGACGTACCTAGGTATTCCTCGAATTTACCGGGCTTATGTTTATGAAACAACCACCCTCCGATCTATAGAATACTGTATACAAAGTCCAACATATAAAATATTAGTAAATTTACCTTCCTAAGATAACACGGCAAGTTGCAGAGGGCGTATGTAAAAACAGTGACATGATAGACTGGCCAAGATCTTGGCTACCAAATTGGGAAGATCTTGTAGTTCCAATTGGAAGCTCTTCGGAGTTGGTAACCTTCGGCTAGTCAATTTTATTGTATTTCAATATCAAATTTACGGTACCGAGATACTTAAAGCATGTCAAGGTAACCATGTAATCCATGTATGCTCCGGGAGTGGCCGATTTTATGAAACGATTCCATCCTTTGGCTGCACCTGCTTTAATATTTAAAGTTGTATCTGCCGCGTCTAAAGAGATTCGAAAAGCTTAACTTTACCTTGGCTCTTTTTATTTCTTTTTATTGTCTTCAACTCCAGTTCAACATTCGTACCTACTTAACTATCACAACATTGTGATCCAATAAGATTAATCCTCAGCTTGTTGATACCAACCAGACACAAAGGCTTAGTGAATCACTATCTTTCTCCACCCCCAGCTTACCTAGTATGTACTTGCCTAGGTACCACAGAGCACTTGGGCAAGCAGGCAAACAAACAATCAATCAGTCACAATGGCCAATTTGGGCGCGTGTTCTGTTCCCGGAGTTGGTTTTCCCCTGGGCGTTCATTTCCGTCTAGCACCCCGCTGGTTCATTTGCCACGGAGGGGGGTACTAGTCATTCGTCATACATTCGAAAACACCGTTATCAGAGAAATGAGGATTATCTATCCATGGATCTCCTTGGAGAATCTTAATAGGTGGGTAGCTTAGGTAGGAATTTGTCCCCAGGTAAGCTGGTAAGTGAGATCCATCTCACGGATAATGATTTAGTTAGTAGTAGCCACCGGCAGCTACCAAGGTACCTCTGTATCACCGCCAAATGCGTTGTGAAATTTTTGCTTCTTTTACTACCTGTCAGCCTATATTGTCACTCTTGTCACTCTTCCTATTCCTTGATAACTAGTCTGACTTGCATCCCTATGCATTCTTGCTCGTTTTATTTAAATTGCCACATTTGATCTTTACAGATACAACAATACCACCTAGCATGTTGCTCAGATCATTGAACAGCCATCTCTCAACTTATTAGCTAACCTCGATACAGGTAGGTTTGCAAAGAGATCTTGAAAGATAGCAGGCTAGTGTTGGTGGCTGAGACAACCCTTAACCCGAGCTGCAGATCACGAAGGCGGCAGAAGTTTTTGAATATACCTCTCCTTCCTCCCTTGCACACCGCATCCCACATATCCCGCGCCTATCTAATTCCTCGCCCGTAGATAGGGATTATCAGGACCCCTAGTCGTATATCCGAAATCATTTCGACGGACTACCGGCGTATGTTGTTATATTCACTCAACCATGAGTTCTGACACTTTGCCTCCTGCCGAGCCGCGGGCACATTCCCGTGATAGCCATCGTGGTGAAACTTTGAGCTCGCGAGCCTCGGTACATACGCCTATATCACAGTCCCTTCCCTCCCACCGGAATGCTACCAGCACCGCTGTCGAAGCCATGAACGAGAGTAGCGAGCAACCTGTGGCTCGCCACCTGTCTACTACGACACCAGAAGATGTCGAAGCGCAAGACGGAAATGCACGCTTCAACGGGAGCGACCCGTATAATCTATCTTCGGCTTTCAAGACAGATGGCCAGCTTTATGAGATCAAAGCTAATACCGCTCGTAAGCGTACTGGCCAAGACAATGCCGACGTAGGGAAGCTTGCGTCTTCTCTTCAGGCGCGCAGAATCCACACCTTCTATAATAAGCAGAATGATACGATCAAGAACATGTTAAAATCGGTATCAGAGCACGAGGCCGACCATCGGCGTGAAGCTAGTGAAGACCGCTTACGTCTCGAAATCGCCGTGAAGGGTTCATTTGTGGCTAATGTGCTCCTGGCCATCTTACAGATGTACGGTGCCATCTCTTCCGGTTCCCTTTCGCTTCTTACCACTATGGCCGACTCTATCTTCGACCCGTTGAGCAACTTAACCCTCCATCTCACTCGAAAAGCTATGGATCACGTAGATCCCAGCCGATTCCCATCTGGAAATAACCGCCTAGAGACTGCTGGCAATATCACCTTCTGTTTCATCATGACGACCGTGTCCGTCATTCTGATCGCTTTCTCCTGCCAAGATATCAAAGAACACTATGGGTCGGGTGCTACAGTTAATGACTTTCACCTGCCCTCGGTAATCGCTGTTTGCATCGCTTTTGCCACCAAACTTGGCTTGTTTTTCTATTGTTGGGGTCTTAAGGACAAGTACAGCCAGGTGAATATCTTGTGGCAAGACCATCGGAATGACTTATTGATTAATGGCTTCGGAGTGCTGACATCTGTCGGTGGCTCCAGGCTCGCCTGGTGGATCGACCCCATGGGAGCTATCATCATGTCGTTAATCATCAGTGCATCCTGGCTGCACCAGGCGTTTGATGAGTTCATGTCACTTGTCGGCAAGGCTGCCGATATTGATAAACAGCAACTTATTACCTACATTTGCGTCACGTACTCGGAAGCCATCCGCAAAATCGACACTGTTCGTGTGTATCATTCCGGAGTTGGGTTAATCGCTGAGATCGACATCGTCATGGACCCTAACGATCCCCTTAGGGTTACTCACGACGTCTCCGAGGGATTGCAGATTGAGCTGGAGAAACTGCCAGGCATTGAGCGAGCGTATGTACACGTCGACTATGAAACCACACATAAGCCGGAACATAATTTCAAGAAAGATTTGTAGTTTGTTGTCCGCCAATGCCATAGTGCCCCTTGTGCCCTACCTCATTTAGAAAGCACAAGCAAGTTATTCCACTACTCCGTCATGTACGTGATTCAATGTGGAACAGAAGCAAGGTGTTCGGTCTTGCGAATGTGTATTGGATAGAGAAAAAAGGAAGAAAAGGGGATATATGGGTTTAATTTCGAGACATAGCGTACAAGTCTGTTATCAATATTAAATATTAATCATTCGGATGACGATAGTCGATCATTTCATGTTCAATGTAGTAATATGGTAACAAGCCTACAAACTATCTAGGTACTCTAGAATAGTTCGCCTTCCATAGCCATACCTAGGTAGTAAGGGCGTTGGGTTAAAATTGTCATCGCTTAGGGTTCCCGAAATATTGGGGATACTTTAGCCACGTTGCTACTCAGATAGGATCCAATGACTTTAGATTAAATGAGTGTTTTACGTATACCTACCTAGGTAGTGTCGAAAAACGAGTAAGCTGACGTAAAGTCCGAATGAATTGCCTCCAAAGCTACCCAAGTAGTTCTCTATAGAACAATAAATTTATAGATTTTTCGACCCAAGGACCGGCTACTTCAAATCATAGAGGGCTTAAGTTAGTCATATATTTACTAGATACCTATGGTTAATTCGTTCTTCAAGTCTCACATGATAATTGTCACGAGGCGGAACCAAAAGACTACGAAACAACGACGTTGTTACGCGAGGAGCTCTTAGCTACTCTCGCTATGGAGAACATGCCCTGCTCCTAGGACTAGCGGCCAACAGGACCCTCACGGGGACTCTACGGGCCGAACCCCGAACCCATAGACCTCTAGCTACTAACCTGGAGGAAGACCGATATCTGACAATAATATATAACTAGGTAGGTAGCAAAATAGAAAGACGTTTAGATATCTCATAACAAGGGCGTTATTTTAATTCTAGGGTCCTCCCCCTTGGTGGCACATGTTAATAGGTAGGTCACAAAGGGACTATGTTGATGTTCAGTGAAATTAAATTCGTTAAGTACTAAGGGGAGATTTTCTTGATACACAGGTGGGAATCTATAGGAGAGTTTTCATGTTTTGATATTGTTAGTACAAATACGTACTAGGTAGGTAAGTATGACATTTGTCATTGTTGGCCTAAGGAGAAGATCCAAGTGACCTATGAGTTATAAATAGGTATACCCCCCGTATAGAGGTAGGGTTTCCTCCTAGTTGACTTACATATGAGTGCGTATAACTTCGATGTATATAATTCTCTCTCTGTGTGTGTGTGGGGAGGGGAGCATTAAGGGGCCCCCTTTTGTGCGCTATACAACCCGACGGCGCACGCAGACTTGGTGATGAAACGAGTATATCCCGATCGTGTCTAGAAAACACGATAGATGCCCATAGGTTTCCAAATGTAGTTCAAATAGTAGTTTCTAGAATTGTGAATTTGTCATTGGGCTGATATCACGATTAAGGCCGCTACGTGCAACGGGATGGGGCGCTTGACGGAAACGAAAAAGTCGAGTAAGCTTTAATATGTTTGGCTGTGATATAAACATCCAGTGGAATTAAGAATGATTTCGTCGTGATATGCGATACATATTCTCGTAGTCCGTGCCTCGATGAGATAGGTAGATAGTAAGCCTTGATCCGATTTGCGTCTTGTCGGCTAAAAGAGCAACGGGGGTTTTTGTATGAGACAGATGTGGAACTTGAACAGATGATAATTTGTTGGTCTCCTCTGAAGCTACGAGCTTGAGTATCGTATGGTTTCCTACGACTCGGAATGTAGGTGTGAGATGCTTAGACTAGCACGTGGGGGTGAGATTGATGTAGCGGCATGCTGTCTTGCATGGATGCAGTTGGGATTATAAGGTTTCTTGGAAATGGAGGAATACCACTTATCACAGATGGGTCGCGGTAATGATCCCGATCCTATCCCTTACTTTTTGTGATCATCGCTGCAGATGGGTGGATGACTGTTTTACGAGGGGACTTTCCTACCGCCTATTGGTAGCGCGATGCTTTTTTTTCTGGTCCAATGAGTGGCGACGGAATATCAAAGACGATCTAGACTTATTGATTGCCTGATTATCTGAATGTTTTTGGTGCCCTTTGGGTATCCTGGATTTCCCTAAAAACCGGAGGAATTTTATTAGTTTGGAAAGTAACATTTTCGTTGAAAGGAACTTTCGACTTCATTTCTTCCGTGTTATGATCGCCGAGTATGTAATATTATAGTTTTCAAAGCTATGGCCCAAATATCCTTGAACTACCTATCTCGTAAGATCTAGAAATGCAGGGCTATGTGGAGTAAAGATCTAGAAGCTTATCTACCATACTTGGGTTTATGTGTTATGTATTATGTTATACGCATGAGGAAGTAAAGTGAAACCACGATCTACTAGGTATTATCTTAGAATCTTGGAAGTAAAAAGGGAAAGCGAGAAAGAATGGGTTTCCTAACTTGGATTTCCTAGTCAAAGTTCCTCAATGTTGATTGGCTACTTGTTGAAGATCAAATTGCGGGGTCCTCTAGCTCGTTATCTGATTTGCTAACGAGTGCATACATAACCCCGAGTAAAGAACCTTACTCTAAAAGGAAAAAGAGATGTCGTCATTTTATAACCTCAGGACTTATTGAAATCTTATAATTACACACCAAATATCTTCGTCTTAACAAAAGCTAAATAATTAAGATTCATCCAATATCGGTCATTGTTGATTTGGGAGAATTAGGTAGCTTCTATTATTTTGAAGCTCCCAAGGCACTGATTGACTCACATGTGGATATTGTTAGTTCCCACTTGGTGTATTGCCGCCGGATAGAGCGCTAATGTGAATCTTGGTTGAGTCTCTCTATTGCTGCCAGCGAGGTTAGCTTGCCCCTCTTCCTCTGGCTTAGTCTACATGACATCCATAAATCTCGAAGTGGACGATAGTAGCTTTGGTGATAGAGCTATGGGCTGTGGCGGAACCGTGCATTGCATGATTCCACTTCGGGATCCACTTCCCCCGACTTAGACGTATCTTCGTGGGTTATCGTATCTGTATCCGCCATATATGGATGTACATGTATTGAACTGTGGATGCGACCATTTAATTCTAATATCTCGTTAGGTAGGGATGCAGAATTCAAGATTATAAAGAACCAATTGAACTTTAACAACAACATTGATAGAAAAATTTTCCATACGAGCTAGTAATGCGTACGCAAGTATGCCTGGCCTCTGAAGCCTTCAAGTACATAATAATCTGGGGACCAAAGGCGAGACCAAGGTATCCTTGCTTTGAGGTAACGCTAGCGTCGCATTTTCCATGAACTCTTTCGATTTTGTTTTGAGGAGGAAAGTTTCCTAGTACGCATAGCAAAGGTTAAAAAGAAACAATACAACTTGTAGAAGCTGCAACTTAGTTAGCTAGCTACCTATTTAAACCAATTTCTTCACCGCAAACTGCAAAGACATTTACTTCCTTCTTCCTCAACTCAAATTCCTTCTCAATCTTTTCTCATAGCCGTCGCTGTTCATTATATACGGATAGCTTGTTGTGTCCCGAATCACGACTATTTACCCCTCTCTACCGCATTCGATTTGGCGTGACCTCACCGACATTTCTTGCACACGATGGCCGTGCAAGGTGGAGGAGCGGAGGAGGATGTGTACGCCACTGTTCGTGAAACCTGGATGGGATTTTCGTACGTTCAGAATAATAGCTAATATACGTGTTTCTATAGCTTCTCTTAAGCGATACATATTTGCCTGGTATGTTCCGCAAATTTTGGCTTGCCATGGTGCATTTTCTAACCTCTATCAAGGTGCCCTCGTGCTTGCGCACTCCCTACGAGATGCCGGTACTACTAAGAAACTGGCAGTCCTGGTCACCTTGGACACTGTATCGGCTGAAGTCATAACCGAACTCAAGGCAAGATTACCAATTACTTCGCATCTAAAACTTTTTTCAACTAACTCGATCAACTAGAATGTGTATGACCACGTCATTCCAGTTAGCCGAATAACCAACTCTCAACCCTCCAACCTACAATTGATGAACCGAGCCGATTTGCACTCCGCGTTCACCAAGATCACCCTTTGGAAACAAACCCAGTTCCGAAAGATTGTCTACATAGACAGCGATGTGGTTGCCTATGAAGCTCCGGACGAGCTCTTTGATATTACCCACCCCTTCTCGGCAGCTCCCGATATTGGATGGCCGGATCTCTTCAATACGGGTGTTATGGTTCTGACTCCGAACGAGACCGACTACCAAGCTATGGCGGCAATGTCGGAGCAGAACATTTCGTTCGACGGCGCCGATCAGGGTCTTATTAACATGCACTTCGGCAGTAACTATAACCGTCTTAGCTTTGCCTATAACGTCACTCCTTCTGGCCATTACCAGTATGTTCCCGCTTACCGCCATTTCCAGTCCAATATCAAAATGGTTCACTTCATCGGCCCCGAAAAGCCGTGGTTCAGGGGAAGACGTGCCAGCACCGGCAGTTCGCCCTTTGAGGAAATGGTTGGTAAATGGTGGGCTGTTTACGATAAACATTACGGAGGGACTGTAAGTATTATGATGATATCTTATTCAACATTATTATGCTGGGTACTTGACTTACAATATTTAGAATGCGACAACGACATCGATTATTGGTTCTAACGCAACCAAATCTGGGTCGGAATTGGTGCAATATTTTACCACAGGAGAATATCAGTACCGTCACCATGGTGCAAGCACCATAACCCCGTCTTCTCATGCCAACGTTGGGCAGACGGCATCATTCCGCTCTGCACAGGGGTGAGTTTCTTGCCGTTGACTATTGTAGATGATACATGAGCTAATCAGAGAACAGGTCTCATAATGGGTACGATCATCCGAAGGGGTTTGTTCCATTCTTTGATCCAGATCTACCAAAGCCTATATTCCCCTGGGAAGCTCATCGAGAGCGGCCATCTCGCGTATTTGCCGATGATTACCCCAGTCGCAGAGAGTCCATAGCTAGTATTCCAGACACCCCCACGATCGTGCCCTCAATCGCGGATTTGGCAGAAAGGAGCGAGCCGCCCACACCAACTATGCAAGCTCTGCAAGCCATGTCCGGTGACACGTGGTCCTCGTTTACACTGACTAATGCTTGGGACGAGATACCTGAGATTGAGCGCTATGCCGAGAAGTTCCAGCAACATCGGCGTAAACGAAGCACTAAATCTCCGGGTCCTCCAGCGTTACCTTCTGATGATGCTGACATCCCCCATCGTCGGCGACAGGGCAGCAAGGTTACCGACTTCCCTAGTGAAACAGAGCGTCCTAGCCTACCAGTCACACCGGCACCCATCCACCCCGGCGTCGGTTCTCATAACCCGCTGCTGCCGGCCGCAGACAACGTGCCGGGGCAGGCTGAATGGGTATGTTCGCACGGAAGACGTTGGGCTCCTGCAGACTGCCTTTGCGACGTGACTAACATACTACACTATCACAAGGATCCTGTGGTCCAACTTCAGAAATTGGCTAAGCAGCAGTCTGAGGTATTGCTGCGAAAGCTCGGAAGTGGTGATCCCGATAGCAGTGATTTGCCTTCTAGGCTCCTGCCTTTCGGCTCCGACTTGCAGGCCTATGTTGCGCAAACTTCCAATGTCTTTAGTCCACAGCCGCTGAAAGGCGACATCCGCTCAGCTGGAGTTTACGACATTGATTCCAACCTGGAGCCGACTCCTAGCGTAGCTTCAACTGTGGTAGGAGACATGCTGGAACCCAGCTATACAGGCCCTGGGCCTGCATTTGAGAAGGGCGAGATCATATTTACCGAAGACATACCCACCCCACGAACCACCACACCTCAACCCAGCGAAGCAGCGAGGGCCCCAGCCATACCTGAACCAAGCTATGCTGGTCCTGGTCCTGTGTTTGAGAAGGGTGAAATAGTCTCCGCGGGGGAGTAAGTTCAGCGAGCTATGGTTTGGTAGACTTTGAAATCTGGTCCAACTTGATAGGGCGAGATCTCATCCTTGCTGGTGAATATGAAAAAGGAGAGCTGGACAGTGCCCGTTTAGGGATGGCTATGGATATTGTTGGTGGGTTACAGGCTTAGGGGCTGTTCGGCGTTTGTGGAAGAATGGCCCAGTTATGCGATGGACGACCGTAAAGGGGTTTATGACACAGAACCCATACGACATTACTTTTCTTACTTTCGAACTGGATACCGAACCGGAGTGGAGGCAGACAACAGTTATGATTTTTACTTCTACGATGATGATTTCCGGCTCAACAGGCTGGGTCCGTCTTGTTTATGCCGGGGTCTGTAAAGCCCCATTTCCTATCCCTTCATATTTGAGACTTGCCTATCCATTTTGGAAGATTCTCATTTCATTTGTTTTCTCGTCCCCCACGTCCTTTTGCACAGAATACTACATTTGCATCAATACCACGTAACAAAAAGCTAGTGAATATTTGTCGCGCGTATTGTAGCATACTTGCATAGCATAGGGCTAGCGCGGAGCGAGCATCGTTTCTTTTCTATTTTAATAATTGGAGGACTCGAACAGCACACGAGAGATTTGGGATGAGGATGTATATATGGTATATAATCACATATTTCTATGATTGAGGAGACTGGATATGCCAACCTTCGACTATTCTTGGTGCGTAAATATGGTACTTCGTTCACCATTAGACGTAATTAAGTAGTGCTCCTTTCGAGAGCAGATACTATGCTACGCAAGGGCGCGCCCGCGATAGCCCATATCTACCTCCATTGTTCCCCGAGTATCATTCATGGATATCAATACCAAGTAATACATATATACATCCAGTGCTTATGTAACTAAGCAATATGTCTAGAACTAGTACTCTAATGTATTTACGATTTAAAATCGACGCCGGAACACCCCTTCATGACTTCAAAGTCGATCGATCGAGACGCAGTTCGGTCCGACTCTCCTCGAGCAAATGAATGCCTGAAGGAATGTATGTTAGAGTATGATCTAGACCATCATAATGCCACCATCCTATATTCTCGCAACTCATCCTTCAACTCTCTCCGCCCTCCGCCGAAGCACCCCGACGACAAGCCAACGCTTCCGCTCGCTAACGTCCTCCTGTCCGCGGTCCCAGACCCAGTCGCGCTCGACGCCATCGCAGTCGCGCTCCCAGAGCGCCTCAACTTCAAGGCCGGCCTCTACGAGAGCGGTAGGCTCGAAGAACCCCCGCATCTTGGCGCGGCCGGTGTGGAAACCCGCTACGACCCAGGCTCGCGCGGACGAGGAGGCGGATTTGAACTTGAGGAACCAGGCGATGGATCGGTGGAGGTTCGTATGCTGCCACGGCATCCACAGGCAATCGCACACGAACACGCGATCAAAGCGGGCCTGGTGCGCCGTCGCAAAAGGCGTGGTGAGTTCTCCCCAACTGTGCCCGTTCACTATCGTGGGCGCAAGGGTGTGGCGAGGCGAGTGCTCAAGCTTAGCGTTTGCCGCGACATTCTTGCGTAGAGTAGCTAGCACAGTCTCGGAAGGGTAATCTGTGACAACCACGTCCGTGGCGCCCAAGAGTGCGGCCATGAGGCTCGGGAGCGCAGTACCGGCACCCAGCTCCAGGCACGTGAGTCCGGCGACATCAAAGTTAGACGCTTCGAGTTCCCCCCTGTTGACATCTAAATTCAAGCGTAAGGAACCGGCCTCGATAAACTCGGCGAGCAGTAGACTTGCGTTCCACAGGTAGTGGGAGAAGAGCTTTCGATCATTCTCTTGATCCGGGTCCGAGAGGGCGATATGCAGGGGCCGAGGCAAGTGCGGGGAGGCATACGCGAGCGAGTGCTCCGCGTCCCCATGTTGGTTCGTCACATCGTCCGGGAAGATGACGCCCAACGAAGAGCTCAGAAAATCCTCGGGTTCTGAGGTGGGAGGACCTTGCAAGGAGATGCGGCTCGTGAGTGCCATTACCTGGGTACCCGGTAAGGTATTGCCTGCCACCTATTCCTACTGCCTTAGCGAGTTTGGGAGGAGGGGTCCGAGGGGAGAACGAGTATTTTTTTTGAGGCTCAAAGCAGGGATTCTCGGGTTCGTTTTCTTCGTGTCCGCATCGGAGTGGCGTAGATTACAAACCTATTTGGGTTGTGCTTAGGTACATATTTGGAGGCTAGGGTAGGAGTCGAGCTTGGGCTGCAAAGGCGAAAATAGTTCAATATCTTTCTCGGCCGGGTGGAGTTAGGTCAGGCATCCTGGTATAATGATCTAGGGCATCCTAACGTATAGCGCTAGAAAGTACCTCTCTACGTAGGTAGGTACCTAGGAAGCATATGATAATGTGGATATACTATTGATGATAACCTCCCGGGGGAAAGAGAACCCCCCAAGAAGATAATCTGTCCCACACCTCGCGGCGCGGAAAGACCATGACCCCTCCCCGCAACGTTGAAATAGAAAAAAGAAAATAGGGAAGGGGATAAAAAGCAAAAAAGAAAAGCAAAAAAAAAACCTAAGAATAAAAAGAAAAAGAAAAAGAATGGATCGATACGATAAATGATTAAAATGTAGTGCGACAGTGTTAGGATAACATCGACACGAACAGTACGTCTAAATCCCTGGACTCCTAGACGCGCCTAAAGCGATATAGAAATGCAGAATATGCAGAGTACGTATATGCCGCACCTATGCATGTCTGCGGCGCTGCCAGCCATGTTTTGATGACACGAACAATTGGTGATGATGGTATTTGACACATTTGATACATTTGATACATTTGCAGATTTGCAGAAACAGAGGGACCGTGTTTCGGATCGATCTTTCATGATTCGCTTGGTTCCATGTTTAAAGTCCGGGAAAGTTCGTCTGTCGTTACTACTTAATTTGTAGCTTCCGATCCATTGCTTATTACATAGGAACGTAGTAGTTCTTGCTTTCTATTTGGTATATAGTCGTATATATCATGTTTGATAGGATAGACATATATGCATAGGTAATACGGCGGCTTTCCATGATAATATCATTATCCGTATTAGATAATATGTAGTATAAGCGTGCCGTGCGATACACATCCCACCACCATGTCACTAGTAGTATAAATATGGACGGTATAATCGTAAGGTATGCTGTCGAGATCGTATGTACCAACCCTACAAATATACGTGCGCATATACAAAGTACCTAATTCGAAGTTGCGTTATGCTTGCTTGATGCAAATAAGATGGCTGCGCCGCTTCACCGCTTAGGAAAGAAAAACTAACCTTCCTGATTGGGTAGACAGGCGGAATCTGTGACGGTAGGGCAACTGTCAATCTACTCTTTCCTACTTTGCCCACTTACACGTGGTAGTAGACGCTGCGCCTCAAGTAGGTGCTGTGCGTGCCTGCACGAAACGGTAATCGCGGAAAGGGGGGAGGCCTCTAGGTAGTAGATTACATCGGACCGCGATTGCATCGTTTGTTTAGTATGTAGGTACCTAGTAGTAGTACCATACTGTATGTAAGTGGCCTGGTGGTGCGCGCGCTTCTTTTCCTCCGTACCTAAGGTTGCCCACTTTGTCAGCATGACAGCATTAACCGCTCCCCATCCAATTACGGTGGTACCTCTCCACCCATCATCTCATCCCTCACCCATCCATCTCCATTCTCCATTCTCCGTCCGCATCTCGTCAGTGGTCGCACGCGCTGCAACCGCGACCGTCTAGGAAATGAGATGTGCCGTTTCAGCTTGCATATATACGCGTATTATAGATGCGGTCAGTTAAACCTCCTGTAGTTTCAGGCAAGAAAAGGAGGATTCGCCGGATACCGATTCCTTGCATTCCCAATCGGATTGCGTCAAGTAACTTCTTACTACTTATTATATGGAAGTGCACATACGGTTATGAGTATGTACATAGATAGTTTTGGTAGCTGATGGTCGGGATATGGTTAAGATCGGGGGTTCGCATAGCCTGATATGGTCATTCATGTATAACTCAGCTATGTAGCAAGGCCGTTAGTATTTAAAAGCCCCCAAGTAGAAAAATGACAGTTATATACATGTACTATATGTAGGTACTGGTAGCCGCAGATTCAAGCCAAAGTATAAGGTACCTATAAAACCATAAAATGTATAGCTGATTAGATAACAATTACGCGTATAGTGTCACGTCAGGGAGCGGTCAAGTGAGATGTGGCAGAAGCGAGATATGTATTTCTCTAGGTATTCAAGAACAATGCCGAGTATTTTCGGTATTTGCAACGCCATTGTCAACGTAAAAATAAACAGGGTATCGATACAGGTCATCAACTACAAAATATTTCAAATATGCTTTAAGCCCCTTATGGGCTCCCGGAGATGGTCATCCTTGAGACGCTTCCGCCGTCTCCCCTTCTATAGATCGCCGACAGGTCTGTCCTCCGGCGAAAGAAAAAAAGGAACCGCCCTGTAGGTTTTTATATGCCGATTAATGTATCCCAATGTACAATAAACCTTGCGCCAGTCATGCTATCCCATTCTTCGTCTCGGTCGTCATGAATGCTGTACTATATCGATACACTATAGTATGGTTATGTGATATATATACGTCCGAATTAGTGCTGGCGGCTGTATTCCAGCATGCGCTTCATGTCTTCCTCGGTCGGGTCATCGGATACCCATAATCCTTTCTCCTCCTCGGTAGCGTTGAGGAATCCTTCGGCGCGTTTCATAGTGTTGACGTCGAGGTCTGTCACGTAAGACTTGCCGTCGGAGAGCTTTAGGCGGACTTCGTGTTCGGTGGAGAGCATCATGTCATCCTTAGCCAATCGGCGAGGTCCATCAAAAACGGCCATCACCCGCTTCTTCATCGTCATCTGCCCTTTGTCAAACCCCCACGACGAAGGGTATTCGCGCCGGTTCTTGCGGCTCTTGTTCTTACTCGACAATGGCATGCCACCTCGCGAATGTGTCATTCCCTTGGACTTCTGAACGCCATTCGACGGGTTCCCCTTCTTCTTCGTTGGCGAAGCTGGCTTCCTCGACTTGAAATCTTCGTCCGCGAGGTCATCCTCGTCGACCATATCCTCGTCCTCTTCGTCGTCCGAGTTCGAGACAGTCTGCGTGGTGGTGGGAAGCGAGTTCTTCTCCAGGGTCTGGTGAACGTCCTCATCGTCCTCTACCTCGGCTAGCCGCTTCGCATTAATAGCCTCGGCAGGATCTTCCTGTTGGACGATGCGCAGCACACAGTCATCCAGATGTTCGTAGAAGTCTTGGGCGCTAGAGAATGTAGCCGAACATGTCGAACATTTGCCTGTAGCATCTGGCGCATAGCCAGTCAGCTTCTTGCCACTGTTCGCCGAGTTCGCGGCCTTTTTTCTGCTGTTAGGAGGGGTCTGTTCAACGTTGTGTACGGCTGTAAGATGCCTCTTGAAGACGTCCGCTCTGTTGAACGACTTCTCGGCTGCCGACCCGGACCCAGGACAAAATCCACACACCATAGTACCCTTGTAATGGGTTAGGGTGTGTCGGTTCTTGTCATATTTGCGAGCGAAACCCTTGACGTGATAATCGCACGTCTGAATGGGGCACTTCTCGGGTCGCTCATTCTGGTGGGTGAGCATATGCGCCTTTAGGTCCTTGAAAACCTTACCGCAGTCCGGGTGAGGACATCTTTGCTTCTTCTCGGATTCGTCACTGTTGTATGCGTAGTCGTGAGAACCATGTGATTGGTAAGAAGACAGGCTTTGCCGTCTTGGAGCCGGAGGAGGAGCTTGGAAAGGGCTATACTGCTGATAACCGTGCATGTACGGAGATTGGCTTCCATTGCGCATTGCAGGCGCTGGTGAAGCAGGACCAGAGAGGGCGGGTGAGTTAGGATAAGGATTTTGAGGTGAGAAGCTATTTTGGTCGTATCCCTGTAGCGGTGGAGCCATCGGAGGACCGCGGATGTCGGGATGTATCATGGAAGGATCTAAAGAGTTTACAGTCAGCGAAACTAAGTTCCCACTATAAAATTTAAACTTTAGGAGATCAACAAGATTGTGTTTTGTGCTGTGTCTTGCGTCTTGCATGTTCCTTCCTCAACATTGGTTGTGTAGCATACTGTGAAATTAACACCGACGATGATGTGACTCAAATCTATATCAACATCAACGCCAACGTCAATCTTGCATACACACATCGAGAAAGGCCGCGGCTTAAAGGCGTGCAACATCTAAAATGAGACCCGCGCCAACTCACCAACAAAACCACCGGCTTGTTTATCAAAAGTCATGTTGAATTCTTCCATACCTGAACCGGAGAAGGCATTGTACTCAGTTCCTGTCAAGTAATCACTCGACCCAACAATCCCGGGGTGAACACCGAGCGCGTTTGCCTGGTACTCTGGAAAGAATGCCAATTGGCCATGGTTGGAACTCGGTGATCCAACTGTTGAAGAGGCTGCAGAAGGCGCTGATGCGGTTGAGAGGTTAGAGGGCGGTACCGGTAGTTCGCTTTCGTCGGCATACACACCGGGAGATGTTCTGTCGTACATGAAATGTTGCGCATTCGAATATGTTGGCCCGACTTCGTATCCTGACGTTGGTGGGAAGTCATCTTGTACACTTCGCGGGATGCCGCCGAAACCGCTTGGGCTCATGTGCATATCGAGCGGCGGCGAGGCGTAACTGGCGTGATGAGTGTGGTGAGATTCAGGGTAGAGCATAAAATCTTGCTCTTGCCTGGGAAACATGTTGTAAGATTGGTCGACGACCAATGCCATTTTATGTTTCTTTCCGTTCCTGGCGTTTCCACACAAAAAAAGAAAAGAAAAACCAGTGGCGTATAACAAGGATTTACAAGCCCAATGTGCTCAATGTGCTCGAGCTAGATCGGTTCCCTCGCGTCAGTGTCTCGGTTGGGACGCGAAAGATAAAGATCAAGATGAAGAGTGAGGTTGATGCGATCAAGTCAGGGCTCACGTTTAAATGGCTTATGCTAGGTAACTAGCTTCGCAATGTAATTAAAGCGCCTGGCGTCCAAACTGGCGTAAAGAGGGGCACTGAAGAGATGATAGGTATAGTCGAGGGTAGGAATAGCGAGCGTGAGGTTTTATGTAAGTCGCGAAGCTCGAGTGAGGGTAAAACGAGAGTTCGCGCGCCTGAATTCGTGATATATTCGCCTCCTAAACTTATCGATACCTTAACATACGATCTCACACGACGAGGTTACGAGTAACGACGGTTTGGAAAATACCCTTCACGGGTTGCTGAAGTAAGGCTCCGGGAAGAAGACAAAGTCTCTATCATATATATATATTGCCGTAGATAAGTGATAAACACGACCAAAGGAGAGGGTATGAGGCAAGACGGAAAGGGAATTTGGCGTGTTCCGTGATCATGGAGATGGGGGCAGAAGCTGGGAACAGGTGAAGCTTTTGGGGGCTCTAGGATTCTATATACACTTCGGTTTTGCAGGAAGCATAGCCGTCTTCCTCAAGAGGTACGTAGATCTCCCATAGGGCAGAAGCATTGATCGAGGCGGTGCCGTGTACCATGGTAGAGGACCAGGGGTCTATCTAAACGGTAGGATACATAGGTACGTACCTACCAAGAAAAAGTACTTTGGTATTGTACCATGATGGTAAATCATTACCCCCAAGATTTTGTGGTGGAGTGGGGGGGGAGGCCCTTGAACATTTTGTACATAGTGGCTTATACGAAAGAATACACTGTGTGTGCTCCAGGCTGTCAGCACCGAAGTAGATTTCACCGCGCTAGCAATATGCATGGGTGGGATAGTCTCAGGTGGGTATCTCGGCCGCCGTTGGGTCTTGGGAAGAAGTACGGGACGGGGAGTGGCTCGTGGGCATTGTCCGTCGTGCCTGCCACCTCCAGTACCTCTCTGGGGTCGTGTCCTCGGTACTGGTATGCTGGTATGTGGAAGACTAGACCAGGCTCGTAAGGCATCGTGGTACATATTAATTATTGAGTTTACATAGTACATGCTTCTTTTGCGATACATCTGGAGTTGTCTTATCCGATCATTGATTGGAGGAAACGTGCCTAGGGTCCACCTCAAAAGATCACTGCAGGTTCCAATTTGTGCGTTCTCTCGCCCTCCGTACTTTTGGCGAATATAGTACCTCATTCGTACTAGCATTATGGTTCTCATAGATGTCCTTAAATGATTAAATATGGAATTAATATAAAGAGAGAAAAAGGAAATATAAAAGAAAGTATGGTATTCCAGGGGTCTGTCTCTGCCGCTAAGACCCAGAAGACGCATGTTTGACAAGGAACCTTGTAGTCTTAGATCAGTTGAAAGTCACGATCTAGTTTGCCTACATCCCAATTGAATGTCATAGGTATTAGATTAACCTTCATCAATTCAAGCTACATACGTAATATACAACGTAGAAGCCAATGATATGAAGATTTAAGCTTCCAACAGCTACAGTGCACAAGCATGTCTCATCCATACATTTTCTGACATGCCTATTGTAGTAAATTTCTTGAAATGTTTACCTTACCTTTGTAGCGATGATGAGGTTCTGTGGTAACCTCATTTTGCTTTTCATGTGCCTACCTACCATACCAGGTTCCTGAATCCTAATTACGTCCCCTTTCCCATTTCTTTTCCTTATAATAATTTTTTATTTTATTAATTTTCACCCAAGATGTTTCCATTCGAGTTCGGTTAGTGATGGTTTAAAGAGAATTCCAAGACCGATCTAGAGCATCCATCCGCTATTACCTAGGCAGGTACTATGTAGGAAGTAGGTAGATATGTCCGTACTTTTGTAGACACGTGCCCGGGAAGGCAAAAAAGACTCCCGACAGCATACCGAGATAACCTCGATTGACACTTACAGTCTTACATACTAGATCCCTAGCTGCCTAGTAAGTAGGTAGTTATGGTATGTCTCAAGTCTAAACTTGCAACCTCACGCGGTTCTTAGTTCGCGAGCTACGCCCTAAGCTAGAGTATAACGTCGGGGATTTCTGAATCTAGTAAAGAGAAACGAGAAGATGAACTGAGAACGCCTAACTGCGGGCCTAGAATCGGTAGTGCTGGTGCGGAACGGCATACCGAAGCATGGCTAAAGCGGAGGACGCTAGATGGTAAAGAGCTAAGACCTTAGACGCTTCACCGTTTTGTCCCCGCCGAGATAGAATGGATATCTTTCCGAAGCCATCGTCATCTTAGCTGTGCCAGTGTGGAGGTTTCAAACGTCCGATCTTGGTAGCCTAGTAAAGTAGTACTCCTCGCTAAGGGGACCTTGCCGGTGTAATTACCTAGTACATAGTATCTTAATGACCTGCACAACTTTTGCACAGCCGTAACACGTCTGCATAATCTAGCGGCTGACCAATCGCAATTTTGACCTATTTTTCAATTATGATGCACCGCCCCTTCACCGCAGCGACCCATAGTGCTATGCTGCGAAAATATGTCATAGCATAAAGTGGTGCTAAGTGGAAGTCTCATTGGTGGCTTGATCATATACACTGGTCCATTTCTGACTCTGCACGTAACGACAACACCATTAATATATGCATCTTGGATGAAGCGGCGGTATGTCCCAAATACAGCTGTCTTGATCATTTTTAAGCTTCGCATATGTCCGAACAAGCGAGGCGGTCAATATCTCTTGTAAGCGGCTGCGACGCAAGGAGATGTGAGACTTGCATGGAACGCAGTGAGCCGCAAAACCCATAGACCATAAGTGCCTTCGGTAGTCGTGCCCAGATTCATAAATTCTTCGAATGGTCTCGGAAGCGAAGAAGAAAGAAAGGAAGGGGAAAAAGGATCGGGCGGCCGGTAATATGCGGAGTCGGGCTGGTCACTGGTCGGCGGTCGCTGGTTGGGGTACAACACAGTACCATAAATTCGACTGTTACATATTACCATACTAACCTACCTACCTACCTATGTAATAGTACTCTATTGCTGTAGAAATTACCCTCAATTTGACAAATTACCCAGGGCTCGAGATGAGCACGTCCTCTTCCTACCAAGCAAATCGGGCAACATCACAAACCAGGGTTCCATGACGAATATGCTGGCATCGTAACAAGCTTGACAAATATCAAATATCCAATCTCTGATCTCAATTCCCTATCCCTCCATCGCCCCTGAGCCATCGGGGAGTACGGAATATGGAAGGATAGAAGTACAGGGTTAATATCGAGTTACTCAAGTAATTAATGATTATTGGAATTTGTGAGACAACGGGACGGTTCGTGATGTGTAAGGGTCAACTGAGACCTTAGAGACTTCAAGGTTGTAGTTCTCATTAGCTTAGCTCCTTAAGCTTTCTACGTAGAGCTTGTATGTAGGTAATAGCTGTTCATTGGCTCTGTTGGTTCTTTGGCAAATTACGTCTGTGCGTGTCGAAGTAGAAGGGTAAGTGGATCTAGATATACAAATACGGTTAGAATATTCTGCCGGTTTTCCATTGGTTGCTTTACGCATCTCGGTTACTTAGTGTCATTCTAAAAAAAGAACCTTGAAAGTTTAATAGGGGCAACATTTCCTCTCTACATACGGTACAGTATGTACATACATAATACTAGGTACACATCTATTCCCGGGTTTTGGTGTCATAAATACGTACCTGACTAAGTACCCACGTATATAATGTTACATAGAACCTGGAACTCATAACCTGTAGTATGAGCAACATGAGGTCAAATCTCAACAAAAGTCATCGATTTATTATGAACGCGCGGATGGACGAAAACAGTAGGCGAACCTATTCAGGATGGAAGAGCTTTCGCTTCTCCCCCGAAAGAAGCTTATGTAAGAATAAAATCCTTGTCTATACTTACCTAGGGCCTACCTACCTATTACGTACCTACATGTGCAATACTCGTACTACTGTGGTATTAGGAACATTGGAAATATGTTGTACACCAGATCTATACTAGGTATGTATGTAGTCTCCGGGAATACGTGCTACCAGCCGTCCCACGACCATCCTTAAACTACTTACATGTGCCACATATATATTGTACATCACCAAGTTTAAAACAAGACTTGGAAAACGTCATCTTGTGGTGTGCTTTGTTGCGTTGTGTTGCGTTGTGTTGTATACATACCCGGTATCAATCTCTACCTACCTACCTACCTACCTAGTATGTATGTGCAATATTAGCAATGATGCCACGTGAAACCAAAGGATTGCCTCGTGACGGATGCGCATTGCATGAATTTAGCTTACTCCGCATCCTTCAACCACACAGTCAAGCGATCATTGACGTACGGTTAGTCACTTATCAATGCCAATGAGAGAGGCCATCCAAGGCTGGAAGACCGTACCGGGTGTTACAAAAAATTTCACCTGGGGTCGAGAACGTTGCGATCAGATTCTTAGCAGAGCGCTTAACGTACATCGAATATCTACTATGTAACGGTGGGAATAAATGGTTTCTACTACGTTATGTAGAATGTTAAGCATATTGTATAGTGTATGTATACGATGGTCGCAACTTAAGGCCAGCCCCTGAAACGCAGATCTTATTACGAAAATGCTTCTATTCTATGAGCTACCTAGATAGCTACCTAATTTACGGTACTGCTGCATATGATCAATTCGGGTTTCTCACGAGACAGAAAGCTCCGGTAGAAAGAAACTTGGTGACCATCATTACTAGTAGAAAGCTCTCAGCCCTACAAGAGGGGTCAACAGGGCGTTAGATTCCATCAACTATGAGCTACTCTAAGCAATCCCGTCGACAATAAGCGGTTCACAGCCACCTCCATGAAAAATAAAGGGACCTGCATATCTTGGCATGATTTACCAAAGGAATCGAGACGGAACATTCTATACGTCTTCCTAATCAGGTAAAGATGGCTCTATGTACGCCCATAATCTTGCAATTGATTAAGTGGCTGCAGCATTTTGCGCCATTGCACCGTATTTACATATGCGCCTTTGCCATGCCAACACATCAATGTCCGGGTCTGACGCCCTTGCATTCAGAACAGCAGATGTGTAAAATAGCATGATTGGCTCTGTCAGTTAACATCATCCTGCGGAAGATAGGAGAGCCTGTTTCGCCATGGCTGCAGGAAGTTGGAGAAAGATGGGGGCCGGGCGGTCCAACATCCCTGGCTTCCACATGGTATGGAATGTTCGACGGCATATTAATCCCCCCGAACCAGGGGAAAAGATGTAAGCCCTAGATCAAGAAGGGTTCGATCCGTCCCTGCAAATCCAACCCTACAATTCGCTAGGATCCTTGTCAAGAATCCTTTGCAAGGTAAATGGGTGCAACCAGGACACTCGGCCGGCTAAGCAATACGGAGGCGACTACCACATTTCTTCTCATTACGAATGTCAGCTTTTTTTTGATTGGGAAGAAGAGTTAGGATCGAGAATTCATGCATTATCGTTACATCCATACTTGAGTATGTACCTACCTACCCATGTACTAAGGTTATCGTTGAACGCGTGGAAGACGTTCCTAAAAATATAGTAGTGTG